CTCTATTGGCACCACCTGGCAAAGAATGGTGAGATCCCAGGGGTGCAAGAGGATCCGCGCGCTAGGGTGCCGAAGAAGATCAATGGACCTAAATTCTCGGGCCGCTGAGAATATTTAGGTTGTCTGGACGACATCCTTCGTCTTCAGGAACACAAGTTGTCCGAGCACTTTCGATTCACGACTCATCATGACCCTGTTGTTTACATCCATAAAGACAGACTTATAATGGTATCTATTTCCTGATCGATATGTTCATTATTCATTGTGCAATTTCACTGTCTCTCACAGAATACCACGATACCCTCATCTTGTCCCCAATGTATTCGTCACTCGCGGACTCGCGCAAATAGGTCAATCACATTGTTACATACTATCTAAACCTGATCCACTTGTTCTCTTGATATCTCACTCAGAAGGATTGTTCTGTTGAGATATAGATCAGAAAAAAAATGAGAGTGATCATCAGTCGACTGCGAAAGGCAAGGACACTGAACCGCTTCTACAGTCACGAGTCCACTTAGCCAAACTTACGCTGAGGTTCGATCGCGCTATCAATGGAATACGGATAAACCTCGGAGCCGCATGGATAGTCGAACTGCTATCTCGTGGACTCTTCTAGCGGTCCGCTAACTCAACCTTGGCTCCACTGCTGCAGTACTTAAGGTTATACTAATGAAGATAATGCAGCGCTGCACATCTCCTTCGCTATGTCTTATCTGAAAGTGTCTGGAACAAAGGTCGTCGATGGGGGTGGCAAAGAGGTCGTCCTCAGGGGAGCAGGTCTCGGAGGGTGGATGAAGTGAGTTGTTATGCTTTCTGAACACATTCGCGGATCTTGATCTTTCTCCCTCTGATAGCATGGAGAACTTCATTTCTGGGTACCCAGGCTGCGAATTCCAGATCCGCGCTGCTCTTGCTGAGGTCGTAGGACCTATCAAATCAGATTTTTTTTTCGACAAGGTAGGTTGATCTTTATCTGCAGCGTTGTTCCTGCTTCTGATGGGCAAACCAAGTTTCTGGAGTACTTTTTCCAAGAGGAAGACGCCAAGTTTTTCAAGAGTCTTGGACTCAACTGCATTCGGTTACCCTTCAACTACAGGCACTTCGAAGGTACATACGTGCCTTGAGTTTTCGTAATCTGTCGGACTTACGGTGTCGATCAGATGACTTGAATCCCCGTGTCCTGAAAGAAGGGGGTTTCAAGCACCTTGACCGTGTGATTGACCTCTGTGCTCAACATGGCATTTATACCATACTCGATCTGCACGCTGCTGCAGGCGGTCAAAACACCGACTGGCATTGTGATGCTGGCACGCACATCGCAAATTTCTGGTTACACAAAGACTTCCAAGACCGTACAATCTGGCTCTGGAAAGAACTTGCTAAGCACTATGCTAACAACAAGTGGATTGCCGGCTATAATCCACTTAACGAACCCACTGATTCCACGCATACCGCTGTAATAAAGTTTTACGACCAAGTTTACGACGCCATACGCTCGATTGACACAGAGCATGTCATTTTCTTCGACGGAAACACATTTGCAAGTGACTTTTCACATTTCGGTGATATGCACAAGAAGTGGCAGAATACCGCGTACTCGATTCATGGTATTCTCTTGAATCACTGTTTCCATGATTTCATCTTACAGAGACGGCAGACTACAGTGTATACGGTTTCCCTGCTAGTCCAGAGGACTATGTCAGCTCCGACGAACAACGGCAGAGAATGAAGAAAAGCTACGAGAAGAAGAGGGAATGGATGGACCAGCACGGACTTTGTGTCTGGAACGGCGAATGGGGCCCAGTCTATGCTAGGAAGCAATATGATGGCCTTGCTACAGACATCATCAATGAACGACGGTACAAGGTTCTCAAAGACCAGTTGGCAATATACAATCAGGTACATCGGTACTGACTACCGTCTCTTACTCCTTACTGACACAATACCAGGATCGTTTGAGCTGGTCGATCTGGTTATACAAGGATATCGGCTTCCAGGGCATGGTCTACGTTTCGCAGGAAACATCGTACATGGCCCTACTGAAGGACTTCCTGGCGAAGAAACATCGTCTTGCTGTGGACGCTTGGGGTGCTGATACCACTCAAGTCCAGCACATATATCAACCTCTTATCGATCATATCACGAAAGAGATACCGCAGGAGAACCAGAACCTATATCCGTTTCCAGTCTGGAAACTCTCTCATCGTGTTGGTCGCCTGTCCCGCAGTATACTGGTAACCGAATATCTTGTCAAGGAATGGGCAGAACACTTCCATGGAAAAAGCGAGGATGAGCTCGATGAAATTGCGAAGAGCTTCAAGTTTGAGAACTGTCTGCGCCGTGATGGACTAAACAAGATCTTGATGGACAATGCTGGCAGTAGTTGAATTTTAATTGTAGAAACAAAAGCCCTCGCTTGGTTTGTATTTTATCGCTTATCGCTCCTAACACTGCGAGTATGAGGCTAGTTAACTCATGTGATCATAAGCAATATTAAAGTCAAGCCGTGCGTCAACCAATCTAGTCCCAATATGTGAGCCCTACGTTTATTAGAAGTTCGCCACCGCGACAGGGCAACCGACGACGGGTCGACTGGTGTCCATGTTAACTTGAACACGGACCACTGTCACATGGCATCGTGAGCGCTGGAGGAATGCTCCATTCGTTAACACGGTAAACGATATAAGTGGCATGACTGTGGCCTAACAATGCTATAGTTCAGTAGGAGACGGCCCTGACGAAAGTGAGAACGAACGAAAACAAACAGTCTAGATAAGTTAAACCATTCTATATAATGATAACCCGAGGACGATGTAATGGATCGATACATAAGGACGGATACTAGCTCACAAGATGAGAGATAGGAGTACCTATGAAGATCGTTGGGTCCATACAGTCAATGGTCAACGACATCTACTCGGTTCGCCAGCCACTCCTCAACAAGGCTCTGTAAGCCACCTTGGTCACGTAGGAAGTCAAGCACGCTATGCCCGATGATGTTGCTACACTGTTCTGCTCGCCCAAAACCTGATAGGCAGCTCTTTCTATATTCATCTTCGGAGACATTGATGATAGAGGAGATCGACGGAATGGATGGTGACTCAATTGCGACTCTGGAGTAACTCCGTAGGAGCACAGGCAATGCGATGAGAGTTGGCAGATCAGCAGTGATCCTCTCGATCTCCTCTAGAATTGCCTCATGTGATTTGCCAACCTTGAACAAAGGATTGCCTATGTTTTCAAGCAATGTGGCCAGAGCCGTTAAGTCAGAAAGCGCCTCATCGACAGCCTCGCGAGCTACGCGTGTCGCATCACACTTTGCAGACGGACGTGGAAGGAGAACCATGAGCTCGTGGAGCGCACGTGCGTCAGCAGCTGCTGACGGAGTAACCGTGATGTCGGGAGGAGACGATGGCCGTGAAGGCAGTTTAAGAGCAAACCGCGTAGGGGGAGGAGTTGCCGGTGTATTACCAGAAGTGACACGCTGCCTCTTGGTTAAAGGTGTGAGCTGTGGCGAACTCAGTGGTGACGTTGGCGGTGAAGGCTTCACTCGGGGCCGATTAGCGAAAGCAACGAGCGCTCTCCAAATCATCGAGATCAAGAAAGTCGCCAAGGTCGTTTGGGAAGGAAGGGTTGTTGTGTACTGCGTCAATGCACGAGCGTACACAGGCATGAGTGCCTGTAATGATACGATTGATGGGTGGAGAGCTTTGGTACCTGTCTTAGGCACACTAACAGCGATATGATTCTCCAGAGACTCCAGGAGAGGTATCAGTTCAGACTGGATGCCCGTAATGAGCGGGTTCACAACACGCCCAATGAGGGAAATGAGGCCTTCACGAATCGCCTTCAACCCGTCTCCTCTCGCATCATTTTCAAAGCCCAAACTCATTTCATCGAAGCTTTCGAGAAGCTCTCCTGCAAAGCCAGCTGCTGCAAGTGCATGAAGCTGAGTTGCATTGGGATTGGGAGCCTGCACAGTGGGAGCGGGCGTGGAAAGGAATGCTGGCGAGGAAAGGAGGGGAAGAAGGAGTGCCGAGAGGTTACTGAGTAGAACAGACAATGGCCTGTGAAGTGAACGAAGGATAGCCTTGTGCAAATGTGGATTGTTTTGACATGCCTTGAGCTCACTGGTTACAGCAGTTTAATCAAAAATGGTCCCAAGAATGAAAAGAAAATACACACGAGGCAATTAGAAGTCCGAGAGCTCGCCCACGACCAGCAGGAATTGGACGCCTGCCTCCAACCAATTCGCCAACAGCCACTGGACCAGTGGGCTGCATCATTGCCTTTGAAACCGCCTCACTAAGCTTGAGACTGAGGGCCTGTAGATAAGACCCGTCTTGTACAAGCAGAGTTGGAGGGGGGGAGGAGATAGACGTCGAAGAGGACGATCGTTTGAAGCCACTGAAAGAGAGCTTGGTGAGAGGTCGGGATGTCCTCTCCAGGACCATGGCGAGTTCGGGACGGGAGGGGGAATTTGGTGATGTGGGACGGCTATTGGGGCGGAAAAGGTTTGGGTGCTTGAATGAGATCATTGTCGGTAGTATGACGGTAGGGTGTTTAAATAAGTATCGTGAAGTGTTCTCTCGTGTTTGACCTTCGTTCTATGTGCAGAGATTGTTGCGGTTCCAGAGCAGGTGTCTGTTGCGAGGATTACAACTTATCCCATCAGCTAACAGGAATGAGGAAGAAAGAGATAAGTCAAAATTTTCGACTAGCCCTAGGTTTAAGGAGGACGGTCTGTGTCGACAAGGGAAACTGCAAGAGGTCCGAGGAGGATGATGGTGTGAGTCAGGCGTGGAGTGCTGCGAGTTATGAACATTAGACAGTCAGCAAAGAACATGCCAGAACGTGGAAGACGTACTTCGAGGGTGAATAAAAAATCATAGATTAGTACGAAAAGCGATCCCAAGTGATTCTTGGTCTACGGCTGGAGGGAAGACTTGCTAGTCAATTTTTTCGAGTTATAATCAAACCACAGTTTTCCCACGGCTAGAGGCTGACCGGACGACCTTATCGAGTTATCGGTATATCTATTGGCCATTTGCCGACTCGCACGATGTCAAGTTTTCCGAGCACCACGAATCTTGTTCCGGCTTTGTTCCGGGTGACTTTGTTGCTGCTCAACAGACGCGCCTAAAATGGCTCATCACTTGATGATGATCTAGTCTTGTATTCACGACCTCAGAAATTTATTTCTCACCGTAACATCTCAACAAACATAGCTGATGAGCCAATAGCAATCTGATCGCCTGCATGACAAACAGCAGGGCATCTTATATATCCTCCAATAGTCTCTTGACAGTGGTTCGTAGCTCAGGATCATCGCACCGGAGGCGCCACAGGCAGCTTTCTTCTTCACTCTCCCGGAGGCGAAGGGCAGCACCTTGTTTCGGCTCCACTAAGGGTGGATTAGGTGAGGCAGCAACCAAGACTTTTAGCTCCCCTGTCAGACGGACCAGAACAAATATAGATCTCAGCATGGTTCTATCTTGCAGAGCGGTTTGGGGGTAGTAGACATACCTTCAAATGGTGGTTGATCAACCGCGATGACTCTCATGGAGTGCTGTAAACTCTGTAGAAGTCTCACTACGTTGTCCATCGACGACTCGCACCAGCCTCGGAGATTGGAGTTTTCCATGGCATCCCAGACGTCTTCGAAGTCTGGCTCAGGAGTCGGAAATGTAACAGGCACTTCGCTGCAGGCAGTATCGAGCGATATGAGATCAACACGAGATGTCTGATGGTACGATTACACATTCAAGTTAGCCGCTATGACGAATACGTTCAAATTGCTCAGGCGACGTACTAAATCTTCATTCGGTGATGCGTTCGAATTTCGAACGTGGTCAAGCTGATTATAGTCAGACGTAAGGTTATGCATAATGCATGTATTCAGGAAATTCTCACCTCGGGCAGCTCTTGCAATGGACCCTGCGCGGCAGCAATAGTCAACTCTCCTGGGGTGATGGTCCTTGCCAGTTCGGATGGCATCCCACGTTCACTAGCACGTGAGGAACTTCGGCTCCTGCTGCTTCCCGGACTTGAGAAGGTGCCTCTGCTCGGGCTTAATAGATGCCTTAGACTAGGCACAGCCTGGGGAGTGCCATATGCTTCGTAACGTAACTGTCTGGGAGATAAGCTAGCTCGTGGAGGCGAGCCCGGCGAAAGCCCGGAAATTGTTGATGAAGGCTTTAAATTAACAGGCGATACAGGCGGTGAGGCGCCGGCATTTGATCCATAAGTTGTTAGAGCAACCAAAAAGTCTGGAAGCTAATCTGGGGTTGGTTCTCAATAGAGGGAAGGGAATGACCGCTGTCTTACTGAAGATGAGGATGCTTGAGCGATGATACTGGTAAGCACATCCCTTTGACCACAGTATGTCAAGAACAGGCCACACCGCTGATGGGCATGTCATTTCGAACTTTCCAGACGGCGACGGGACTCACATTCCGAATACGTTTTCCGGAGAACTGAGATATTTCGGTAACAAGCTTCAAGATAGTGTGCGGGATCTGGTCACACTCTGCAGACATCCGAATCATAGATAGCAGACATGCATCTTGAACTGTGACTGCTACTTCCTGAGTTTTCATTCCACTGGTTCAAGGTATGTCTTGTACGCACCACCATACGAGACAAGTCTGCTAGCCATTCCCTGGAGTAGTGATGGGGGTGATGTTGCTATCTTTCCGCAGTATTCACAAGCCAAAGCAGAAATAACCACCATGAGAGTTGGTCCAATCCGAGCACCTGACTCCGTGACAGAAACCGCCAGTGCGGTAACGCACGATATACGAGATGTAATATCAACTGAGGCGGTCAGCATAAAATCAGTAACGAAATGATTGCACATACATTCCCGGATGTGGGTAAGGATCATCTCAAGGCCTACTTCAAGGACAGACATGTCCTCCGTACGACCTTGAGTGTCACCTTCTGCAACGGCAAACAGGTCCTTAAGGTATCTAGCATACTGTTCCCCATCATTCCCATACTGAAGCACGCCAACATCAAGCAGACGAGAAACATATTCGCCCTTGTCAGATAAAGTTAACCCTGCAGGCAAGTTATGTAGCAACTGCATGTTATACGCCTTGACAAGGGAAGAATCGACCGCATGTAGGACCCTCAGGGTCTAGGAGCGTTCTATATCAGTATCGCAGCCCCACTGGTCATAAGTTGTCGGTGCTCACTATCTTTCGAACAAGCCTGTCATGTGAATCAAGAAGTTTCATCACTTCTTGAACCTCCCACTCGTCTAAGACTGCTATTGTTCCTGGCAGGGTCCCTGCCCAAAGAGTGGGGCTCAGGCAATATAAGCACGAAACAAACAGGTACTGATCGTTAGGATCCTTTGACGTCAATAGGCGTCGAATGCAAGCCACTGGCGACAGAGACTGCTGCATTTGGCATTCTTGGATAACCTCTGCTGATACGGATGATAAGACAAGAAAAGCCTCCCGCAGTAGCACTATTGGGTAGATTCAGCCAAAGTCTTGCAGCGCAACTACTCAAGTCACCTCGCACGGGAGGACTAGATGTACGCTTGATAATGTCGAGAACAATACCAACATTTGGCATCGATAACCTGCTCATCCGTTAGATGTCAAATTGAAGTTGGGCGAGTTACACGTACTTAGCCTTCCGAAGGGCTCGAAGGACCAATAAAATAAGAGATTGAGACTGACGACCGGGTCTTTGCCACACAATTGGCAGAAGAGCGTTGACTTCATCATTGATGGAATCAACTTGATTGAGCTGAATTCACAATGTCATTTCCATTTGCATCCCATCAAGATACACGCACTTTCATGGCTACTGCCATAGCGCAAGAGTCTATAGAAGGCAGTGTACGTTGAATGCGGAGGACAACTGCATCCTCTAGTGGTGTCAAGCGCGAAGGGTCGTTGTGTAGCAGCGAGTGATATGCCAGATAAGCTCTACGACGAACTGATATCCTTATTGCAGAGTCAGTATGCACCAGCGATCACAAATGTCTTGAACTGACGATTTGTGCATGAACAGGGCCTGCAATTGTGATTGTACGGCGGGTATCACTTCATCATTTGGCATTTGAATTAAGACGCTGAGAGCGAGGCAAACACGTGCTATGGACAAGCTTTCTAGATCCTTTGAAAGAAGTCAGACTAATATTTGAGTAATCACGAATGCACTGACCTTGCGAATGGTATTGACTAACATGAGCTGCAACTCATGATTCTGTGGCATAACTTCAGTGCAAAAGATAAAGCCTATCTGTTTATTAACAAGGTAGATTCAGGATCCAAGAATGATAATCACCATACCGAGTTGCTTGTCACGCAATGTCCGCCCCATCTCGGCCAGATTGACAGCTTGTGGCAAAGCAAAGGCGAGCTCGCCAGGATTAACGTGTGTTAAATTCATGGAACAGTAAAGAAGTATGATCAGCTTCTCCCTGCATTCTTTCTGTACGTCACGTCTACTCAAATGTGTTTCAAAGATGCTGCTGTTTACGCACGAGAGATACGCCTCCAACAGCGAAGTGACGTCTAATGCCATCAATTTCGCTTAGGTGGATCTGGTCTGCTGCTTGCGGGGACTGCGCAGACTCCACTTTGCGCACCAAAGAGTAGTGAGCGCGGCTTAGAGCACCAGAGTTGATGAATGTTACGTCCATCTAAAAACAGAGTAAGATGGGCGCGGAGGTTAAGCGTGTCAGTGGGCGCTTGTGCGACAGTCGCGACATAGGGATGAGCACGTGAACTGAGGTAAACAAAAATCAACATGGCCTCCTCTTCGCCACAATCATCGGCGGCGACTGCACATTCATTCAATAAGATCCTCAATCAGTCCAGGTCGTCAAAATCAAAACGTTCTGGTGATATCGATGAAGGGACAAAGAAATTGCGGCGGATGATCCTGGTCGAGGGCATACCTTCAGCGATTGTATGTTTCCACGATTCTCGAATTTGAGCTATGCGAAATGATCTCATCAATAGGACCCTACCCTCCGGCCTCGGATATGGAAAATTTTGCTGCGCGTAGATGACGTTTCAGCGTGCATATTTCTAGAATACGTTGCTCGTGGGCCTTGTGAGGTTCGAGAGAAAATAAGGAATGATACATTCAGGTACGTCACAGGCTCCTGATACTAATTGTTGTGCCAATGCTTCTCGTAGGACTCTAGCAACAGATCGAGGTTTTAAGGAACGAGTACGAGAAGATATGCTCGTCCGTCTGTTGGATGCTTTTGTGTGGCGCAGTCATGGTGAGAACTACTGCTTCAACGTGAGGCAACGAAAGAGTAATTGGCCCTTGTAGACAGGCAAGAAACTCAGCAACTCGGTTTTACGTACGTCCAAGGGATGAATGTACTGGCTGCGCCGTTTCTGTACACCATGCCTTCAGAACTGGAAGCCTTCTTCTGCTTCGCCAAGTTCATTGAGGAGTGTTGCCCACTATATGTTCAACCCACACTAGAAGGAGTACACCGTGGTCTCAAGGTAACGTTTTTGTGGTTTCTCTGGCGTCTTGCTAAAATTCCTATAGCTACTTGACAGATGTTTGAAGATAGTGGACCCCGAACTGTTTGCGTATTTGCGAATGAAGAACCTTTCGGCTGAGATTTATGCGTTTCCGTGTATGTGCCTCGCCCATAAACATTCGATTCGTTAATGATCATTGCTTTATAGCTGTTCTGACACTCTGCGCATGCACGCCACCTCTTGACCAAGTGCTCCAACTATGGGATTTCCTCCTTGCATTTGGCGTACATCTCAATGTCCTATGTGTCATTGCCCAGCTGCTTCTCATGCGAGATGAAGTAATGGTATCATCAAGGTTTATCAATAGTTTTGTAGTTGCACACTCCATGCTTATCTTGATTCTAGTCCCATGCGCTTACTGCGAACATTCCCACCCCTCGAGGCAGTTCCAGTCATAGGCATTGCAGTAACCCTCGTTCGCGATCTCCCTGTAGATCTATATGACGAACTTGTTCGGCACCCGTACGAAATTACTCCGATGTAGCCTACACCTTTCTGCAGACCGCCGCGTTCATATGTTCCTCCATCAATACTAATCTTGTAGCATAACATTTTTATGACATCTGTGTTGTATGTAAGTTTCCTGTATGCCATACTACTTATTTGTATAAAGTTCTGAAACATCTGTACATCACAAACCCATTATCCATCGTATCCGAATCCGAGAATACTGTCACGCCGCCACCATTAGATCTGCCATCGCCTTCACGTTTGAACAATTCTTTCCTTGTGTCCTACATTGCTTATCACCACTGCTGCTTCCTCGTCGGGTTGTCGAAAGCGGTATCGAATTATGTGTCGACTATCTGCTATATGAGCGCAGATGCATATTTCATGATGGCCTATCTAGGGGGAAGAAGGTAGATCAAAATCATCATGCCTTTAAGTCATGTATCTACCAATATCACGTCTTCCCCAAGGCTGTTTGTCATAGGTCCTGTATTGCTGATGTACGTTGATTTTTTAGTCTACACATTTTCTCCTGAATACTGCGAGTTTGACTCTAGCTTGACGAGATGCAAAGAATGGTGGCTTCAGGGAGCACAGCCTCAGCTTTTTGGTAAGTACTACTCAGATGGTAAGTATTAGACTCGTAACAACCAGTCTGACTATGTGTCAATTTGAGATGGTGAGAATTTATTGACGTAGTCAGACTGGTCGAACTCGGAGTGATTTGGCAGCCAGCCTGGCTACACCACTTGTGCATCCGTGGTAGTATACGCCAGGCTGGTCACGAGTTTAGGGTAAGTATTGCATAGTAGTGTTCTGCCAATCGCGATGATCCTCAAGAGGCTCTTCAATCAACCATTGGTACCCTCAGCTTGAAGGTGCAGGCAAAACTCAAGGACACTGCCTTCAAAAAGGAGGTAAAGACCGTTGTTATAAGGTTATCATTATAGCTCCATTGCGTAGTCAACTTGTAGCTGGTTTGCATCTTCAATCTTCAATAACCTCCCAACCCTCCTCGACAATAATTGGAGTGGTCTGATGTTTTCCGTCTGCCCGTGTTGTTATTTCTGCCATGTCTGCCTCATACTTTGCCGCCGTCGTGCCTATGATCCTGATCCGCTTGATGCCACCGTCAGGGTAAATTGATACTTTGACATGTGTGTACTGCTCGCATGGGTTGCTCAACCGAAAGAAATGCATGCGGTGGGGGCCCAATTTAACGGGCGATAAAATTATCTTCCAGTCGTCGCTATTTGCATCTGGCGCGATGTCTGGACTGTTTATGCCCCGAATATCACAACTATCTGGAAAGTTGCCTTTGAAATGAATGGTATCGATGATTGCCGTTGACAAGTATCCTGGAGCACCCCTGAAAAACTGAATGACGCTTAGCAGTCTACAAGCGAGTAAAACATACAGTTTGATAGTGACCCAGTCCTGGTGATCCTTCGTATAGCTTCTTTTGGTTTCCCATCCATCTCCCATATCTTTCCCTGTGGTCTATGAGAAAGGCTGCAATTTGTTCAAAATTCTGATGTCAACTGACCTCGGCCCGGAAGAAGAAGATTCGAGCTTGACCCAAAATGGTCGTTGGATGTAGCGACGACCTTACCGCCCGTGAAGATATGAGCGAAATCAAAGGGTTCTACAGGATTTGCAGGAAATACAGGCGTGATATGTCCATAAACGCGAAAGCGGGCCTGCAAAGCATGAAGCATTTACATAAAGCAAATCAGCACACGCACACTTACGATCCCTCCATCTGGATAAATTCTAAGTCTGACGTATGTAGCCTGTCCTGTCGCAGGTATCTTGTAAAGATGTCGGCGTGATGGTCCTAGGCGTACTTTAGGAAGGATGCCTTCCCACTGGGGTGTCAATCAGCTTTGTCACTATCATGATGATGCAACGAACATCATGCGTACCATTGTTTCTTCGTTTGGAAATTCGCATGCAGCGTCAACAGAAGCCTCTGGTGCTTCATTACCTATGCAGCAACACTGTCAAATTCTGGTCCTATATCGAGCGATAACCCGGGCACACCACTAAAGTGAGTTGTATCAATGTCAAAACCAGTGATTATCCCTGTCGTTCCCAGTTTGATAGTACACCTATGCAGAATGTCTTCTTGCAAGATACGTTGGTTGCAAAGTACCTACCAGTCATACGTTGGGTTGTGTCGCCGCGTTTCCCATCCGCTATAAAGCTCCCCGTTCGGTCCATACTGCTTAGCAAGGCTTACGGGCGGCTGTAAACTTCTGTATTGAATCAAGGTGTCGAGTAACGGAGTCGAGTTCTAACCTCGACTAGCAGCAGTTGATATGCCTCAGCAAAGAATTCATCAGAAACATTCACCACCTGTCCTCCTATGGATACACTCGATAATTCTGTCGAAAGCCAGCTCAGTTGAAGAAGGGAATATGGTTTTTGACAACTGACCTGTTGTGGACCCAAACTCTTTGGAGAAATCCTCCAGCGGAACCACCTCGTACGCCAACATTGTCATGATAAGGATAAGCCAGCAAAGCCGGCCATGAGATATGATTATAATTAGAAAACAACCGCCACCGCATGTAGAAATGTAGGGTTGTTGAATATTGTAACTTGCAGGGACAGATTAAATGCAGCAGTGGACGTAGAACAGCTACACCATACAAATTTCTGACTGCTGTTCCAAGGGTTTAGCGTTCAGCATCTTTTCGAAAGTCGCCTTGACTGAAACGAAGTTTCGATGTATGCGTGAGATGATAAATTCCAAAATCTTCGTCTCCTTCTCCTTCTCCCTCTTCATCTTCATCTTCTCCCTCATTTTCTTCTATTAGTTGAGTGCAATCAATATACCCCCCGCAGCACTCCTCAGAACCGAGGCTTGGCGATGGGCTCGTTGCTCTGGCCTGCGAACTGGCCGACGAGGACGCAGGAGTTCGATCCATCCGTCGTTTATCGATAGGAGACAGTATCCGATTTGGAGGTGACGGGCGGGCTCGGAATTCTTGAAGAGCAAGAACATGTGAGGGCAGAATTGTTATTGGCTGTGAGGATGCTTGACGAGGGGAAGATGACTCGGAATGGCGAAGGTTGCTAGGACCTGCGGGTGGTTGTGAATATGAGGATATTGATGGTTGCTGATGATGGAAGGAATTGACATCGAGAGGAACCGACGCACGAGGTGCAGTGATCTGTTGGAAGCGTGCGATCGATGCAGAGGCGTTTAGTAGGTCACGCAGTAGGTCGGATGATACTTGTACCTAGATGAAGAATCTACAATGGGTTCACTGTTTCGTCAAAGAACTGGAGTGTAACATACAACTTCCTGTGGCGAGCCAAAGGGTATGGCAGCTCGAGCTAGTTCTAGCTCTCGTCGTAATCGCACATTTTCATCTTCGGCCTTTAGACATCGTTGTTCGAGTTCGGTAAGATATCGGGCTTTGCGCGCGCGGTAATCGCGTTGCTGTGTAAGCTGTCGTGTAGGGGCAGCGGTCAAATCTCTCTTGCGTCCTCTGACCATGTTTACTGTATGGTATGTGATGAATACGTTGAAGGGTGGGAATGTCCCAAGGATGACAGTCGCAGTGTGAACTAGAATCGTAACCAGTCTGACATATGCATGCTGAGTTTGCGTTGGGTGTTCTTGAGTGGACCATTGCTTACCAGTTTTGCTTGAGTTTTGCGCCCCTTCGAGTCAGCCTAGTAAGTTGGCTCCGAGGTTCAGTCGCGTTTTATATTGAAATTATGGACTGGGCTGGCAGGGACCTTGCATGGACTATGAGCTGTTCGGCTTCACCTACGCTACTATGTAATATCGTGGGAGTCAGGAATAACTTGTACTTATGTGCAGACCACAATTAGCAACTGACTCAGTGATCACGATGATTGACTACAAGGCCTCGAAGGAGAGTTTTGTTTCTGGGATGATTTGCTCGACAGATGATTTCATGTAATATGATATGCGGCGTTGCACTGGTGTGTGTCCCTGCATGTCTTTCCACTCCCGGGCCAGCAAGCTGACCATCTTCAGTACTTAGTCCTCGATCATCCTTCATTCAGCACTGTCACGGTGTTCGCGTGTTCAAGCATTTGGATCTGCATATTTCTTGGCAGAGTTTATAATACTTGACATGCCTCTTTTATTATCTATGACTTTATTCGCGGAAGCTTCTGGCGCACTCTCTTCTACTACTCGTACCGATGGTCTTTCTCCCTCCTATTGAAAGCTGAGGCACGCCTTTACCGGCTGAAAATTGGGATGAACTAGCTTTGCCAAATGGAAGAAGTCGAGCAGACACTCCACCGACGCACTCATCTCAATCCCTTACCTGCTGACTACCCGTGCTCACATGATGTTAATGTCAATTCTGTGTATACTCGCTGTTGATTCCCCCCTATTCTAGCAAAGTGTAAGACGTATGGTGTTTCTCTGGTGTGTCCAGAACATATCATGTTCTTCAACTTTTATACATTTTGGTTCATAGATGGATATCGGCGTTGGCTCCTTTGTATTCTCTCAAGGCGTGCCAGTGGTGTCTGCGATTCCAATCATTAAAGACATATCCTGCCTCCAGGCTCCGATCCTTCCTAAACTGAAGTCCGTCTCCCGTAAGACGATACTCATCATTGTGTTAGGCATTCTTCGTGTCGTGCTCGCGAAAGGCACTGAATATCATCTGTAGGGTCTTTCCATAGGTTTCGTGTCACACCCACTACTTAACAGCTACAACCAGGAACATGTGACAGAGTACGGTGTACACTGGAACTTCTTCCTCACGCTTGCGCTTTTGCCTATGATCATCGAGGTCTTGTTCCATCCTATCATCTCGCGTATCCCGTTGCTCTGCTGGGTCTTTGGATTGGAGTTCGTAGGTAATAGTCTGGTTGTCGTAAGAAACTTGAATCGGATACCTGTTTAATAGTGCATCAACTCGCACTGTCATCTGGAAGAATGAAGGACTTTTTACTCAACACTTCACGGAGCAACATTATTATTTTTGCAAATAAAGAGGGCTTGCTCTCCTTACCGGGTATAACTCGCTACTCTTGTAGAATGTGTACCTTTTACTCCCTCTCCATCAGGTTGTGTTTCGATCCACATACTCGGTCTGTCCTCAGGAACTGTCATACTTCCTCCCTTCCCTTCGTTTTCCCGGAAGCAGCAGTGGCAATCACTTGACGGGCCATCCTCTCATCAACCTAGCAGACTCGATCCTTCAGCACTCAGACAGACTGCAAAGATCATCACTGAGTTACTGTCGTATTCAGTTGTTTGGTGGATGCTTCTGGCTTTCGTCAGGCTTGGATTTGAAGGATGGTTCATCCTGCTTGTTTGGCTTTACGTACTCGATTTCATGTGAAAGTCTCATGCGCTGAAATGATTCCTAGGCAAACATCTCTTATGTCCTCTGGGTTGCAGTTTACAACACCTCTTTCATCCTTGGCTACATTTTACTCGACATGGTGTTCTCTCCCACCAGCACATTAAAGATACGAGATCAAACTGATCCTTCAGGCGAACGGCTGGAAAAGGGGCCAAAAAGCAGTGTGCCCGCGCTGTTGGAGGTTATCAATAGAAATAGATTGTTCTTGCTGGTTCGTTTCGCTAATGTCATCTGCATTTGGCGTCCTGACATCTATACTCAGTCAAATGTAGCCACCGGTTTGATCAATCTCAATATCCAGACTATGTCGTGGGTAACATGAAAGCGATGTGTTTATTGTGCGCATACTCTATGGGCATGTACATATCTACATGGCTTTGTAGAAGGAAACATGGAAGATGTGAGATCATTTCAAAATAACATACACTCCCGAAGCGTTTATACACTCGAGTTTCTAGTTGGTGCTATGGCAAGACGTTTGGATTTTCCGTTTGTTTCAGTCTTCAGCCCATTAGCTTTCAAGCTTACTGTGGTTATTCAGAGTGCGATCAAGGTACAGTGGTATGTGCTCCTGGCAGTATGAATTCTGTCACGTAAGACGATGCAACATATGCATACATCACGTCATGTCCATGTACATAAAACAGTTCGCTACATGAGAAGTAGATATGTAGATTTCGAATTTGGCTCCGCTTGATCAAAGGTGTCAGAAGGAACGTTTGCCACTGTTCAAAAACGTCAAAAACGTCCGATTACGATGTGTGCTTCCAAATTCACTCTTCAGACGGAGTGAAGTTGCTCCTTGCGAACAACTTGCGAGAAAATCTCCAAAGCTGCTTGGGGCTGGAAGGCAGGCTGCCAATGACATAACAGGCATCAGCAGACATCATCACCCTCAAGAGAGTTGACTGACCACTTCGTGTCCAGCACCATACACTCGTCTAAAACGTAAAACGATGAGGTATCTCTCTTGTTAACAAGCTGAGATGAAAAATGACTCACGCAAAAGAGAAGTTGTCGACGTTCTGCACAGCCGCAACAGGCTTGCCGTCGATCGTCATATTGGTGAGTGGGGTATTGTGGAGCGTCTCATTGCCATACCAATCCATCGCTAGAACTGACGCGTGGCCCTATCAGCGAGAATAATTCAGCGAAGTTGGCAGCAAAACATGGGACGACCTACCCCAAGCCAGTTGCAACTAGAGTCAAGGAGAGGCGTCAGGATCATATGAAAGATCATTACAACACGAAAACGGACACCATATCAGCATCTCCAGCCTGTTCATCCCTGGTAAATTAGCAAACTTAATGAAGCAGTCACTAAGCACGCACCCAAATGAAAATTTTCATCCTAGAGTTGACCAGAGCTGATAGCTGGGGTAGCCATGTTCTAGCGACCTTTCAGAGGAGGTTAGATTTAGCACTCGAGGAAAGAAGTCAGAAAATCACATACGTCGCCTGTCTTTACAAACTTCTCATACGGTGCGTCTGGGCATTCCTCGTATTTGACCTGAGCACCGATTTTCTTCATAACATCCTCTTTGTGCAGATAATGCACATAGTATTCAGGGGGAAATAAACCGGATGAATTTTGACGGATATCATAGCTGTCGTAATCGCCCGCAGCAGGGGTGAAGACATTGACGTCCTGGAAGAGTTTGGTGACGTCCATACATGTAGTATTGATATGCTACTCACGCAGTAATTATCGGCGTCACGGCAAATCTTGTTTGAGTGTGTGGAAGTTCCAGCAGCGTAGCAGGCATTCTCCTGCGCTACGCAACCATCAGGACCGTATAGGGAATCCGAAATGTTCTTGAGAACATCATCTGGCTGGAGCTGTCCATAGCCAGGGGCATAAGTCGCAAAGTTTAGGTATGCGATGTCCTGAATGAGCGGATCATACCAGCCACTGTGAATTCTCATTCAACGGGGTATTAGTAAGTCAAGAAAGCGACTTGCTTGTTAATCATCAGGGCGCTGACAACAATTGGAACAGCATCAATCTCCCCGCTAGCGATTAAGGCGTTTTGCTCATCGAAGTAGGTCACAAAGCTGGGTCCGTAGTGACCACCATAGCTCTCTGTGGCAAAGATGAACCTGAGCTCGGCATAAGTAATCGTCCGTAATAGCTGAGTTAAAGGACTGACTCTCGACTGGCATATTTCGAAAACAGCTGGCTTTCAAACAAAACCTGAAATGCAGTCCATACAAAGGGCGCAGCGGCTTCCGTGCTGTTTACCGTATCAGTACCGTAAGAAAACCCTGTTCCGATTGGCTGGTCGATGTAGATCACTGGATGAGGGAGTCGGCTCTGACAACGAAATCGGAGGGCTACGTGCTACATACTGTTGCTGAGATTATTCCAGCTGTAGTAACCCATGTTGGATTAGCATATAAAAATGGCTATAATCCTGACATACCTATAGGGGTTAAGAGTGGTGGAATTACGGTCGGCATTCACTAAGCATGGTCCGTTCTCTGTGAAAATTTAGAAGTAAACCAAAGGGCAATTAAACCAAACGACCTTGAAATAATCCGATCATAGAAGAACATCCAGGGCCGCCATTCAACCTGCGAAAGCAGTTCAGAGGTGCGACTCGACTCAAGTACTTGCGCGACCCAGCGGCTTCTCGGCAACCTACCATAGAGTGAACGGGGCTGTTTCCGGTGAGTTTCTAGACTCGAAGAACCAGAACCACTGTGTCTTAAGTCAGTTTAGATCTTGAGCATAGGGACTAGAGATATACCATGGACATGTTCGTTCCAACGTTAATGTAACCAGAAATTTGGGTAACATTGGGAGTTGTTTCACAGATTCCTGAGTTCTTGACATAACGAATGCCAGTTGCATTGTGAACCTTGGAGTGAATCTCGAGGTGCCCTGTTTCCGTAGTAGTATGGTTGTCCTCGACAACAGAGACGACAAGACTTATGGATACGCCGCGGCTAGCTGCTAGTAATAGCGTAACGCCAGCTCGAACGAGTGTTCTCATAAACATGCTAGTGCACGCCGGTAGGGAGATCTAAGTGAAGTCACATCAGCGACAGTCAATAGGGGAGCTCAGAGTAGACCGCTGTCCGCTGTCGCTTTCGCTTTCGCTGTTGATGCACGTGAGCACTGAGGGTTAGCAGATGTTATATAAGCAGATAAGGGCCTACTATACTATGGCGCAGTATATAGCTTCATATGTGCGGTTTATGAACTTTCGAGCACTCTTCCAACCTGCGAAAACACCAGAGGAATTAGCGCAAGAGATCGGCTCATTCGGTACTACCATACAGTGTTACACCCAACTGAATCTCCACAGGTTCTTGAGATTGTTATGAAAGACTGGATGGCCCTCAATTAATTCTAAGATCACTCGAAATACTTCTGGAGAGACTCGAAGCATATTGATGAAGCGTTGGTGGTTGGCGGGACTGTGTGCCCATTCCCATGCAAGGTGTAAGTTGCCAGATTTGAGGACAGGGGTAGTACGAGAATGAAGGTACTAGTAGCGAGTTTGTTGTATGGCTATGATACAATTTATATCCATATTAAATATTAAGCTCTTGCGCTAATTCCTCTGGTGTTTTCGCAGGTTGGAAGAGTGCTCGAAAGTTCATAAACCGCACATATGAAGCTATATACTGCGCCATAGTATAGTAGGTTATCTGCTTATATAACATCTGCTAACCCTCAGTGCTCACGTGCATCAACAGCGAAAGTGAAAGCGACAGCGGACAGTGGTCTACAGTACATATCCTGATAATGCATAATGCATAAAAAATTATAACAAATCAGGATCCAATCTTTTCGAGATGCACCAAGTCATCCATTCGTAGAAATGAGCTTGGTCCATATATTGCTGTTAATGTATAATTTTTGGTGCCAAAGATTGATTTTCTAGTGATTTGTTTGTATTTTATTTATTTATGCATTATCAGGATATGTACTGTACTCTGAGCTCCCCTAATTAACTTGAGGTACTTATAGACTACCAGACACACTCATGGCGAGATATTACCAAATGATTGGGGGCAAGTGTCCACATGATGGCGGCGATAAAAACGAGATATGGGAACGTGCTGATGGGTCGGCCCTTGGCGCTTCAGCATGATGGTGCCATTGTTTTTGACTGCTTGGTTCCACAGCTGGCGAAACGTGTGCTAGTAGAAATGGGGACTCAGTGGACGCACACGATCTTAGCACCTGCCGCATGATCCCGTAAGCTGGGCAGAACTATGGGGGTTGACTGAGTATGAGGCAGGCACGAGCACGTGGTAAGAACAAGCTTTATAGTGCCCTGTTCGAGAAGGGCAATAAACACCTTCTTTCTTCCTTTCCCTCTTGAGTCTTTGTTACATACAGCAGTTTGCAAAAGTATTACGCTGGCCAAAATCTTCACGTGCACTACGTTGCAGGAAGACATCACGTATTCGCTGTTCGGGATCTTCGGCGTCCACCTTCCTGTAATCTACGGAGAAAAAAGACAGAACACGTTCGGACAACTCTTACAGGAGATCATAGCTCATTCAGGCGACATCACAGCTCTTGACTGGGTCGGACAATCATCCAACTTCAACAGTTGTTTCCCAGCCGAGATTTCCTCTTACAAGGCTCTATCATGCATGCTACCATCTCTATCTGAGCACGACATGAAAATATCGGTCTCCATGCTGCGAAACAATATTGCAGTAGTGGAGTTGGCTTTGAAACTCTATGCCACTCTTGAGGACCTCAGCATTCCTCGTTTCCCAAATGCCAGACTGCAATTGCCTTGCATCGTATTTCCTCTCATTGAGGTCAGGTGGAGGCCTAGTCAAGATGGGGCCAGATGTTTCACTTATAACTCCAGGAGCATGCAGCTGCTATGTTGGACTAGTTACTCAATGTAATGTAGATCTATGTCAATTTTTTTTGCACTTGAAAATTTTTTGGTTCAGTTCAGGTTCCGACCACAAAAAACCGAACCAGGCCAGATTTATAAGCCGGCGGTATTGTAAAGGTCACTTATCTTTTTCCGACATTGCCCCACGGTGCACATTCCATCTTAACTACTGTATCACGATATTTGCAGACACATTCTGCGCAGACTTCTGAACACACACACACCATGCCGTCCGCTACTGTTCAAATGATAGACCAAATCATGGAGCATGTAATAGCTCAGGAGGCCGACATGGAAGCGGTGTGTTCTCAATACTACGCTAATATGAGTGGCTGAATATTGTTTCAGACAAACAAGGAGCTCAAGAGGGAGAACGAAAAGCTGAAGCAGGAGCTCAAGGCGCTCAAGGAGCAGTTTGATCGAGTGAATATTAATCAGTTAAAACATTGACAACTTTGCTGTAACACCGCTGTAGAGACTCATGCCTCTCATTGTGCAATATGGCAGTTTTCACTGGGGAGTACATGGCACGAACTTGTAGCATCACTCTGTGTGCTACCTGCAGCTATCTCTATATGAGGCGCAGCTTTCCCGCGCAACGCGCGCCATGCGCGCGTACCTTTCCCACGCTTCACGATGTATATGCGCGCGCGCTTTCCTGCGCTGTAGCGCCCTATAGCGCCAGCCATCCGGAAGCATCCATCCACTGTCCACCAAGTTCCCTAGTGCGTATATTTCCATTTCTCACATTTGCATATCGTTCCATCTTTATTTTTATCATGGACCCTTACTTACATATATCCTTACATACCTTACTCGGTAGCGCTTCGGCTCCGCATGACAGCGCTTAGGCGCCATACTTAAGCGCCAGCAGTACATACTTACTTACTGACTTACTCTCCCACCAGAACGACAGAGGACTTACTGGTTACTACCCACTATTTACCTAGCAGAACATAGTAGAAATCTATTTGTTTACACCTCGCATCTCCCTTCTCTTGTCTTACATCATATCATCACCTAAGCAAACTCACTCTTACTCTCTCTTGTTTCCGCATACACGCGCGCGCATTCCCGCGCTTCGCATTGGCCAACCAGTAGTGCTTTCAGCGCATACCTCTAGATCCTTGCTGCACTCGCTTCCCCTTTAGGGTCGAACGCACTTGTCGTCTCAAGTATAGCAGACTAGGCAACACGCGACCTTACAACAATTATAGATACAGTCAGGAGCACTGTTCGTGCCTTGCTGTATTGTTGAACCTTCACCGCGACAACTTTGAAGTGCTTGATGCTGGTTCACGTGTAGCACCACTCACTGAATCAAATGCTATGGCTGCGCTCAATGACTTGAGCTGTGACGACGCAGGAGTGAGTCAGATTCATTCAATCCGACATGTGTGGCCCTAGTACAGAGCAGAATAACAAAGTATCATGCAGAAATATCATTAAACGAGTGAGCAACAGTAGAGCGAGGCAATGAAAACTTGAAATACAACACATGTAATAATATAGCGAATCTTCTAACTACACACCTATGTCATTGATAGGGTTGAGCACAGGTGAACCCGCGGGTCGCTGAAGCCACACCACACCCGCAAACACCGCACCCGCCACGGTATGGGTGTACACCGACCCGCCAGCATCACTGAAACAGCCAATGGTGTGGTTCTGAGCAAGACAGTTTTCACTCTCTTCAAAGGACGGGTAAGCACATTCACACTCTTCTTGGCTGCCTGGCTGGCAGACTTTAGAGACGATGCTATCGAAGACGATTTTGATCATTGAGTATGATTGGATGGAAGACTCATCAGCCTCCTTTGAGTGGCGCATGAGAGGAAGGTGAATAGTATTCTGCATTTCTTCACAACCCATTGGCCTTTTAACTCATACAGAACCTGGGTACCACAAATTATTGCTTCTGTCCGAGCGCATGGAATATCATTTCACTGGCAAATCAGCATAGCTGGTGCCATCGATTATCACTCTGATTCGACATTGCTACTCAATGAACCTGCAGTCGAAGTTCACATGGTGACAGCTCAGGAGGTTATTTATGAGTAATGAAATTTTGACCCTCACCCTCGGACAAGTCGAGGATTCACACCCATCCAACACCGTAAACCGCACGTCGACGGGTCCCCATAATCCACACCGTAACCATATCCGCCACACCCGTCAGCGATAAACCGCGGGTTTACCCGTACCTGTGCTCTACCCTATATGTGGACAAATACAATCTGCTGTGCTAATAGAATCTTCTTGCGCAACGATTTCACGGACTTGTGCAGTGCTACCACAGCGCGTGTGCAGTCCAATCTTTTCGAATCATCAATCAGGTTACGTTAAAAAGCAGACACGACCTGGCGTGCAACCTCGTTGTCAACAGACCACATGGAACCAATCACACTGTGAAATCCGCAGAATTGCATGGCTGCAGCGAGATGGATCGACTCATCGGGACTCTTCTTGTTGCCCACAGTAGTGTGGCAGGTCGATAAGAAAGCAAACTGTGGGTTCTGCCAGTTGGATCGGATGATGTCCCTGATCATCAATGGACGGTCGCGCATGGCGAAGGAGGACTTGAACAGCTGTGTCCGACTCGGCATTCCGCAGCAGGCGAGATGGAGCCACTGATTATGATCGAGTGCATCAAGTGCACTATCGATTGTTGCGTTGCCATCCTCGAGGGATGTGAAGGAGACAATGGGACCAACGTGCTGAGTGACGACAGCTAGCTCGAAAGCGACACATTTGAGCTCCCTCCCTTTTACCGGATTGCCTTGACCGATAGCAACAAAATGTTACGAGGACGCATCTCGAGAAACCTGCTGTCTCACATGAACGAGAGTCGCCAAAGTGGGGGTATAAGAGAATATGTCAATGTCAGACAAATTGTCTCTCTTCTTCTCGTAGAGTCCTGCTGCATGGAGGGGAAGCAGCATGAACTCAGCAGTGGAACACCACCAAATACGCGAACCAAGGCAAACATTTAACTCCCTAAGGGCTTGGACAACAGGGTCAACAATATGAGTCCAAAGCTTGTGAAGGATGTCGACAAGCTTGCATTGATGATCGGAAGAACCAAACTGCTCTGCGAGTGATTGGAACTCGAAGGAGATCCGAATGTGAGTTGAAAAATCGAGTTTACCTGCAATTAGCATATTTCAAGGGGAATTAAAGGGACTCAGGGACTGGTGCAAAAGCACCGTTACGATGAAAGGAAATGTGAGGCCATTTCAAAATATATCAAATAACATGTACTTCCAAACTGTTTATACAGTTGAGCCTCCACCAGTTGGTGTTATCGCGAGACGTTTTCTACATATGTCTGATGACCGCAAACACAGCCGCGATGATATTCGTCCATGCAACACCTATACGCTCGATCGATGGAACGATAAGAGCAGAGGCAGCAGACAGAATGAGCGACCAGCTCGCTCTAACAGGTACATGGACGCGTTCAGGTTTGACAGTCATGCAATATCATAGAGACTGACATGCAAGCAGCTGTGGCCTCAGCACTTCGAGAATGTACCACATCCACGTTATAAGAGTTGATAGGATTCATTACTGAATCGACCTATGAAATCGGTAAGTTGCATTATGTACGGGGTGAGGAGCTGGCAGGACTTACCCCCACTCCATTCGCATAGAGGCATAATATATTCAGCGCGAGACCGATCGGGCCCCCAATATACGTTGTGATCAGCCCTGACACCCCAATAGACAACGGGACAATGATCAGCCCTCCGATCCATGTTGCTCTCAAACGATCTTCGGGACACCACGCTCCTCTGCGCTTTTCTCGCCATCTTCTTATTACAATGTCCGATAGGTGGCCAGCAATCAGAGTTCCAGCTGTTAAATATTGTGTTGGTGCACCACGAGTACAATGCTCTGCACATACTGAAACTTCCCAGACCATTTGGAAGGAAAAATGCCCCGATAATGGCTTCGTTCGTGATTCCATACTGAATGCCCTACACCACGATCAGGACAGGATGCGAGATGGAAGACAATTGTCAGCTTACAATAGTATACGCCATTGGTACGACGAGAACTGCATTGTTTTAAGTGAGAATGCACTGCATAATCAGTAACAAGTAACGACACACCATACATAGTGTTGATCATTAGAGCTGACGCGAGCATCTACATCTCACACAAATTGAGAGTTTGCACTAGCGCATGGTAAATGCACTCACAACCGCAAATAGGTTTGGACTATGAAGCAACCATAGAGTGCTCAGAGGATTAATCCATACGATATGGATCGATCTCCTGGACGGCAGTTTATCGATGCCCAATGTGCCGGGATGACTCGTCTCAGGCAATGAAAGGTATATGAAAAGCATCTCGAGTAATCCCCATGCACCAATGGAATAATGCAATTTGCGCCAGGACCAATACTGTGTCGCCGCACCTGTTCAAATGTGTTGCTAGAGTCAGCGGCCAAAAACATCCAGAATGCATTTACCTCCAACAAACGGGGCAACAGCGTACCTGATAAGTGTGATCTGAGATAGCGATGTCAGTACCAAACCGAAAAAAACCATTCAAACATCATGATTCCGCACACTAAAGAATGCCCCGATAGCAGTGCCCCTCTCCTCCAATTTATAGAGGTCACCAATTACGCCAATCCCCAACGACAATGCCCCAGAGCATCCAAACATCTGCACGAATCGCCAGAATAACAGACTCTGCAATGAAGCCGACAGGGCAACACCACAGCTCCCAACGCAGAGAAACGGCATTCCCCACAGGTATATTGTTCGGCGTCCATCTGTACTAGGATTGGGGTTAGAACTCGATAGCTACCACGAGTACAATACATGCCGTAGATGCACACACAGAAAGATGAATAAGGAGCCCAAATCAACGCTCCGATGGTATTAGCAAAGATCAATATGCTAAAAGCCAAGCTGGGAAATAGCTCAATTATTACACATCGGATGAGCATACAACACACACCTGATGGCAGCATCCGTTAAGTCGAGATCTTTAGCTATCCGAGGGATCGAAGGCACGAACGTCACTTGGATGAACACTGACCAATGTTCATCAGTATCACGCCTCTGGGTCAACAGTACGCTTAAACTCTCAGCACTCACTAGCCAACAAACCCACAAAAGACACATGAAATAGGATCCACCTCTTTCGGTCTGGCGCGAATCAGCGGTCATAAATAGCTTCATGCGGGGTGGGCACCAGCATAGGGCTTTCTTCTGAAGCCATCGTGAGTCATGAGCTGACTCCCTGAGAAGGATCAGTTGCCTACCTGCCGGCCAGATATCACGAGCCAAGACTGTAACCGATATGATATTGCCGATATATGTGGCACCGGCCTACCTGTTGCGTGTTACTAATGTACACATGTTTGAGCGAGTACATCATTCTGGCTGTTGGCATTACTGTAAAACATTATCAGTACAAGACCTCGATATGCGAGAAGAGAGAGAGACAAGTGAGGAGGGGGAAACAAAATTTCTCTGACTCTCCAACTCCAACACCCTCTCCTTCGCACCCTGCCTCTCTTTAGACTTCTCTTCCACCTTCAATCTCATCTCCCATTCCTGACCAGCTGCAGTTGTTTTTAAATCAAAGTAGTTGGTTATGAGGAGAGATCGGAATGGTCTTGCATCACCAAAATTACTGAATCCAGAGATGGTCATATATTACCATGTCGGAGCCACCATACCTGCCATATGTATCTGGCGCAAGGTCTCAATGTAAGGCAATGTTCGGAAACTCAAATTCCGGCATTCTCAATGTTATATGGTATTAGTCTGACATTGGTCTAGTGTTCCGATATACCAGATATTTCCATGTGTATCAGGCATTTGAATCTTGCTCAGACTAATCAGACATTGCAATTACATTCCGATATAATGAGACATTGCATTGAAAGCATGACAGTACAAAGCAGTGATGTACAATTGTTCTGAGCCTATGTATGAGAATGAGAATGGATGCCAGAACAGCACTATGAGAAATCTATGAGTAGGTCAATAATACAGCAGTTCAGTAGTGTACGACAGTGAGTAAATGAAAGGGAGAACATGAAAAGTGTCTGACAGCCTGCGAGCAATGCGAATGAAAGGAAAGGGCCGTGCAATGTGGATGCATTAAGGGATGGCTACTTTCTCGAACTTTTTCGCGTAGGTGCCTTGCCCTTGGTTGAACAGCCACCAGCCTGCAGATCGAGATTATTAGATTTAGTACAAACTCTGGTATATTTTGGACTTACCTTCTTGGCCTTGCGTTTGGTCGCAATCTGGATGGGTTCAGGATCCTCGTCCGACTCGGCTTCTGTCAGATCACTTGGGGCATGTGACTCGGCACGTACAGAAGCTGGAACAGGATGTGCAAGACATGCAGGTAAAGTCAGATAAGCTGATTTCAGTAAGCAGGAGGAACTGGGGTGGACTCACAAGCAGGGACAGCTGACTTTGGCTTGACAACAGGCCTGGGCCTAGGCTTAGGTTTAGGAGCAAGGGGAGGTGGAAGTGGAGTTGGCTTGCGGGGTGGAGCTGGAGTTGGCTCGCGAGTAGAAGGGACTGGAGTTGGTTCACAGGGTGGAGCTGGAGTTGACTCACAAGTAGAAGGGGCTGGAGTTGGCTCGCGGGGAGGAGTTGGCTCACAATTGGAAGGAGCAGGTGTGGGAACTGCCTTGGCTGCACGACGCGCTGCCATTTGAGCGCGGATTCTTGCCAGGTCGTTATCCCTGCCTTCGCGAGAGCCGGAGGTTTTGTTGTCGTCTCTGGTACTGTTGCTGTCACGGCCCTCCTCGTTCTTGAATATTTTCCTTAGATAAATTAGGGTTAGCATGAACCTCGAGAATATAGCAAAACCTTACACGTTCCAAGCTTTGAGGAGGTCTTCTTTCCACTCCGGATCAGGTGAATCTTCAATCAGCTCGATGATGTTGTTGTAGAATTCCCGGTAGTTGAAGGCACCGTCGATTTCGGACCAAGCATTCTTGGCACTGATGCCGAAACGAACCTGAATAAAATTGAGCGACCCATCAGTATGTTAAGTTTGAAGTAATCAAACCTGTAAGCAGCCATAGGCAATATGCACTGCTTCTACCGTGGTCATGTCGTGTAAAGCGGCGTTGCAGGTGCGTGTCGCGCGTGTCTCCCCTCCATATGCACTCGAGGGACTTGTAAAGATGTGCCGCGTAGTCTAATAAAAAAAGAATATCAATATGAAATAACGCATATAAAAAACATGCTTACCCGCTCCAATAAGTAGCCATCAAACATGCCTTTGAACATGTTGTCGTCATCATAGTCTTTACCTGGTGGGTCACCGGCCCATAGAAGTGCGGGAAGTGCACATGCAGTTAAGTTAATCTTGCCACACTGAATGTCTTTAAGTGCCCTGTGAAATGTTAGACAAATGTGAGGTAAACTTGAAGGGAAACTCACTCGTCAGCGTCCTCTGAAAATCTCTCAAGTTCCCTGACCGGACAGAGAAAGCGCGCTAGAACAGGATGGTTAATACCCATGTGGGTACGCGAACCACTTCCGTCGTATATAGCTGGACGTATCGGGTGATCCTTGGTGTTGAAGGCCGCATAATGGCCAATCTGACTCTTAAGACGTGAGGTGTCATCAGAGCGAGTGGCCGAGATAGTAGCATCCATCTGATGGATGAAATGAGCACATAATATGCGCATATATGCGCATGCACTCACCTTCTTGATGATAATATCGAGCTCGGATGCTTTCCGAGGGTCGCCAAGTAAAGGTTTCAGGCTCGGAGCAAGTTGAAGAAGCCGAGTGAAGTTCCTCTTGTATCGCTCTTGAACTCTGGGTGATCTGTGAAACAATAAAAGAATCAGTCTATGCTAAGATCTGCGGTCGACTTACATCTTCAAGAGTCGCTTGTCGCAACAAATCTGCTCATCTTTGTCTTGCGATAGCTCACCATTCTCTGCAGCATCACGCTGCTGCAGAGCTAAACCTATATTAATAAGTTGTTTAGTCTTACAAAACACGTCGATGCAACGTGCTATACAGCGTGCAGCAGCGAGAAATTCTTTGTGAGGATCGCTCTCGGTGTCCTTGTTCCTATATAGAGTTGTTATCAGTTATCAGAATATTCAAAATGGATTAACTGACCTGGTAGCCCTTTTCTCATCACCATCTGACGTACGGCGCCTTTTCTTTGACTTTGTGGCCTTCTTTGAGACCTTCTTCAGAGGTACAGAGGTCACCAATACTGAGGAGTTAGAGCTACGTGAGGACACCGACGAATCAGAGGAAATCGAGTCAGAGCGTTTATGACACGCCATGATGATGTGGGGAGAGAAAGACTCAGATCGTAACATTTGACGCATTATTAACATTTGTTTGTCACCGATTTATTAATCGTAACTGATAGCCTTGTTATCTCACGCACGCCTCTCACGTGATTATAGACTTGGTACTGCAACAAGACAAGTCCCAACATTGACTATATGCGCGACAAGAAATACAAAACTAGTTCTACAGTTATGTTACTATTAGTACATGACAGTAAGTGCGACAGTAATAAAAGAATGATAACGTGCAAAAGAGTGCTGCGAAAGAGTGCAAGTACAAATTCAGTCCAACTAGTCAAGCTTCAATGCTTCTATAGCTGCAGGTATGGTCATGAGTGCGTCAATCTGAGTGATCCATGTGCAGTTAGAGCTCTCCCTGAATCCACGGCGGGGAGGCCATGTATAGTCATTCTCATCCTCGAATTTCTTCCGTATATGGACGATACTGGGAGAATTCTTGGGGATGACGTGCAGCTGGACAGGCTTTGTGCTGATGCACTGAGGCATATCTGAGTCCCTGAAAGCACGATAGTAGATGAGCCAATGTCACAATTACAAAATGAATCGAAAGAACTTACTTGGGCGCCGGCATTGGCTCACAGACCATTGTAGCATCTGGATCTTCCTTAGCAACAGACTGCGGGATACTAGAAAGTTGGAATATGTTAGTACAATTAAGTTAGTAGTCAGAAACAAAAAAAAAACCTATTGGCTTGTCCACTAGCTTCGTCGTCGCTATCTTTATCTTCGATCACCCTGAACTCTACGGCATCCTTCAACCGTAGTATAATTTTCTAGTGTCAATGTTAATAATGAGAAATTCGAATATATTGAAAACACATACCAATGGGCCTGGGCGTTCCGGCGTAAAATCGAGGGTGTAAGTCGGCCATCCAGACAGCATATTGTCCACCTCCAACATGACAACATTGTCATGGAAAAAATATGTCCCGTTGGCCAGGTCGAGGTGGTCTTCAGTATCAGTGATGAGCATTATACAGACGTGTCGAACGATTAGAATTAATGGTATAAGAGATAAGCGCTAAGCAAAGATCGACGCGTTATTGACGCTTTGTTTATTTCTGGAAAATGCCGACTGACTTTGAAAGTCACGTGACTTTCGAAACGGGAAGTCCAAACTTATTCTTCTTGTTTCTTCGGTTAGTAGCATTGACTTATTACATCCTCCTCATCCAGCGAGCGCACAAACTCTGGTGAGTTATTTTATTTTTATTTGCACTTCACTTCCTGGTCCAACACGCCTCTAGGAGGCGACTCCGAGCACTTAAGCCTGACAGCTTCTAACTTTTATCATATTGATTCCTACTACCTACTATGTGTACTGACTTTGTTTCTTCTACTAGGCTATTTGTCTCACCCAACCTCACATCTTCGCCCAACCTCACATCTTCACCCGCCTAGCATCTTCACCCAACCTCGCATCTTCACCCACCCTCACATCATCACCCAACTTTCTAGGTTAATTCTGACTTATGCGCCTTGGCTGTGCTATTGGTCAGTGCGCCACCTCCCTTTCTATTTCTTGACTCACTCATATCACCAGCACATTGGCTCTCGCATTCTCACAACTGCCGTCGGCATCCTCATTGCATTCTCTTTACATAAACTATAGTACGTTCACCTCATGCCATTCAACCGCTTTGTCCTCATCTCACATCACAGGAACCAGAGGTCTTTGCATTGAGGTCAAACGAGATTTCGACGGCTGTAATTCATAGCACTCGCAAGGTGGAGCCGTCGTCAGAAGTACAGTTTGCTGTGGACCACGCGTTATTTAACTCCCTCGCAATCGTATGGGATAGTTTCGACCGAGAAAGCCACCCAGAAACAGTCAGTATCAGTGCGCTTTCGAGTGCAGGCAGCTGAATATGCATTTCCATCTCTTTATCACTCGGTATTGTTTACCCCGGTGACCTTCTGATGCCTTATCATATTCCCTTTCACGTACCATATGCACCAGAAATATATCTATTTCTAAATCACTGGCATTGCAGTGTGACTTGAGACTCACCCTATGGCGAATCGCCTCATGCCTCTGTTCCAAGTCCAGCCTCTCCGTTCCAAGTCTGCTAGCACCCTGAAATGATCAGCATGCCACAATGTTGATAAAAAGTGAGCAGTCCCACCCTTCCTCTTATCTGAAGGCCCTGCTCCTGCTACTTCATGGACGAACTCACCTGCCTTGGGTGTGGAAAGACTTTCAACAGCCAGAGGCACCTGAGCGCACATGAGACGCTATGCGATACTCACCATGAATTTAGCAAACAGGTCAGCAAATCTTACCACCGTGTTGAGAAGAGCCGAAAGAATAAGAGGCGAAGAATCAACCACCGAGACCACCAAGATGTCTTAGACGAGGCTGACGAAGGAGCTGGGATTCCAGATCCCCTTGAAGATATGGGTGATATGGAGACTGACAACTGGGGTGTTCAGGTATGTTTTCAGTGTTTGTTCATTTCTTGACTAATATTTTGAAATATATTTCAGGATGACAATATTCCTGGACCCTTGCAACGATCCCCTGCATATTCCCCACCATTACCTGAGTCCAGTGCGGCTCCCCAGCATTCCAATCGCTCTGGGCGTGTTATTCGCATGCCCAAACGATATGACGACTTCGTTCCCAGCGAGGATGTACCCGATGAGCCTCAGCCTAAAGATGTCATGTCTGAAGAGGGAGATCACACCGGCAATGAGCTAATTTCTTTCGAGACAGAACCAGATACAATGGGATTATACCAAGTGTATCCCACTCGTCCCACTTTATTTCCGCAGACTGGTACCACCCTCAATACTCTATGCAACTCTCTGATGTTGCAGACAAACAAAAATCCCAATAACGCTTCATCTGGGATTCACACTGGCCCCCCCCTCCCATTTTCTGTCACCCCCCAAAATCTATACTCTGCATTTAGTAGTCCGATGGCCGGTCTACTTATGTGCTGGCAATATTCCAGCTCGAACCTAATTTCTGATGCTGCCATGCAGTGACTTACCACTTTCCTCGACGACGATGCTTACAATAGGGATGACGTAAGAATTTTTGATGCCAGTCGAGAGAAGAAACTTATCGCAGAGTACCTCGAGGACTGATCCAATCCTTTCAGTGCTAGGAACGGATGGAAAGAGTCATCAGTCTATATTCGCCTCCCAAAAGAAAAAATGAAGTGGCCGTCCGAAGGCGATGCCCCCAAGCTTGAAATTAAAGGCATGCGCCATCGATCATTGGTCAATATTGTAACAGAAGTATTTGAAGATGGCGTGGCGACAACGTTCCATATGACACCATTCTGTCACATGTGGAAGGTCTCGGAAGAACAAAGTATCAAAGTTTTTTCCGAGGGATACTCTTCACCTGTGATGATGGAAGCTTACGTCAACATCAATTCCCTTCCCCGTGAACCAGACGACAATCTCGAACGTGTCGTAGCGTCTCTTATGTTGTACTCTGACTCAACACACCTTTCGAATTTTGGTGATGCCTCCCTCTGGCCATTTTATCTGTTTTTTGGCAATGAATCTAAATACACCCGCGGGAAGCCTACAGCTTGCGCATGCCATCACATCGCGTATATTCCTTCGGTAAGTTTTTTCAAATCACTCAAATCATCTACCTCTACTTACTACAAAATCAGATCCCAGACGATTTTCAAGATTCGTACTTTGCTATCTTCAAGGATGCGTCTTCATCAGAGGTGCACACACACTGCAAGCGGGAGCTTATGCAGGCAATATGGAAGCTCCTCCTCGACGAAGACTTTATGCATGCATATGAGCATGGCATTGTGATCCGTTGCGGAGATGGCATCACTCGCCGAGTATTCCCTCGGTTTTTTACATATTCTGCTGACTATCCAGAGAAGTAAGTTTTTTTCTCATTTCATGCGTTACTGAAATTGACATCATATTAGGATCTTACTTGCCGGAATTAAGTTTCTTGGTGAATGTCTATGTCCACGCTGCCTTATTAAAAAGGCCGATGTATCTGAGATGGGGACCGAAGGCGATATGAATGATCGCATAACACTTCAATGTGTCGATGATCAGGCTCACCATAACAAGATTGATCGCGCACACAAACTCATTTTCCAACATGGTGCACCAGTGGATGGCAAGCGAGTGAAATCAGTCCTTAATTCTGAGTCTCTCGTTCCTACACGCGTAAGTTGTTCGTATTGTATTCAAATCACTACTAACGAATTACAGAATGCCTTGTCTGATCGGCTTTTTACATTCGGATTCAATTTCTTTTTGATGCTAGTAGTAGACATGTTGCACGAATTTGAACTCGGTGTGTGGAAGGCTATTTTCACTCACTTGATGTGTATTATCCATGCTGCTGGGGGTGCGGCAGTGCAGGAGTTGAACTGGAGGTATGTTTTTGATTTGTTCGCTAATATTTCTCATACACAATGTTCTGCTACAGATACCGTCATGTGCCAACGTTTGGGAGAGGCACAATCCGACGTTTCCACAAGAATGCTTCTGCAATGAAGCGCCTTGCAGCCCGAGATTTCGAAGATTTGTTGCAGGCAAGTTTTAGATCATTTCACATAACATTTCACAACTGATTTCAGATTTAATTTCAGTGCGCTATACCAGTCTTCGAAGGGTTACTTCTCGACCCGCATAATGATGGGATCATCCTGGACCTTTTATTCGACCTTGCTACCTGGCAAGTGTATGCGAAGCTCCGTCTCCATACTGAAGACACCTTGAACTTTTTCGACGCGGCTACAGTGGTCCTTGGCAACACCATTCGAAAGTTCAAAAGGACGACATGTGAACACTTTCACACAATGGAACTGCCTCACGAACATGCAGCTCGAGGGCGTCGACAAGCTGCATTGGCTTCAAAGCAGGGCACGTCAGCTAAGGAGACAGCAGGTGCTTCTCGTCCCAAGGTAAAGAAGTTGAACATCCAGACTTATAAATTTCACGCACTTGGGGACTACCCGGCCACGATTCGAATGAGGGGGACGACAGACAGCTATACTACACAGCCGGTGAGTCTTTTTTTCTTGTTGATATAGTACTATCTAATTCCAGTATAGGGAGAACTGGAGCACCGACGTCTCAAGCGACGTTACCCTCGCACTCCGAAAACAAAAGCAACTATGACCACAAGCATCGCAAATCAAGATGCCATCGAACGACTTTGTATGAAGGTAATCAACGCTCGAGCACAGTTTTCTGCCCAACAAGGTACCGATAGACCTCATCGTGTGCGTACCTCACCTTCGGACCATTACCACATCGCCATATCTGCTCGCTTGACTTTTGACCTCACGGCTTGGCTGAGTAGGCTTGGGGATGATCCAGCTGTCAGGGTATGATGTCCTTCTCGCGTTTATTAAGATATATAGCTCACGGTGTGAAATAGAACTTTATTCCTCGTCTCAAAGACCACTTATATGCACGTCTTCAAGGGCTTGTATACAAAGTAGTGCTGCTGCGGTCCGGTCCAGAACCATGGTTCAAACCGGACTTTTGGTCCGGTTCTCCGCGGTTCGGTCCATGGTTCTTGCGCCAGCTAGAACCGGACCGGAAAACGGCTCTCGGTTCTAGGTCTTCCCAAATGGTCCAGTTCTGGTTCGGCCTTCCCGAACCATTCCGAACCCTTATCGACTTCGACTTCGACAACATCTGCCTCGACATCAGACTGTCGTCTTCGGGATTCACGTTGTTGATTAATCAAGCTACATTTAGCCTTTTCGAAGGTAAGCACTAACTAATTAAACTCTCAAGTCTCTCACCAACTCACCTCTATAACAGGAGGTTCTGTTCATTGAGGACCGGCTACAACACTGCGCAAGACTACCTTTTACTGGAGGTGGATATATTAGGCGCGATCAAGGTGGATTTTGGAGGGATTGTGTCTTGCACTATGCTGCAGAGGTGTGTATTATGATTTGTACTCTGAATGCTGATGGCTCCCTCGAGGGCCAGCACTCATCGCTACCAGCGCACAACCCATCACACACCACGCTACCTGCGCCTATGTTGATGCCTGCCACCTCACCGCATCCCCTCTCACTCGCTTGCTGTTCTTGCCGGCTGACTTTTGCTGGCTGGCTCGCCGTGTCTCACTCACCCACTGTCTCTCGCTCACTGTCTCACATGCCCGCTGGCTGCTCTCGCCCACTGTCTCTCACCCTCTGTCTCTCGCCCGCTGTCTCTCACCCCGCTTTCAAACCAATATTCCGCGACGACTCGACAAGAGAACAGAGGGGATCCATAGGAACGGCAAAGACACGCACACTAATCTACTGCCCACCCCCCTTCTCCTCCAGAAGACATGCCATCGAGCTGTGATACGCCTCGCCACTCTACCCCAACGCCACCCTCTCCACCCACATCTCAAACACGTCATCAAGCACCAAAACATATCCCGGCACCATTCATCACTCGACAACCTTCCAAATATACCCCGATGATGTCGAAACGATAGATCCGCTGCAAAACTCGGTCAAAAAGCAACCAATAGTCTACGGATTGCTCAAGTCACGGTGGAGGGGTAGGAGCCGCAGCCGTACTAACCCACAAAGGCGTATACTAAAATACCATCTAGGATCCGACCGTAAGCACACCGCATACAAAGCCAAGGTCGTACATTGGGACTTGAATGAGCTTTCGCTAATATGCTCGAGTAAAAGTCGTGTCATTCACACAGCAGGGAAACTAACATTTTACCACCTTTTTCCGCCAGTGAAATCACATCCTAATGGCGGTTAACCGGCAGCTTACTTCAAATTGCTTGTCTGGATCAGACGCCGCAGGTTCACATTCCCCACGGTAAGCATTGGTTGTTATTGTGTTTTATTTCATTCTCACCATTTGTATAGATCAAATCAGTTAGCTCTTGGATCAGCGGCTACAGAGGCAGAGAGGGGTATGTAGCCATGTCATTGGAGTAGCTACTCAATGTGTAAACTAGTATTTCAATGTTTTTTTTTTCATGCTCGCCGCTGAAAATTTTCGGGTTCGGTTCGAGTTCGGACCAGAAAAAAACCGAACCGGACCACAGAGAACCGTTCTCTGTGGTCCGGTTCGGGGTTCGAAGATTTTGCAGAACCGGACCATGGTCCGGTTCTCGGTTCTCGTCCAGGACCCTCTGAACCGGACCGAACCGGACAACGGCAGCACTAATACAAAGGCGATGAATATGAGTTTACCGATGCAGAGCGGAACTCAGTTTTGATCACTGACAACAAGCTCTTTGAACATGCCATCCTTTGTATTAACTACACCACCTATGACCTTCGACGCGAGCAAGACTCAATCAATCCCCGCACTCGTGCCGACCTGATGGTTATGTCACACGAGGATGAACGTACTCACCCTTACTGGTATGCCCGTCTTATCAAGATTTTTCATGTTAATGTGGAATACCACAAATCCCTGGATGTGATACGGAGCTGTCCAAAGCGTATGGATGTCCTGTTCGTTCGATGGTTCAAGTGTGACAATAATCCTTCCGGATTCGCTGCAAAGAGGCTCCAACGCCTCGAACTTTTTGAGGACGAAAGCCCTGATGCGTTCGGATTCCTTGATCCAGAGTGCGTCATTAGGGGCATGCATATAATACCAGGATTTGCTTATGGCCGTTCCCAACGACTTGTTGAACCAACGATCGCGCGACGTGAGGAAGACCCAGATTGGAATTTTTATTATGTTAATATGTATGCACATTTTTATTTTGCTATCTACCAACTGCTAACGATATACATGCTATTTAGGTTCGTGGACAGAGACATGTTCATGCGATTTCGTGGCGGTGCTGTCGGTCACAAGGCTATGCGAGATTGGGACGAGATTCTGCAGCGGGAGGGACACGTTGTCGAAGACCTGGATAATGAAGTCGAGGAAGACTCGGATATCGAAATGGAGGATGGAGATAGTGACGAGGAACTAGATGAGGTGGATCTTGAAGAGGGTGACAAGAGCGAGGATGGTGACGACGACAATGAGACTGATGAGGAGGGTGAGAGTGATGACGAGGACAGGATAATAGCCGAGTATGGTGAGGTACTTGACGACGACATACTTGCTGAAGAAGGCTATGGTGCTCTATAGGGCCTTTACTATATCACTTGAATAGCTTTCGTTGAATCTCATTTGATATCATAGGATACAATACATGATATATCTGATATCTATCTGACAGTTACTCTACTGGATGAGTTATGTCTGACAGTTGGTATGTTTGATGACATCGTGTCGGAACGATATTTCAAATGTCGGATATCACAGACATTGGCGTCAGAAATTTCAACCTGTCATGTGATGTCTGGATTCGGTAATTTTGGTGATGTGGTTTCGTGGGAATCTAGGTCAGTCGTCATGCCATCGCCGGTAACCCTATACCTGAGCAATTCTGCCTCAGCGGTCTTGAGTTTTCTCTGCGTGTTCTCTGGGAGACTGAGGTGCGCTTGAGTCTGTGCTGAGCGGTGAGTGGTTATACTTCAAGCAGCAGTTTATGAATCAGATCTTCACGATCGTAAGTCATGCCTCTCAGCTGAGGGTGCAGCCTATACCAAAGATGTGGCATGGCAGCTACATCTTTGGTATTTGCACCCATGCGAAAGTTCATCCTCAAGGCCATCTCGTTTCAGCCTATCTACTTGTTTTTTGTATTTTTCCATTTCATTCGGTCTCAAGCTGAAAGCTTACTGTGGTCATTCGGAGTGCAATCAAGGTACAAGGTACAATGGTATGTAAAGTATGTGCTCCTGGCAGTATGAATTCTGTCATGCAAGGTGATGCAACATATGCATGCACCACGTCATGTACATGTACATAAAACAGTTCACTGCATAATAAGTAGATATGTAGATTTCGAAGTTTGGTTCGCTCGATTAATGATCTCAGGACGAACGTTTTCCCACTGGTCAAACACGTCAAGAACGTCCGACCGAATTCACGATGTGTGCTCCCAAATTCACTCCTCAGACGGAGTGAAGTTGCTCCTTGCGAACAACTTGCGAGAAAATCTCTAAAGCTGCTTGAGGCTGGAAGGCAGCCTAACAATGAAATAACAAGGATCAGCAGATGTCATCATTCTCAGGAGAGTTAACTAACCACTTCGTGTCCAGCACCAAACACCCGTCTAAAACGTAAAATAATGAGGTATATCTCTTGTTAACAAGCTGAGATGAAAAATGACTCACGCAAAAGAGAAGTTGTCGACGTTCTGCACAGCCGCAACAGGCTTGCCGTCGATCGTCATATTGGTGAGTGGGGTATTGTGGAGCGTCTCATTGCCATACCAATCCATCGCTAGAACTGACGCGTGGCCCTATTAGAGAAAATAATTCAGCGAAGTTGGCAGAAAAATATGGGACAGCCTACCCCAAGCCAGTTGCAACTACAGTCAATGAGAAGCGTCAGGATCATATGAAAAGTCATTACAACACAAAAACGGACTTCATATCAGCATCTCCAGCCTGTTCCCTGGTAAATTAGCAGACAATGAAGCAGTCACCAAGCACGCACCCAAATCAAAATTTTCATCCTAGAGTTGACCAGAGCTGATAGCTGGGGTAGCCATGTTCTAGCGTCCTTTTAACAGGAGGCTAAATTTAGCACTCGAGGAAAGAAGTCAGAAAAACACATACGTCGCCTGTCTTTACAAATTTCTCATAGGGTGCGTCTGGGCATTCCTCGTATTTGACCTGAGCACCGATCTTCTTCATAACATCCTGTTTGCGTAGATAATGCACATAGTATTCAGGGGGGAACAAAGCAGATGAATTTTGACGGATATCATAGCTGTCGTAATCGCCCGCAGCAGGGGTGAAGACATTGTCAATCTGAAACAGTTTGGTGACGTCCATACACATAGCATTGATATATCACTCACGCAGTAATTATCGGCGTCCCGGCAGATCTTATTTGAGTGTGTGGAAGTTCCGGCAGCGTAGCAGGCATTCTCCTGCGCTACGCAACCATCAGGACCGTATAGGGAATCCGAAATGTTCTTGAGAACATCATCTGGCTGGAGCTGTCCATAGCCAGGGGCATAAGTCGCAAAGTTTAGGTATGCGATGTTCTGAATGAGTGGATCATACCAGCCACTGTGAATGCTCGTTCAACGGGGTATTAGTAAGTCAAGAAAGCGACTTGCTTGTTGATCATCAGGGCGCTGACAACAATTGGAACAGCATCAATCTCCCCGCTAGCGATTAAGGCGTTTTGCTCATCGAAGTAGGTCACAAAGCTGGGTCCGTAGTGACCACCATAGCTCTCTGTGGCAAAGATGAACCTGAGCTCGGCATAAGTAATCGTCTGCGATAGCTGAGTTAAGCGACTGACTCTCGACTGGCATACTTCGAAAATAGCTGGCTTTCAAACAAAACCTGAAATGCAGTCCATACAAAGGGCGCAGCGGCTTCCGTGCTGTTTACCGTATCAGTACCGTAAGAAAACCCTGTTCCGATTGGCTGGTCGATGTAGATCACTGGATGAGGAAGTGAGCTCTGGCAACGAAATCAGGAGGTTACGTGCTACATACTGTTGCTAAGATTGTTCCAGCTGTAGGAAGTTGGAATCCGTGTCGGATTAGTGTATAAAATCGACCATAATTTTGACATACCTGTAGGGGTTAAGAGTGGTGGAATTACGGTCGGCATTCACCAAGCATGGCCCGTTCTCTGTGAAAATTTAGAAGTAAATCAAAGGGCAATTGAGCAAACAACCTTGGAATAATCCGATCATAGAAGAACACCCAGGGCCGCCATTCAACCTGCGAAAGCAGTTTCAGAGGTGCGACTCGACTCAGGTACTTGTGCGACCCGGCTTCGGGGTGACGTACCATAGAGTGAATGGGGCTGTTTCCGGTGAGTTTCTAGACTCGAAGAACCAGAACCACTGTGTCTTAAGTCAGTTTACATCTGGAACATAGGGACCAGAGATATACCATGGACATGTTCGTTCCAACGTTAATGTAACCAGAAATTTGGGTAACATTCGGAGTTGTTTCACAGATTCCTGAGTTCTTGACATAACGGATGCCAGTTGCATTGTGAACCTTGGATTGAATCTCGAGGTGCCCTGTTTCCGTAGGAGCAAGATTGTCTTTGATAACAGAGACAACGAGAGTTATGGATATGCTAGCTGCTAGTACCAGCGCAAGGCCAGCTCGAATGAGCGTTCTCATAAACATGTCAGTGCACGCCGGCAGGGATTCAGAGATCTAAATAAAGTCATCAGTGACGGCCAATTAACTTCAAGTACTTATAGACTACCAGACATTCTCATGGCTAAGTGTTATCAAGCGGCGATATACCAGCAACGTGCTGATGGGTCGTACGTTAGGGCTTCAGCATGAGAATGCTGTTGTTTCAGACTGCTCGGCTCCACAGCTGGCGAAACCCACTGGTGTGCTAGAAATGGGGACTTGGCCGCACGCGATTTTAGCGGCCGCCGCGTACGGCCGCATGTGTGTGCTCCGGGCTGCTCATAATCCCGTTGCGTGAGCAGAACTACAGGGTCAGTCCTACCGGTTCAATGTAACCCGGGGCACAAAATTCTCATGATATAGCTAGGGTTTACATAATACAATTAGAATCTAGTGGCAATGTCGTCAGGCAAGATACTCTCTGGACTTGCAAAAATGTCGTATCTGCATTACGAGGCTCGATCGAGAACCACGCGAAGCATGCTTCAAGATCCTGTGCAATCTCAACAGCAATACCAACCTCTTCACGAGTGTGCATGTGAGCATGTCGACGGCAGGCAGTATGCCCTGCAATCGAGAGGATCATCATAGCAAAGACCTTAAGTGGGTGAATTTCGAAATTGACTGGAAGGCTTTTCCACCATGACTCAATGAAAGGCCGCCTGCTTGGCCACCAGCACCATCTTACTTTAGGGAGTCGACGATTTGTTTTTGCGTTTTATTTCAAATACATCTATGTTATTATATCTCGCGAGTCTCGGATACCAGTTCTGCCAGGTTCTACCACCACCTTACAGAGTGCTGCCGTGGGCCGTAGACTGGTGACCAGCCCGTCTGAGGCAAGTTGTCGACGAATGAACTGGTAAACGACCATGAGTTTGAATTTGAATTATGAACGGATCCTCGTAGTAGTCTACGTGGGTCGGGCTGCTTAACTTTACCCTTACTGACTTGTGCACTGATACTACAGTACCAATGTTGCTCAACCTCAACAGAGAAGATTTAAAGGAGATCATTGCAAGACGGGTACCTCTGACTACTGCGGAATGTAGAATTATGTATAATCCGCTTATCATTTTTTTAATGAAGCGCCAACCAGACAGGCGTGCGAGGGACAGCAGGAAAACTGATGTGTGAAGAGACAGCAATTAAGCGCAGACAAGCGACCGAATACGTGACCATATATGATGCGGCATCAAAGCAAAGTCAACCAGGGACTGAGATGTGGGGAACGACGAAGCACACTTGGGAAAGTAACCTCATGAGGTAACAGGCTGAACGGCGGAGACAACACGAGGACGGCGTGGGATGCACCAGAGTGCGAGGCAGAAATTGCCCCAACAACCATAGTCTTCTACTTGAGCAGATTGCTGTGTCGCCACCTGTACCTGAGGCTGAGGCTGAGACTAAGGCTGAAGCTGGGGCTGGGGCTGGGATTGGTGCTGAGGCTGAAGCTGGGGCTGGGGCTGGGATTGGGATTGGTGCTGAGGCTGGGGCTGGGGCTGGGACTGTGGTATTGCTGCAGGCTGAGCTGCCGTTGAGGACGACTGGCCAGTCTGGCATTGGTCTTCTTAGGGGGAGGTGCTATCCAGCACCTCTGGAGGTTCGGTTATGTACGTGGCAGAACGAGGGACATCTAATACACTACCTCCTTTTTTCTTGCGGCAGCGACTGTTACTGGCTGCGGGCCAGTGTACCGTGCGAAGAGACTGCGCTTTGGGCGTTGTTGCAGCGCAATGGCCTCATTTGCTGTTGGATGGTGACGAGAGGGGATGAAGACGTTCCAGAGGTGTCGAGCCGAGGAAGCACGGAGTCGCAGAGAGCGACGGGAGGGGCCTGATAGTACCGAAGGATGATATGACTGCGAAGATGACGAGTATACTTATTATCAATACTGGTCCCCTTTGCATGATGAAACATGAAATTTACCTGGAAAAAGTCACCGTAATCATCACCCCACGATTGCACAAGAGGGTTTGTAGCGTCGACCTGTGACAGTTCTGTGAACAATGGAAGAAAGACAGTCGAATGCGAGAGTACTGACATTAAGGCAGGACGACAGTGGTGACTAGGGTCGAGTGTCCTTCTGTGTACCTTGTCACCTTGAAGTATGGTTGTAAAATCACGTACCGGAAGCTCAGGAGCTATGTCTTTGACCATCCACAAAGTTATTTTGTTGTTGTCCCCGCCATGTGTGATGTATCTCCCATCTCGAGAGAATGACACATGGTGAAGGCGATTGTAATAATCCTGGCTGAATGGCTCGCCGAGTGGTTGATAGGATTCTGTATCCCATAGTTGTGCGATACCCTGGTCGCCCACACACGCCAGTACATTGTATTTGGGTGAGAGTGCGATGGAATCCAAGTCGTGGTCGTGCTCGAAGCGATGAAGTTCTGTGCCTGATCTACTATCAAAAACCCGTGCATCTCTATATGAGGCGGAGTAAAGTTTTGTGCTATCTGACGACCACACCAAAGACACCACATGCCACTCCATTCCGCATATGGGGCCGATCATGAGCTGGCCTGTTTTCGTGTCCCAAATGCAGATTGTTTCCCATCCGCCTGATGCAATTTTGTCGCCTGAAGGTGAATATGCAAGAGAACCCACCCAATCCTGGTTTGTCTCGATCGGGCCCACCTCTATTTCGCCGCTTTCTGTTTTGTGAATCAGGACCATCCCTTTGTCGGTTCCGCTCGCAATATGGTCTCCACTGGGAGACCACGACAGTGATTTCACTCGCCCACCATCATGACCCGCCCACTCGCCTTCAATCATATTGCCGTCGGTATCCCATCGCTCAACACTTCCGTCATACCTTCCGCACACAATAGTCTTCCCGTCTGGTGAAAGCACTAGTGCAGCTATCCCTCCCCTCTCGTCTTCCCCCTTGTCTCCCCATGGTTCCCCGACCAGAAGTCCTGTGTTGCAGTTCCACTTGCACATCGTGCCACTATCTGAATAACTCACGATGTGTACGTTGTCGTGCAAGAAGACGAGATACATAACGATTTCATTATGCACTTCAAATTCGTGCTTTGGTGTTGGTTTTTGCGGTTGCGGTGAAGCTTCCTCCGTGGACGGCATTGCAGAGGATTCGGATTCAGAAGACATAGCTTCCTGAATGGTCTGTGTTGCAAGGGATTCAGAAGTCATAGCTCGTTACGGTAAGCCGTCCGTATGTTTTCGGCTCTGACAGTGTCAGACTGCTCATGAGTATAGCAAATGAGAGGAAAAGTTGACTAACACTCACCAGTTGTTCTAATTTTTGTTTCGCTGGTAGCGGCAGCCTAATAAGAACGGTGAGCCTGGTACTAGAGGAAAGGGCCGAACTTCATCAGCAGGGGTCTTGTTTATCGTTATACTACTGTTCATCGTGTGGTCAGTATTGGTTTTGCGTACCATGTAACACCGCTGAACGCGGCAAGTCCCGACTCAAATCATGACGGAGGCAGTTACTACTATTAGCGAGTTAGGATAAGTTTTAAACTTCGAAGCTCCAAGAAAGTCAACGTCTCACCCGGTACTTAGTTACTTAGTAGATCTGTTCAGGTTAGACTCAAGATCTCTGAGTCACAACTATAGCAACATCGTAAGTAATACCTCCATATGCGCATAGTCGCGATGATTATCAGCCAGGTACAACTTTCCATTGATCAATCTACATGTGGCAACGACAATCATTGGATGCCCCAGACCCTACGTGTCAGGAGTTGAAGAAGAACACTTGGTCCCGGCGTTTCCACGAGGCATGCTACGCCTTTCCCTTGTCTCTGCTCGAGTGCTGGGTCTTCGACCTCTACTCTCGCAGGCAGCGCGGTGGACTCGAGGAGCCCGTGCCCGATCTGTCGCAGGTCAAGCAGAGCTTGGACATCTGCCCGATTGGTACCAGGTGCATATGTAGTATTCTCCTCTCTTCGGTCAGTGACGAACATGCCACGAGTAATTTCTCCGCTCCTTTATATGAAATATATCAGGTTAACAATAAATAATCGGGACACGCAGGATCGCACCGTTCAATATCGAATGTTCGCTCGGCTATAACCCATCCAGTCGACATTCCAGGAAGACTGCCAGCTGGAATGATTTCAGGTGGATTCTCGATTGCGCACCAAATGGCGACAATATCATGCAACTCTAGTACATCCTTTCCAGACTCGACCATGATTTCCCTCGTGCGTTCGAAAACAGAGCTGGTAAAGTGGACAAGGGGTGATTTACCATCTGCATTCGACGGTTGGGCTGTAGACTTGAACGCAGGGTCTACCGTTTGTATATAATGCGGAAAAGGGAGTTCGTGGCTAGTAGTGATATCCAAGGGAGCAAGTATTACTCTGTCGAGCGGGAGACCACTGGTAAGATTTGTCGGTACTAAGAGTTCTCTCGCTGCATAAGGATCGGCAAAAACATTAACTGGATATGCAAACAAGATTAGTAGGATTTTCTACACGAACACGTCTTTAACTACTTACATTCCGCGACCGAAGTGGTGTTTCCGGGAACATCTAAGGCTCCTGCCATGGCAATGACTCGACCGATTTTATCCACAACTGTTTGACGGTGTTGGCGTACAAGTTGTGCCAGGTTAGTCATCGGACCCAGGACTACATATGTGATGCTTCTGTCAGGACGTGACTCCAGTAAGCGCAAGGCCACCTCGACACCTGATTCTTTCACCAGTTGAAAATTCTGGCAAAAAGACGAACTTCCGAGGTCGACATTCAAGTCAGGGTGGCGTTCGCTTATATTTGATAAACCATCACTACAGTAACAGTGAGAACCTATCTCCAAAGTTGAAGAGGAACTTACCGGCCGTGGAAGTATTGGGCAAAGTGCCGTCCACCTTCTAAGGGTCCATCTGGTCCGACTACAAGGAGGGGTGGGACTGTGGGTGAAAAATTCGGAAACCTTGCGGCATCTTCAGGATATAGCGCAATGTGACGCCCTATTGCCTGGTAGACCTTGTAGATGTTGTCGCTGCGGAATCACATTCAGTTATTTTGGGACGTGGATTGAGTAGCGCCTTAACTAAGCTGCGTGAACATCGGTATTCCCTGTTATCGAATATTGATAAGGTTCTCATTTCAAGCTATCCCAACGCATTTACGGACCGAATGAAATGATGTACGCAAGGATTTCGAGTTCGGGAGATGTAATGGCAAGCAGGCTGTCGATGCTTTTAGAACAAAGTTTCTCTGAATTTGTGGAGGGAATCGAAAACAAACATAGCTAGAATGTCATCCACGCCAGGGTCAGTGTCGACTACGAGCCATCGTCAGATAAGAGTGAGCACAGCGTATTCGACCGACCACTTACTGATGATTGGCGTCCTCGTCTTCTCTTGCATGTTACTATCGGATGGTCAACAGACAGAATCAACACAAATAGGGAAAAGGCCTTTATCACTCAGATTATATAGCATAGTTGAGACCCAGTCAAACTCGACAAGAATGAGATGAATACGTGTCGAAGCGTAGAACAAGGGCGCCTTATGATGAGACACATAATGATTCTACCGATGGAGTTATGAATTCATGCAGAGGGAATGTTTGCGGGTTTATTCGCCTAGTAGAACAGGTGCTGTTACTCTAATTGCTGTTGCGGCGGCCGATGGGCTTCAACATGACCAAAAGATTACGAACCACATGCATGAACACTGCACATATGGAGATATGGCATACAACCTACAAACGACCGTGGAACGTTCGAACACTGATCATGCGTCGGTGTGTATGTAACGGATATTTGATTAAGGATCATTTGAATTGCTACACCAGCTGTATTGTACAAGTAGGGCGGAAAATTTCCCATGGAACCCGGACCTATTAATTGAAAGAACAGTCAGCCAAAGTACTGCGGAGCACAATGAGATAAGTATCAGAGATCTTGGTGGAAAATTGGTCTCATCGGACTAGCCTCTGAAGTAGCAAATATTGAAAGAATAACATCATAAATGATGCGCAGTTACGCCGACTCACCATGCTCAAAGTTAAACGAAGTCCCGGTCCGTGTCAAGTGCATGCACGTTGTGAAGAAAGTGTGGGACGTCAGACTTCATAAGGCGGAATATGCCGGAGAACTATGCAGCTGAGGTCACGGTGGCTGTCACGTCACGCCTAATCTGAGGCCATACTCATCCGTGTCCCTCTCGATATCCAGCGACTTACGACTAATGGCTGAATCCTTGCGTTTTCTTGGCTCCCTCCCCGGCCACAAAGGATGGGTCACCGCCATTGCTACCTCCTCGGAGAACCCAGACATGATTCTGACGGCTTCCCGAGGTATGAATGACACTTTTGCATAATTCTTTAGTTGACCTTAGGGCCCAGACAAGACCATCATCGTTTGGCAGCTTACTCGTGATGAAGACACGTATGGCTACCCCAAACGAATTCTTCATGGCCACAACCACTTCGTCTCTGACATCGTCATCTCTTCCGATGGACAATTCGCCCTTTCCTCCTCTTGGGACCACACCCTGCGTCTCTGGGATCTGAACACTGGTCAGACCACCCGCAGATTCGTTGGCCACACCTCCGATGTCTTGTCTGTCAGCTTCAGCGCAGATAACAGACAGATTGTTTCTGGTTCGCGTGACCGAACAATCAAACTTTGGAACACCCTTGGAGAGTGCAAGTATGATATCAAGGATGATGGTCACACTGAGTGGTGCGTGGGAGTCATGCTCAAATATATATCATACCTTGACAATACGGTCTAGGGTGTCATGCGTGCGCTTCAGCCCCAACGTCATGAACCCTGTGATTGTGTCTTGTGGATGGGACAAGGTTGTGAAGGTGAGCGTTCCCTAAGATCCATATCACTGGCCCTCCTAGTCGAGCGACGTTATATCTTTATTTGTTACTTCGAGAGTAACCGCCCGATGAGATGATCTTTTCCATCAAAGATTTATGAATCGCTCGTAGCAATGCCCTGGTACACTCAGTGCTAACACTACTTTAACAGGTCTGGGAACTCTCCAAGTTCAAATTGAAGACCAACCACTACGGCCACACCGGCTACATCAACACTATCTCTGTCTCTCCTGATGGTTCCCTTGCTGCATCAGGTGGCAAGGACGGCATTACCATGCTTTGGGACCTGAACGAGGGCAAGCACCTTTACTCGCTTGAGGCTGGTGACATCGTCAATGCTCTTGTGTTCTCGCCCAACCGCTACTGGCTATGCGCTGCCACTGCCAGCTGCGTTAAAATCTTTGACCTTGAGAGCAAGTACGTACTTCCAAAATTTGTTACGAAATCTAGCTTATCGGCGTGATCCCCAGGTCGATTGTTGACGAGCTCAAGCCCAGCTTCACTGATGTTGGCCCCAACTCACGGGAACCTGAGTGTGTGTCGATCGCATGGTCAGCAGACGGGCAGACGTTGTTCGGTGGATTCACTGACAACCTTGTTCGTGTCTGGACTGTCACTTCTTAAAATCTTCCGGGGAAGTCGCGTGGTGGAGGACAGATTGAGGTTTACCCTACGCATCGTTTTTACTGTAGCAGGCTGCTTGCATCTCAAAAAAAAAACACTGCATTTCTCAATTCCTGGTAGAATCTATGGCTTAATGAACATTCACAAAACTCCTGGGGTCACGGCTTCCCGCATGTTTCGTTGACGTTCCGCGTAATCCCAGCGATCCAGGCCTCCAAAGTCGATCTTCATCGCGCCAGAAGACAGGTTTACTTGCAGTTCGCAGATGTGTGATACCCTGGCTCTCCAGCTGTCGGCCCTGTAATGATAATTAGCACTAATGACCAAGTGTATTTCATCGGCCTCACGTTGCTGTCCCATACATGTCCGAGCTGCTCGGACTGACCACTCGCACACATTGATCGCTGTTGGACTTCGCGTCATATATCCACAAGTTCTTTCCCACATAGACCTCCTGCCAGCCACCTGAGTCAACTAATCTGTTTGGGGGCCTGATGCGTTTGGTATCTGGTGGAGGAATGGGGGCTTGTCGAACATCCACATCATTAAAGAGGCGAAGCGCCGCAAGGTTTGAGATGTTGGTTATCAGAGCACGTTCCTGGGATAAAGACGGATTGATGATGTGAAAGATTGCACTGAGTGAGTTCTCCGAGTCATCATCAGATTCGTGGCTGCCATCTTCTACTGTCGTAGTAGTTGCAGCAGTACCACTCGGACTTGCTTTGTTGGGCTCAAGTTGATCGTCCATCGTCATGTCATCTTCTTCCAAAGGGCTATCTGCAAACTCCTTCTCTCCTTCTTCCAATCGACTGCAGAAAGCCAACCAAGCAGCCTCATCGGAAAAATCAGTTCGCAACAGGATCCCCAGCTCTTCTCTGTTAGTCGACGCTTCGTCAAAAGGATCACTGTCTATGTGGAATTCCGCATCGCCATCAGTAACGACGGCAGTGGTCTGGGATATGTTTGAATGCCGGGGATCATATGTGAACAAGATCGTGATTTGCTCAGTGCTTACAGATGACAACATTTTTTCGCTCGAAGCCCAGAACTTCTGTGCGACCTGAAGCTTCCATCGTCTACGACCTTCGTTTGGCGATCGGCTCTTAATCGACGCGTAGTGAATCTGTGATCATGATGAGCTCAGTTTAGGCCTTTGAAAGAAGTACTAGTGACTGAACGCACAAGTAACCATTCTCCGAAAGTACTCGAAGACATCTTGTGCGGATATATAGGAACGTCGGTGTTGCAATGTTAAGGATTGCCTGATTGTTTTGCCAGGTCACCACAGGAACTTCATCACCAACAACTTGAACGTTAACTTGAAATTGCGAGAGTAGCGGTATTTCAGTCCATAATTAGTTCAAACGCATCATATGGGACTCGGGCTTATAGGGCATTTTTTGATCAAAACTTGCAGCCGATTATCGCACAGTTGTCCGTATATAGAAAAAACTTCCACGAATCGTTGGTATGGAGGGAGACGATATGGGGTTGCAGGTCATAGGACTTGTGCAGCGCTCATTGACACACTAATTGTATCCGATTGGTGTGGATAGTCAACTAGTCACTGGTCACTGCTGGAGTCCCACTACGTTTCCTGATCCGAGATTGCCCCATAGCGATTCAAATCATTTTTGCTGACCTCCAATGCAATGATGGTCCGCAATATAAGCGTCGAATGGTTCTCAGGCATATAGACGCGTGTCCATCCTTTCCTGCATGGCACCTCCTACAGGAACTACTGGTAAGCACTGAACACAGGTTCACCCTCGATGTCAGGACAGGATTGATTGAACGAAATGCAGGAACTCAACTCGGACGAAGGGAATGGGCCTTTGCGTTCGCTCTTGTGACGTCCTTATTTTTTACTTGTGAGTCATAGGTCTCTTTGTGGTATTGGTACCGAAATAACGAAGTTGACGGCGAACTGCAGGGGGTTTTGCCTATGGTGTATGAATTTCCTGCATTTGCAAATATATTCCTCCAGCTGATCGAACCTTCGATAACAGCTTCTTGATGTACTCAACGCACACTTCCAGACCGTATTCGGGATCTCCAAGCTTCAGAGCACGCTCTTACAATTAGCATACTTTGTAAGTGTCTGGTCCTTGATGATAGCGTGATCGTTCTCGCTAATCGCATGTTAGGGTGCATATTTCGTGTGGGCACCGTTCGCGGGTGTATTTGTGAGTCACATCAGTGTTTCCTTCAGAGCAATACTAATTAGAGCAGATGCGACGAGTAGGATACAAGGTGACTCTTAATCTGGAGATCCACAAACCAGATAACGAACAGCTTCCACTTATAGAAAGGCATTCATATCGGCCTTGGCTTGTACTCCATTGGTATTGGTGTCCTCATTCATAAAACACACAGACTTACCATCTCTTAGGTGCCGTATTCTTCTGGCCATCCGCGAAATACGAATCATATGGAGGGTTCGTCGGGAGTACATTCGTAATCGGTAATTGACCTTACAAGAGCTATATCACTATAGTACTAATATCTTACCCTACCTAGGTTGCGGCCTCTCAACACTCGAGGTCGCGGCCAACTCCTACATATCTGTGCTCGGCACGCCTCAGTATGCTGCCGCCCGTTTGAACTTCAGTCAAGGGTTCCAAGGCATCGCATCCTTTGCTGGACCCTTGATCGCTTCACGCTGGTTTTTCACTGGTGCCAATGCGACCAGTCTTGGCACTGTGCAATGGTCTGTTTGATAGCTTTTGTGCAGGCACCGTACTAAACTTTTATTAGGGTCTATCTTGCAGTCGCTGGCCTCGGCATAGTACTTAATATACTATTTTTGTGAGACCAAATTTTACATGACAGAACACCCGTCCTAACCTTCCACAGCTTCTGCAACCTACCTGAAATCACAGAAGATGCTTTGGCTGAAGAGATAGATGAGGTTGGCATCACAGACGGCCAAGGACCTTTCTGGAAGCAATATCGCTGTATCTTTGGGTTTGTTGCCCAGACCGCCTACGTGTGCGTTTTTCTGGTTCTCTCCGGCTTGTGTAGTGGGCCTTAAATATACCACAGCGGTGCACAAGTAACCATCGCCTCTTTCGCCGTCAACTTCCTCGTTGACCAAGGAGTTGGTATCGACCAGTCAAAGGCTAGCCAGCTCTTCTCGTTCTGCCAGGTCACATTCACCGTAGGACGGTGAGACATGACACGATTTTCTACCTTCATCGACATTCTGAATTTAATGGCTTACAGATTTCTTGGTGTATTGATGCTCAACTTTATCGACCCTGCCTTATTGCTAGCCTTCTACGGATTTTGTTGTTCGTTGTTCTGCCTCTTGGTCTCTCAGCTTCCTGGGTATAGCGCTGTCGCATGTCTCTTCTGTCTGTTCTTCTTCGAATCCATTTGCTATCCTGTACGTCTCTTCCTCTTTTTGAGCTACACCTCATTTATCGTGTACTTTCAGTGTATCTTCACCCTAGGCACTAAGAACCTCGGAGTGCACACCAAGCGGGGTTCTGGTCTTATTGTTATGGTGAGTCCTCTCGTGTTCTGGCTGTCCTCGATTCAAGGTTCTCACTAAACTCAGGGTGTTGGGGGAGGGGCTTGGTACCCATCTGCACAAGGTGCCCTCGCTGACGCAACAAATACCCGTCACTCGTATCTTGTCCCAGTGTCAGGTTACATCGCCATGACCATTTACGCTGTGTAAGATCCAGCATTTTTACAAGTTTGCATTGTTCTCAACTATATACAGCGGCCTTGTTGTCGACCAATCGAGGAAGAACGGATTCTCATTCCGCAACCGCGATGAGCTTACCGACAACTTGAAGCATACCTCTGATGACGTCTCTCCAACCGAGTCGCTCCCTGGTGATGTGAAAGGACGCTCGAGCAGTGAAAAGAAGGTATTCAGTGACGAATTAGTTGGGGTTGCATGAAAATACATTCACAATAGAGTAAGCACGAATACCATGGCCTCCTCGATCCGTATAAGCGTCCACTACCCCGCAGATATTATTAAGTATCCATGTATATAAAGATACCAGTACCATCCGGTGAGTATCTATGACGGCGACCTGAATGACGTGAGTTTGTATGATATTCATCGCCGATGCCTTGAACCGCTACATGATCTACGATTTACTCGAATATTGTCGCTCAAATTGACAGAAAACCCCTACCTTTAGAGTGTATGTGAGCTTCATGGCCTTTGATACGGGCGGATACGTATTTCCCGCACATCAGTAAATCACCGGGCTCTGTCCAGATCTGGACAGCGCGCCATGTGCACAGCTTGGTCCCTTCTAGCTAGTTCACTACAGTAAAACTTTTTCTGTCAACCTCTGCACAGACCCTCACAAACCTGCCTAGTGAGGACCAAATAGGTCTTGAATATCATCATTTTTCTGTCTGTCTGTACAGATCTGTCCATGTTCATGCAGATATTCACAAACCACTCAGAAGTTCACTCGGCTCGGGTACAGTAGCTCATTTCTGTCTTGTCTTGTACAGATCTGTCCATGCTCACGCAGATACTCACAAATGACTCAGAAGCTCACTCGACTCGGGTACAATAGTACATCAGCAAACTACTAATTTGGCGACAGATTTCACACGAGTCACAAGCGCACACAGATCCACACAAGGTCTCACAGACATCACAGACATCACAAGCGTCACAAGAATAGTGCTGGTAAACATTGAAACAATAGTGTGCAGGAGGAGTAAATCAGAACAGTATATACTAGTATGTAGTGCATAAATCAAGTACTACTGGTTATATCACATGTGAAGTATGTATCAATATTTGTTAACAATAAGATGTATGGCCGAACCTAACTTACAGCGCACTCAGGCTGTACCACATTGAGGACTTGAACCCACAAATGTTGAAATACCACTTTTTTTCCTCTCTATATGCATACGCCCTACGTTGAGGTCGGCCGTTAATAGACACATATTTGCAGCTTCAACACGATGGCGGTAGAGGTCCACAAGTACCATATGATGCTCTAGGGTGCAATCCGCCAGGGCATTTTGAGCCTGGCACACTTTGCATCTTGATTTAGCTGCCTCGAGGGCCAGGTCAGAGTGGTCGTCCTCTTCGTCGGCTTGGTAGAATGAGGCACAATCAAACTCCTGACAATGGCAGATAAGAAAGTGCAGAGGAAATTAGAGCACAGAATAACTCACAAGCTGCACTCCTCCTGTAAAGCCGTCCTCCTCTTTTATTAAGCATGCCGATCGAGATGGTAATGATTCGGAGGTTGTTGATTGTGAGGACAGGTGCAGCAGTGTGCTAGTGCTGTATTGGAGTAGTGATGACTTGGAAAATGATTCAAGTTGGAATATAATGAGCGCAATGATTGAGAAGAAGGTGTAGAATGGCGAGAACTTGAACAAGAAGAGTTTCTGGAATGGCGAGAGGGTGTAGAATAACGAGAAGGAGATAGGGCTAGAGGCTCCATATGATGATGAATGTTAAGTTGGAGGCGTGTGAATCTCGCATACCTTATGTCAATACCATCATGTCCAAAATGCGGCAAAATATTCATGAAGGAGTCTAGTGTGACTCGCCACCTTAGCCAGCCCCGAACCTCATGCCATAGCTCTATTTGCGATATGGTTGACATTTTGCAGTTCACAGAGTTGGTCGAACCACGTTGGCGATCCCTTGATTCTCTCTCTTCTCAGTTTCCTTCGGATGACCACTGTGACAGGGTTTCATATCCTGATCCTGGAGATGGAATGGATTTTGACATTGGGGGAGACCACTTCGACACAGTGGGAGAGGAATCATCAAGTGCAGAGGAATGGTACAAGGGCGCAGGGACTTGTTACTCTCGGGACGGCACAACCTTCTTGGACCTATTCGACGCTGATGAGTATGCGGACTGCAGGAAAGATAATCATTTTTATCCTTTTGCATCGAGGAATGAGTGGGAAGTTGCTGATTTTCTTCTTCGGTCCTCCCTCAGTATGGCGGCAATTGATGAATTTTTGGCACTCTCGATGGTATGTAATCTTTTGCACTTGCACTTGTCCTTCTCCTCGCCTTCTTATTGATGATTACCCTTGCAGATTCGCAAACTAAAACTATCTTTCAACAACGCTAAAGAATTACGAAGCCGTGCCAAGATGCTCCCCAAGGGACCGAGCTGGAAATGTCAACCCATTACCTCGCCCCATAGCACGAAACACCCAATCCGACTATTCTGGAGGGATCCTGTTGAATGCTTAGAGAGTCTGTTCAGCAACCCCCTCTTCCATGACAAGCTTGACTTTGTCCCTCGTCGCGTGTACACTACTGCAGCACGGGTTCTGCGCGTATATTTGGAGTGGCTGATGGGTGATTTTGCTTGGGATATCCAGGTACATGCATCTGAGTCTCTAAAATTCGCATCATCTCATCATAGGCTCTGCAAAACCAACTACCTAGAGGCGCTACAATCCTTGGGACTGTACTATCTTCCGACAAAACAAACATCACCACTATGACTGGTGCCAGGGTCGCTCATCCACTTCTTCTAGGCCTTGCAAATATCTGCATGCGCACTCGCACCAAACTCTCGTCTAGGGCATTCCTACTTACAGCTCTCCTCCCTATCCCACAGTATTTGCACCCCAATCAACGGATGTGGGGCGTGCTCGAAGATCGCCTCATACACAAGTGTCTTGTCATTGTCTTGAAACCATTGATGATAGCAGCCGAGATCGGGATCATGATGTCAGATCCAGTGGGCAATGTTCGTCATTGTTATACGCCTCTTGCAGCCTACATTGTCGACACCCCCGAGGCATGTATGCTTGCATGCGTGCGTGGCAAAACTTCCCCGTTCACCATGGCGTCATATCTTGAGTTTGGGGATGATTTTCGTCATCCCGAACGCACGCGCTCTGTCACACTTGAACAGCTTGCGAACATCAAGGCCGACCCCAATAACCTCGAAGCTTTTTTTGAAGCATGCGCTGAATACCGGCTAAACGGTGTTCACGCACCTTTCTGGATGTACTGGCCGTATGCTGATCCCTCAGTCTTTCTGACACTGGAATCTCTGCACCACTGGCATAAGGAATTTTGGGATCACGACCTTCACTGGTGTCTTGTAGCTGTTGGAGCACTGGAACTTGATTTTAGATTCTCGATTTTGCAGCCAATCACAGGCTACCGCCACTTCTCTTGTGGAATCTCAAAGCTCAAGCAAGTCACAGGGAGAGTTCACCGTGATGTTCAGCGCTACATCGTTGGTTTGATCGCTGGTACAGCCCCTCGTCGTTTTGTAACCGCGATCCATGCCCTTATGGATGTCCAATACATGGCGCAATCCCCTTCCCCCGATGATAACCTATTGACATCTATCAACCAATCGCTCTTGATATTTCATCAAAACAAAGATGTCATCATGTCATTGGGCGCACGGATGGGTACTAAGAAACCAATCGACAATTGGTTCATACCTAAGCTGGAGCTAATGCAGAGCATTACTGCTAGTACACATAAAGTCGGTGCTCTCATCCAATGGTCTGCGGATGCCACCGAACATGCTCACATATCCGAAATCAAGGACCTCGCACGACATACCAACAATAACGATTACGATCCGCAAATCTGTCGTCACTTGGATTGATTGGAGAAGCTACGGCACTTTGAAATTGCCACAACGTCAAAGAGTCATGTCGTTGATCCTGGTACCGAAGTCGAGGATGAGGGGGGCGAGGAAGAGGGTACTGTGTGTGATGAAGAAGAACCAACTGATCCACGAACTGCGCTCCTAGAGGAGCTCAATTGTACATGCGTTACTACTAACTATTTCAACAAGGCCAAGGATATAATTACTCTGTCGCGTCAAGCTAGCACTTACCCAGTGTAGAGACTCATGCCTCTCCTTGTGCAATATTGCAGTTTTCACCAAGGAGTATACAGCACGAACTTGTAGCATCACTCTGTATGCTTCCTACAGCTATTCCTACATGAGGCGCAGCTTTCCCGCGCAACGTGCAACTTGCGCGTGTACCTTTCCCGCGCTTCACGATGTATATGCGCGCGCGCTTTCCCACGCTTTCCCGCGCTTGAGCGCCCTATAGCGCCAGCCATCCGGAAGCATCCATCCACTGTCCACCAAGTTCCCTAGTGCGTATATTTCCATTTCTCACATTTGCATATCGTTCCATCTTTATTTTTATCATGGACCCTTACTTACATATATCCTTACATACCTTACTCGGTAGCGCTTTGGCTCCGCATGACAGCGCTTAGGCGCCATACTTAAGCTGCCAGCAGTACTCACTTACTCACCCATGAGAATGACCAAAAATGAACCACAACGATACCCATTTACTACCTAGCGGAGTATAGTTGAAATCTATTACTTGGCACCTCGCATATAACATCTCTCAGCTTGCATCTCTCACCTCTTGTCTAGTGTCTAATCATCACTTAAGCAAACTCACTCTTACTCTCTCTTGTTTCCGCATACACATGCGCGTATTCCCGCGCTTCGCGCATTCTCGCGCCTCGTGCGCACCTGCGCTTTCCCACGCTCCGTATTTGCCAACCAGTAGTGCCTTTGGCGCCTACTACTAGATCCTTGCTGCACTTGCTTCCCCTTTAGGGTCGAACGCACTTGTCGTCTCAAGTATAGCAGACTAGGCAACGCGCGACCTTACAACATTTATAGATACAGTCAGGAGCATTGTTCATCCCTCGCTGTATCGTTGAACCTTCAGCACAACCTTACAACATTTATAGATACAGTCAGGAGCATTGTTCATCCCTCGCTGTATCGTTGAACCTTCACCGGGCCCACCTCGAACATTTACCACCGGTAATGTTGCCATTCACCTGAACTACAATCCAACCCGCACCGGGATGAAACTTGATGATGTCTCTGACAATTTCAACATACCGGACCTCCGCCATGCTCTTTCGGCCTTCTTGCAATGTGATATGAGGAACGGAAACATGATCCATGGAGTTGCGGTTCCAAGAAGATCACTTATTGACCGTCCTCCAATTCTTCCCTTTGATCGAGTCCAAGTATGGCACACTGTTCGCTTACAACAGGTTTCATACCATGATTCGAGTCTTGCCTTACCGGCCCAAACCTTGCACGCCTCTCCTTCATCCCCCGAGTGGTTGAAAGGCCGAAGGAATGCTGTCCTTGTGAATATTGATGGACAGTATGAATGGCCCCAGTCCAGGTTAAAAGGTGAGCACCTTTTCTACTCATCAATTTGGCCTATATATATTGACCCCCTCAGGACACACCATCTGCGAATTGCAGCTCATCATGTGCCTGATGCCTCGATGAGGTTCTCGTATTGGATGGCAAGATCAGTACCTGTGTTATGTCCATAACATGAAGATTGGTGCGGTTGACCCTGTAACTGGAATGCACATTGTGAAACGTGCTAAGCATGCCAATGGTTCTCCAGTGGGTGATATAGTTCCCCTTTGGCAAGTTCTGTTACAGTAACATGGCATGAGTCCCCTGCCAGCAGAACAGCCCTCTGCCACCGCACGGCTATAGACGATACCGGAGTCTCACCAGCTCTATGACGATAGATGACGACAGATGACGATAGATGATGATAGATGATAAGTGGCAACTGCCGGCTTAGATAAGCGGTCTGGACCGCACGTGACGACACATGACAACATAGGTCTAGAAGACCTATTTATGTTATCAAGATAGAAGGCAAGCCTCGTGCTGCCTCATGTACTGATAGAAGGATGCCTCATGGATCCTATCTACGATAGAAGCCCGCCTCATGGACGCTATCTCTGACTCATGTAGATAAGCAGATTAGAACCCAGCTTTAGGCTGAGCTTAGATACGAAGAGTAGCCTTATATAAGGTCGAAGATTAACAGTAGACGTTCCTTACTTAATCTTACTAGGTTTACCCTTGAACTCCTTGTCCTGCTAAAGCTATCTGCTCGACATCAACTCGTACCTTCAGTGACGCCTCTCACTGTCTGTAAACCGCTATCATCTCAGCGTAACCCCTCGTTAACCACCACGAGCTACGTTCGAGTATGCAACCTTTGCTTGTCTGTAAAGGCCGATGACTCTCAGCACTCGGTACCACTGTCGTGGTTGTCGCTGTTTAGATCATCCTAGTCGCACACGACCGTTTGTCATAACAAGTTCGTTCATTCATCAACCTCATTCCTCAATTTGGGGCAGTAGCGGACGCGCGGTTGACGAAAGCGACTTCATCACATTATTCTTCATCTTTTTTTCTTTAACAAGTATTTTGATAAGCAGATCTATGATACTCTTTACTACGCTTCACAAGGATAGATGTCTATCGTTTTGATGTTTACCAGTGCTATTCTGTGATGCTTGTGATATCTGTGCACATTTGTGCAGATCTGTGCATGCTGTGAGATCTGTGACGCTTGTGATATCTGTGCGCGCTGTGAGATCTGTAGCAGCTTGCTGATGGGCCTACCTGGATGGTGAACCCGGTGAACTGTGATAAGGGAGAATCAACACCAAGCAACAAACACTGCATTGAGGCCAATGCATGCCACATCACCAATGTTAGCTCAAATTGACTACTCAACGAAAAAATGCTGTCCAACACTACAGTCTCATCCCTTGTCGACATCGACCAGCTTCTTTGCGGTAGAATCAGCTCTATCGGCGTCCCTGTTGGTGAATTGCCACGTACCTTGGACATCGTCAAACCCCTCCTCAAGCGTGAGCTGCAATCCCGTGTTATTCACGAGGGTGTCGGCAACGCAGTTCAATTGCAGTTCAAGAACTCCATTTTCAACCAAATCGTTCCTCGAACCAATATCGAGGTAGAAAGCCTTGGATTGATCAAGTACAATAGGCTTGCAGGACCATCTGCATACTCTAGCAAGGGATGAAAATTCAACCGCAGAAAACGAGTCAAGTGGACTGAAGAGTCTGACTCAGAGACCGACGGACTGGAGGATGATGAAGGCTCGGCCACAGAGATTGATGAGGACATAGAGGACGACGACGACGATACAGATAATGGCGGTGGCTCAAAGCTCAATTATGAGGGTTCACTCAGGTCCACGATCCTTGGAAAAGATGAACTACTCGAAGGGAGTTGGGATGGCCAAGACTTTCAAGCTGGATCGAAGAAAAGACGACGACGGGTGGTGCACACTACCGAGACAGACCTTCAGCGGCTCTTTTATACCATACAGTACCACTTGCGCAACTCACTGAAGGACAACATCCCCTACACATTTGCGATGGGGGCCCGGTACTGGACTGCAGAGTTTTCTACCACTGCTATTCCAGACTCTTTCAACGCCCAGAAGCCTGATTTATCCCTGTTCGACTTCACACTCCTGAAGGAAAATAAGTCGTGGGCGAATGTCCTGGCCTTTGTGGAGCACACCTCTTCTGATCTTTCCAAGAATAGAGGTTTAGCAGTGTATTGGGGGTCAGCAATTAAAGCATATTTAATCATGCGAGAACAACCATGGCGTCGATTCGTACTTGCCTACTCAATCTGCGCGAATATGCTCCGTGCACATTATTTCGACCACTCTGGCGTCATCATATCCCTTCCTTTCAACATTCACAAGTCTCCCGGCTCTATACACCTCTGCGATGCATTAGCTGCCCTCACACTTCCGGATAGCCGCCACCTGGATCTTGATCCCACTATTCACATGTGTCACGCTGCGTGCAATGGCACCCATGTCGATCTTGCAGATGGGGCGATAGGCTGGGTGGAAGACAACAATAACAATGTCTATTCGATCATGGCTGTGCTGTGGAAGAGCCATGGGTTTTTCTGTAGGGGAATGGTCTGTTATCGTGTTAGAAACAAGGAAGGAACGGAGTACACTCTGAAAGATTGTTGGGTGGAGGAGTCAAAAAAAATGCACGAACCAACCGTCCTGAGGATGGTCAAGGGTATTCCTAACGTTGTAGAACTCATTGACGATTGGGATGTTTATCACGAGGGGCAGCCTGATTGCACGGCACGTATTCGCAAGATATATGACCAGGATCAATGAGACAACACCGCATTCTGTAATAGATTTCACCGGCGTCTTCTCTTGAGCCCTTGCGGGGAACCACTCTCTCAATTCAGCTCTAGAACGGAGCTGATCGTGGCTTTTCGTCACTTTGTAATTGGTGAGTGATATCAACTGCGCAGAACATAGACTCGCTAATGATGATATATTTTAGCTCACCAAGCAATGATTGAAAGACGAGTCCTACACGGGGACCTCAGTCCTAATAACTTTGTCATGCATGATGGCATTGGCTACTTCATCGACTTGGACCATGCCGCAGTGTTAGCAGTAAATACGACCAGCACGTATTCGCCTGGTACTGTAAGTTTGTTTCCGAAATTCACTGTGCTTGCTTTTGACTGTATTGTTACAGGGTACTATGCCATATATTTCGATCCGGTGAAGGTGAGGAATCTTGACTATAGGTGAAACGCTAAAGCTAACGGGGGTTCTACAGTAAGACCAGGATACGAGAATACGACTCGACCCAAAGGACAGCTACTGAGAGAAGTTCCTCTTTAATGTAATGGAGGGAGTCTTCGCCAACTAGACGGGTGGTAACAGGCGCGAGAAGATAACGCGCGCGTAGGCGCGCGAAGGGCGCGCGCGAGCGAAAGATGCAAGGGGCGCGCACGTATACGGAAGCGTGCTTTCGAGCGATGGGGGAGAGTGTTCAAGTATAACAGATGCGCGAGCGATGGTAGAATAGTGAAGTATAATCGGATTTCAAGTACTAAGGTGCACTTATACAATTTGCAGTATACTCAGATAAGGGAGAAGGGAAGGAAGTAAGTTAAAAGGAACTTTCCCTCTATTTAAGAAGGGAGATTACGCTATGCGGTGCGCTTCCGAGCGTGGTACCGAACCGAGTAACCACATCAACTCTAAATATATTCTAAAGCCTATGATAGACTTTCTGTATGTAAGCGCGGAGATCGGACCGAAGGTACGTCAATTCAGTGAAAGGGATAAGAATAACGCACCAGTAAATCAGCGAGGACATAGGACGGACGGACGGACAAGGGTACAAAGGCCTAAGGGAGGCGCACAAGCGCGCGCGAAAGGCGCGAGTGCGTGTAAGGCGCGCGAACGAGGCGCGTACGTAGGGCGCGCGCGTGAGAGCGCGTATGACTGATCCTTCGGATAAGAGCTGGAACGTGTAGGGAATTATGTGGGTAATAGGGCCGTATATTCCGCATTGAGAGGCGCGAGTCTCTACACCGGATTCTCCAGAGCATGATGAAAATAATCGATCCCAACGTGGACAACAATGACCCGAGCAAGGACGTCGCCCCGGCCAATGCTGTTGAACAGCTGATTGAACACAGGCCCTCTGATGACCTGGAGTCGTTGTTCTACATATTTGTGAGTTCGTTGCGAAGTATGGGGGCGCGCATGGTGAATTAGCACCATCCTGGACTCGAGACTCGCTGCCATGGGCGAGTGCCTATGAAGCCTTGGGCAAGGCTGATCTCAAAGGGGCTTTGGGTACCTGCTATTTCACAAAAGTGGGGGTTGTCCTGGACCCAACTTTCATGGTGGAGATGACATCAGATTACTTCGCAACATTTAGGCCTCTCGTTCAGCACTGGCAAGCTTTAGTTTGCCTCGCGAACAAGCCCGATGAGAAAGAGAGAGTGGAGACCACTCACAACAAGGTTCTTGAGGTTTTGACTGCATTTATCGACACCTATGTTGAAGTTGCACCCATAAATCCCTCAGCAAGTTCCAATCCTATTCCCGAGGTAGGGTCCGGGGGGGATAATCCTCGCATAGGTCATCCTCCAATTCCCGAGGCAGGGCCTTCAAGACTTCCACTGCGTCGTTCTACCCGGAATCTTCACAAGTCCTGCTGAAAACATTTTGTCTGCAGTGCCCCTCGTACCCTCTCCTCAGTCTGACCATCATATTTGTCTATTTGATATAGACTTTCTCCGAGTCCGTCCTGTAATTCTAGTTGTCTTGTACCTCCTCCTCCTCCTCTTCTCCTTATTCCCTTATGATATCCTGACTTGTTTTTTGTTGTGCGAACTTATGTCGCTTATTACATAATACACGACAGCTACTTTAGCGCTAGATCAGCTTATACTATTAACACATTCAAGTTTCTGGCTTTCCTGATGCCTCCAAGAAAGAAGGCCAAGCATTCTGCCCCAGCAGCAGCTCCCTCTCGACGAAGCGAGAGAAGCACACGAGGTGTTGGTGGCCATGTAGCACAACTGAAAAAAACCGGAGAAACACTAGCAGCCCCAGCAAGGAAAGGACGCAAGGAGCCCATTGTTCAAATGAGCGACTCAGATGCCGAAGAAAACCCCATGGCTCTGTCACAGCTTCAGAGAACAAAGAAAAATGTAATGGTTCATTTTTCTAACTGCTACAAGCTGATGACATATCCTAAGCAGTGTTCTGTTACAGCCGACAACCAAGTCAGGTCAGGATCTCAGCTCTCTCGCACTCCTCATCCCGGCCTTCCCACCAATCAGCCTTTGGGGAGATTTGGATTCAAGCTGCCCATGTCTGATATTTGCAAGGCACTGTATTCCAGTGGTACTACCTATGGACGCCAAGCAGCAGATGAAAATGTCATCGAAGATCGGGATTTTGAGGGTGACAGGGATTCTGACTTGGAGCATGATAGGGATTTAGGCTTGGAGTGCAACAATCGGGATGATTCTGAGGGTTCTACTAGTGAAAATGACAACCAGGGTCCAGATGATAATCTCATGGAACACGAAGACAACCAAATGTAAGTGTCTACTTCTCCGCCCTAACCATCCTCATGCCCGTCGCAGGGACCGTGATCAATTCCCACGTCAGCAAGAGGACCAAGCGGATCATTTCGATGATGGGCTTGAGGGTGGAATGCAAGCGGATTTCGATCAAGGTATTGATGACGAGCCCGACAATGCAGCTCGACAGAAATCACAGGAAGGTATATAAAAAATTTACATGTCCACCTAGTCACCTTTTTTTTTCCAGGGTATTGTTGATGTCCTTGAGCGTCATCAGGCGAAGAATGGACAGTGCAAGGCTCCTTCGCAGGCTTCCCTCTTGAGAGCAAGACATGCTGAACGTCTCTGCCGCTCGAAGTCACCTTGTCGACTCTCACCTCAACATGCCTCTCCTGCTCGAGTGCAGCGTAGATACTCACCTCCACGTCACTCACATATATCTTCCACTTGCTCAAGGTCTCCTCGTCGGTGCACAAGATCTCCATCAGCTCATCGACATGAACATCAACCATCTGTGCGCGCTTCTTCCTCTCGCGTACAGTCTCCTCGTTGTCCTCCATCTCGGCCAAGCCAGTCCTCAAATCGCATACAGCCCCTCTCCCGGGCACACTCTTTGTCACGGTCCGTTCCCAAGGACACTTCTCCATCTGATCGCGCAACGTCACCCACTCTCCATTCTCGCTCTTTCAGCACCACACCTGAGCCAGATTCACACAGCAGCAAGAAGGCATGAAAGATCAAACCAACCCAAGGGGACCCCGCGAAGCTCGGCTTTTATCCACCTTCCTGGCAGGCACTTTTGCAGGCAGCAAAGGTAGAAATGCATCTCCAAGCTGTGTTGACACATCCTGTTCCAGAGCATGGAGACGCTCTACAACTCGCACAAGAAGTCCTGGACGCTGAACTCTGGAGGTACCACGAGAAGAAGATCAAAATGGATAAAGGTAAGTGTTTATCACACCACCGGACGTCCTCGAATCTCATTATTTACAAGGCTATTTCCCAAAGTACAAAGCTCAAATGTCCCGAGTGGTAAGCATCTCATTAACTGATGATCAGCGCGCTTATTTTATCATCAGCTCTGCGATGATTTGTTTACATTTCGCACAGAGCTGAAGAAAGTCATCATACCCATTGCGAAATCAGCATATGACATTTTCCCAAAGGGCACAGTCACACGTAAGGAGGATATACAGAAGCACATCATCACAGCCGCCACTAAGCTCCTCAAGACCGGTGGTTACCTTCGTATTCCTGACTCGTCTAACGTATGTGATCACTCCTCGCAATGTGGCTGCTCACTGTTTATTTTTTCTAGGGCAAATGGAAAAACTTTGTGTCACAAGTTCTTATGGATGGCTGCCTTGCATTTTATTATAGCAATAGCAAGAAGGCACTCAAAAATACAGACAAATTTCACCGCACAATCCCTCCAAACGCGCTTATTCTCGTGGCTGCTGTGGTACGCTGTGATTTATTTTATTTTCCATCGCTAATTAGTTAACAGATGAAGGTCGTCATTTCTGGGTTTTCTGAAACTGGTACCGACAAAGTACCTGACCTCTCCGCTGATAGATGTAGGAACGACTTTAACTTGTTGCAGAAGTCTCTGGACAAACTGATGGACATTCCCGAACGTCGTGACGAGCTTGAAGATATGCTGGCGCAGTGGGCTGGTATTGGGATGGGTGAGCTTGTTCATGGCGACTCGAGTGCAGGAGGCAGTGATTTGGAGGATGTCAACATCATTTTATAATCTTGCATACTAGTACTCATGTTTTACAATCTACGACAATCAGCACAATTTATGCTTCCTGTACAAGCTTGTATGGTGTCCTACAAATTACATAAGCTTATACAGCATGTCTCATCTGCAAAATGTGTCTCGTCTGCAGACTCCGCACAGTGTGTTCTGTTTGTCTGTATTGTGGTGCTTGTATGGGTTGTGGTGCTTGTATGGGTTGTGATGCTTGTACAGGTTGTGATAGCTTGTACTACCTTGTAACAGGACTGTAAAGAGGGGACTTCCTTGTGTGCCTGTGAACCTTGTACAACCTTGTACAACTTTGTACAAGTACCCACTAGTTTGCTGATGTAGCAAACAAATGACGATAAATTCAATCAGCGGGAAACACGATACTAGCAGACAATGAGCAAAAGATAAAAGTAAATATGCAAGAATATGATGTGTGACAATTGACAGTGCCAGGAGATGGGAGACTCAATCAAGTTGGATGCGCAGGTGGCAATGTTTCGACATGTCAACACCGTCGAGTTTCGATGCTTCTGCCCTGGATGAACTCATCAGTATTGAACACTATGTAAAAGCTTCCTTACCATCCAATCTTGGCCCATTCACGGAGTTGCTGCACCAGCTTCGAACCGTGATATGCATCAGGAAATCAACCAGGAATTGATACGTCCAGGTAGAGCTGACAAATAGAACCCATTATGATATGTTTTGATTTAGAATTACACATTATTATCTTCGCACAACATGCATATGAAAAAATATATGACTATGCTAGGCACATATCATTTTGATGAGCATCTTACAAGTATGAAACAAGTATTTGAATGAATATATGACTATGCTAGGGACATGTCAATTTGATGCGCAATTATAAGTAGAGATCAACGTGATAAGTGGCCTGCAATACACTGTAGTTAGCTGGCTGATGATGATCAAACTTATAGCATGTCGTGACACCATTTTATTTCACTAGCACTTCAGTCACCCCTCTCAAAGCACCTCTTAGGTACATATATTCTGGCTTACAATCTTACCTAAGAGGCATGATCTTAGATGGTATTCCCATGCAATGCAGGTGGTAACCCGGGCCAATCCAATACTTTCCCCAGGAAGCCTGGACCTGCTGGGCCAATGTATTTAATCTGTCCTATGACCCATCTGGGGTATCCTAAATCCTTTATTATATTAATACACAGGGGGTGTCAGGGGTCACTTCTTATAAAAAACTGCCTACACATTCAGACACTGAGAGTATAATGTTTGTCTTCATAAAGTCCTTGACCTAAGAATGGAGGAGGCGGGAAGGAATTTGCAGTAGGAGGAGGGTTGTCTTTGATGATGAGGGAAAAATGTAAGTTGGGTAAGGTCCTTGATCTACGAAATCCAAAGTGGCTGGAGGAGGAGGGAAGAAATTCGTGGTAGGAGGGGGGGTTGTCTTTGATGATGAGGGAAGAATGTAAGTCAGATAAGGTCCTTGAAATCTGTGGTAGGAGGGGGGGTTGTCTTTGATGATGAGGGAAGAATGTAAGTTGGGTAAGGTTCTTGACTGTGCCCTCGCTCCAGATACTGACATATCTCGCACTCCATCTGGTTAATTTTGTGCAATTGGAACATGCCCTGCACCACAATACTCCAGGTTTTATTGGAGTAAGTGTCATCACATATTACTTTGGATGCAAGCATGAAAGCAGAAACAAAAAGACAGTGACTGGTCAATGCAGGATAGCCCACTGCTGGTTTATATGGTGACTGGGCTGGCCCGGCACTCTCCTACACATGATGTGGGACAGCCCACCACTGGATTATATGGTGACTGGGCTGGCCCCGCAATCTCCTACATATGATGTGGGATAGCCCATCGCTGGTTTATATGGTGACTGGGCTGGCCCAGCCATCTCCTACACATGATGTGGGATAGCCCACTGTCAGTCTATATGGTGACTGGGCTGGCCCAGCGCTCTCCTATGCAGGATGCAGGATAGCCCACCGCTGGTTTATATGGTGACTGGGCTGGCCCGGCACTCTCCTATGCATGATGCGGGATAGCCCACAACCAGTTTATATGGTGACTAGGCTGGCCTGGCACTCTCCTATGCATGATGCAGGCTAGCCCACCACTGGTTTATATGGTCACTGGGCTGATATGAGATAGCTCATGTCTGGGATGCCCCACCATCTATATATTCTCAGATAGTGATGTCTCAGCTCCAAGCTGCATTTTTCAGAAAATGAGCATAACATGCTGAATAAAATCCCTAAATTCATGAAAATATTTATGGACATAGATTGAGCAGAAAACTGGGAGGCATTCAAGGGGTGAATGTATTCACAGTAAGACTTTTCCTTGAATGCCTCCCAGTTTTCTGCTCAATCCATGTCCATAAATATTTTCATGAATTTAGGGATTTTATTCAGCATATTATGCTCATTTTCTGAAAAATGCAGCTTGGAGCTGAGACATCACTATTCTAAGATGAGATAGCCTATGATATATTTGCACTTTCAATGTATTGTCTTATAGCAATCACTTGATAATTTCGGATATTGTTACAAAAGACTATATATCATATGAATCCGAGTCAAGGTCCATATATGCCCCAGCCAATGCAGCTTCCTCCAATTCGTCTATCAATTCATCATTCTCCCTCTCGTCATCAGACTCCCAGTCATTCTCAGAATCGTACACAGCAGCTGTACCATCAAGACAGCTTGGTTGATAATACATATTAGCAGCCTCAGCAAGGTCATTCGGGGTGGGGCCCCATGAGTCAGGCAATGGCCAAGCGCAAGGGATAGGACGAACTTGAGATTGCCAATGCACAACAAGACCACTCAATAAGCGAGCATGGAGGTTGAAATGAAAACAGAGATCTTCATTCTCATCTAAATATACTATCAGTGTCATGACAGTAGAATGTTGTACAAACTTACCTGCACGAGTGTGAGCCTCCTGTAAGGCATCCCACTCAGCCATCATCCACTCCTGAAGAACACAATGTTCTCGTATGATACGAGCCCCTTCCTCGTTGCACTGGTCCACCTCGAGTTGAAACTTAATTGCTGCGTGCATATTCTCATCTGCTAGCCAGGCAAATGGAGCCATATCATTGCCATCAAGTCCAACATCTTGCCAGATGTCATCGTCTATGTTAAGCTGAAAGATACCAGTCGGAGAGATAGAATGAGGTGCTATCGCACCAGCAGGAGCTTCCCCTCGTCGAATTAAATCAATTAGTTTACCACAGAGGTTGTTGTAAGTTGTGATGAGCTTTCAAATGGTAGGGTTGCGCCGTTGAATTGAAGCTTCTGCATGCACATGAAGCTTGTGCTCTAAATCAAAGATAATCATGGACATATCAACATGTTATATCAACATGTTGGATCGAGCTACATACCATTTACTGTCTGACGGTACGACCGTTTAAACCTCTCAATTTCAAATTTGCGCTGGCGAAGACGTTCACGAAGGCGTGCCTTGACAGCTTGCGCATCAAGACGAATTTGAAGGAATATACTACGTCGGAGTTGTTGAAGATCGGTAAGTTGCCTGATGCCGAGGGCCGCCTTCCATCATCGCAGAGTATCAGTGACTTTGGACCGGTAGGTGCGTTCGTCTGCAAGTCGAAGGTTGAAGTCAACAATGTTAAGAGTGTTGCCAGCACAGAGCTGCATCTCAAGAGCACGAACGGAATCGTCCAGGTTACTGAGTGTTCGCTCGAGGGTCAAAATCTTTGATATTTGCTCGTCATTGTTGGTTTTTGATCTCCCTTTTTATAAATGTTAGGAAAATATGAAAATATAAAATAAAGCATGCACTGGATAATGGTTTCGTTTGGTGCTCGACCTGAGCCCTCCATTCCGGGCGTATATTAGCCTCATCCACAGAGAGTTGTCGAAGCGCATGTTCTGCACTGCTCTTCTTTGTCTGGCAATGAGTCCATCTGCGACTCAGCCACTCACCAAATGTATCGAGATTTTTGCCATCAAGATGGCGAACTTGTGCATTCAGCACAAAAAGACGTTGGTGGTACTATCATGATGTTAGTCAGTCAAGGTATCCCAACGAATTAAGATACTTACCCCAGAGACCTGCAAGGGGGGGATCAACATCTTGAGAGCGCTCCACAGGCGCTCACAGCCCTCTCCGTCAGAAAGTCCAAACCCTTCACATTTGTGAGGGTGATAAATAAGTTGACAAGGCCACTGATGTCCGTACGCGTGAAATACAGATATAGAAAATACGATACATGAGAGAACACCTTGCTCGAGAAGTTGGTATTTTAGACAACTACGCTCGAGCTGACATGCAATATCATACAAGATACCGACGGTCATGGTTGGCGGAAGATGTTCGAAGAGTTTTTTTATAAGTGCAAGGACATAATATTGTTTTTCACCTGCTGATGTCATATTGACCAACCATAAGACACAATCATGACAACAAAGTAAGGCCATGATTCCTGTATCGGCGAAAAAACGGGTGCTAGCTTTCTCTCATTTTTCGTCCGCAGCAAGAAAAGATTCCCCGCAGGCATCCAATGTCGATACAGGGATGCGCATACCATCTTCATACCCGTCTTCGTCGCCTTCGGGCTTCTTGCATTTTGTTCCATGACCAGGTAGGGAGCCTCGACAGGCACGTATGTGAGCTTCCATCCGTGCGACCTCTTCGTCCGAAATGAAAACTGATCATGTTGGGTTTGGCGGATCTAGGCCATCGGCCCCACGTGAATTGGCTGACCGTTTCTGTGTGAAGCATGCATCGATGCATACATGGCAATCTAGCCTGCAAAACATCAGCATGGGGAAAAACACGGTAGGAAAGACATACTTGAGACGGTGTAGAGACTCATGCCTCTCATTGTGCAATATGGCAGTTTTCACTGGGGAGTACATGGCACGAACTTGTAGCATCACTCTGTGTGCTACCTGCAGCTATCTCTATATGAGGCGCAGCTTTCCCGCGCAACGCGCGCCATGCGCGCGTACCTTTCCCGCGCTTCACGATGTATATGCGCGCGCGCTTTCCCGCGCTGTAGCGCCCTATAGCGCCAGCCATCCAGAAGCATCCATCCACTGTCCACCAAGTTCCCTAGTGCGTATATTTCCATTTCTCACATTTGCATATCTTTCCATCTTTATTTTTATCATGGACCCTTACTTACATATATCTTTACATACCTTACTCGGTAGCGCTTCGGCTCCGCATGACAGCACTTAGGCGCCATACTTAAGCGCCAGCAGTACATACATACTAACTTACTCTCCCACCAGAACGACAGAGGACTTACTGGTCACTACCCACTATTTACCTAGCAGAACATAGTAGAAATCTATTTGTTTACACCTCGCATCTCCCTTCTCTTGTCTTACATCATATCATCACCTAAGCAAACTCACTCTTACACTCTCTTGTTTCCGCATACACGCGCGCGCATTCCCGCGCTTCGCGCATTCTCGCGCCTCGCGCGCACCTGCGCTTTCCCGCGCTTCGCATTGGCCAACCAGTAGCGCTTTCAGCGCATACCTCTAGATCCTTGCTGCACTCGCTTCCCCTTTAGGGTCGAACGCACTTGTCGTCTCAAGTATAGCAGACTAGGCAACGCGCGACCTTACAACAATTATAGATACAGTCAGGAGCATTGTTCGTGCCTCGCTGTATCGTCGAACCTTCAACGGGAACCATGATCCTTTTGCCAATCCTGCATTCCAAAACAAACAGGACAATGTGAACATAGATAATCGCTTGGTTGTGCGGGCAAGACTTCGTCTCCCAAAGAACGCAAAGGAAGATGTTGTGAAATGAGGCTGTATATGTGGTCTCCAGCATTCATCACAAGGACTGAGTACCAATGATACGCGTTACTGAAGCGGCGGTGAAGATTGTCCTGAAGATGCCGGAGTTAGCTTACTTCAAAAAAGAATCATATAGGCAGACCTTGGTTGAAAGTTTATAACCCCGAGCTGTTAGAAAAACTTCCAATGCTTCACACCAGGCTGTTGTATTGGGGGTGATCCGCACAAAAAGAGTCCTAACGAGCTCTAGTACACGTAGGTCAACAGCAAGAGATGGAGCTATGGGCGCACAGGCAAATAGCCCCAACTTAAGAAGTTGCAGGGGTGCGGGTGCACAGGGGCAGCAGTCGATGTTCAAAACCTCTAGATCTAGACTACGGTCAATTCGAGCCACAGAACAATATGATGAGTTCGTACAATTGAAGAAAACACAAGTCACTTCTAAAGTCCTCCTGTGGCATGAAGCTGTACACTCGACATGATCATTTTGAAATACAGGCCGATGACGGAGTGAAGAGGATTTGTATTGATATGTGAGGTATGGACCGATTAGCGAAGGAATCACTTCATTTGACCAGTGTTGCCACTGATTGATTTTTTTCTGTCGCCCGTTGGAGCGGAGGGATTGGAGAAGAAGTGGACATCATCGTAAAACGAAGGCCTGTCCTGGTCAATCGGATCAGGGGGTGGGACATCATGCCGAGGATTGGTATTGGAAGCGATTTGTTGGGCATGATACCGCCTACCCGGAAGTACTAGAACTGGAGGAGGACCTGGAAGATGAAATGCATTGCTTCCTCGTGGTTTCTGGCGCTTCTTGACCATGGATGGGGTAACTAACATTTGCTGTGAATGACGACAGACAGGAGTTGCAGGAGTAGACGTCGAGGCAATATTCCGTGGATGTGGTCCTCCATCCATGGTAGATGTTTCTGGTAGGCACAAAGCCTGCCAAGAATATTGTCACTGACTCGAAGTCAGTCAACAAGCACAGAGGAACACGAAGTCCCAGTTCGTATAACCTATGTAGCAACAATGAGTAGATACTAAACTGTGAGGAGGATAATGGTCATGGACGCCAGTGATCAACAAACAGTGAATAGCACCGGAGCAATAAGTCAATAGAATTCACCAACAGAAATTGTACATGAAAGAACCACACTACATAGCAACTCACATCAACAAACAAATACAGAAGCGAACAGAAGCGAGTGTAAATCGTCTATGGACTCGCGTAAAGCATATGAGGGACCACGGGGGGCAACCTGTGTTGTCGTAAAATGATTGTACATAAAACAGGGCACATTGCTTCATGCGTTGCCACTTCTCTCCCTCGGGCATCGACTCGGTGAAAGGCTGTTTGAGATCTTGAGGAGCACCATCCCATGCGATCAACACTTGACGAAAATTCTCGAAATATGGAAGAGCATCTTGGAAAGACTCAGCATTAAGTCCATCATTCCGAGTCGAAAAATCCTTGTCCCACATGCTGAGGAAAAATTCCATGGAGCAACTCCATGCGACGCTTCTTCGCCTCCCGATCCAGCTGCATATGACTGGCAAGATGTTCATCAAGTTCCAGAAGGTCGTATTGGAAGCTTTGCTCGCAAATCTCATATATAATCTGTTGAACGAGATGATGCGGCGGATTCTCGAGCATTGCTGCTTCGATTTCCTGACCCCTCCATTGCAACATCTGGGATCCAGTCCAAAACTGGCGTAGAAGCGATAATTCATCTCCAAAGAACACATCGAGTTTGGCTTTGGACTTGCCAGTCTTGCCTGATGGCATCTGACCACTTGACGACGAGGGCTGTGGTGTTGGCTGCATGATCAATAGATCACACCAGCTTTGGGACCGAGGGAGCGGAGATGGAGGCGACATATAAACATGCTTCAGCCATGACTCACAGCATGCCAACCAGTTAGTGAGATATTTCTTGAGAGACTGCAAGGAAAGGACATTGACAAATAATCCAGGATTGGGGAGCCTGTATCCCTCATCCATTCTTGCGCGGGTTGGCTTGACACGACTCAAATCTTTCTCCGCGTGACTCATAGCCGATGCGAAGAAGGTGTTGATGTTGGGCATGAACAGGTGAGCCACGTCGCACCATTTGTCACATCCAACTTGAGACTGGTTCTGGCGCAGAGCGGTCGGTTCATCTAGATAATCGTTAGATAAGAATGGCAAACAGAAATTAGACACTGCACTCACATACTGCGGACTTATTTTTCATGGTCTTGGTGGGCGCTTTACCCGATGATGGCTCTCTGGAAGCTGCAAAGCGATTGACTTCGGTTTGATCTATGGGGATCTCTTCAAAAGTAAGGTACGGTTGACGAACCGCAGCCTGGCGTTGATGATCACTTGGACCCTTGTGCCGGATATCGAAAGGTTGAGCGAAGTTCTTAATGGGATGGAGGTACATCCCAAACACAAGGTCGGCAGGAGTGAAGGGAACAACTTGGCAGATGTTAATCTTATCATCGACGAGTCTGACATCTCATATCAACCACACAGGTACACCAGCCTTGTGGAGCCTCAACGCGATAGCGGAGTCTTTGGTGAAGCACCCCATCCAAGTCTTGTTGACCCCGTGCGCTGTCCTCAAATTTCAACTGTGGCTCAAAGATCTCAAGGTAATCCATCATGCTCCATATCTCCAGGAATCGCCTCTGAAACTCAGCCAAGATCATCACAATATCTCGCCATGCCCACGTCTCTTTAAAGTGCTCAAAAACAGAGCGCAACCCGGTGACCCATCCAACAACTGCGTCTTGCTTGTTTTCTCGGAATAGCTTGTAGGAACCGACACACTTGTTAGCCCGCTCGTAAAGTCGAAATAGGTGATCACGGTGGGTGGACTTCAGCTTGCCAAAGACATGACCAGGAGATAATGGCTCAAAGTCGTCAGAAAAAGCTGGCGACCACCAAGCATACCACAGGTCAGTGCCAGGATCATGGAATTCGCGTCGTGGAATGGTAAAACTCCAGGTGTAAGCGTCTGCATACATTTGAGGCCACTGGAAAGGATCCATCGCCCAAAACTTCCCATCCGCCCTTGCTTGCACAATATTGGAGGGATTGTTGTATAGTTGGGGAACGAAAGTCATGTTGGGCGAAGTGAAAACGAGTTGACCATCATAGGCGAGAGAGCGTGCGTCTGTAGCTGTAATAGCATCTATATCAAAATTAGAGGAGGATCACAGGACAATCACTAAAGGCACTTACTGTCACCGTCACGTAAGAATGGTTTAAATTCACGAGGTATTGTCAGAGGCATTGTCAGAGGGACTGCGAATAACGGAAAGGTGACTATCTGATGAGAGTGAGTGATCGAGTGACGAACCAACAAAGGCACAGTAAGTGCAAGCTAAGAGGAATCTGAACGTGTTGAAGGGTAATACTGTAACCGAAGTTAGAGTAGCGAGTGCTATTGCACAGTAACACGAAGTCACTGGAATAGTGTTGTCTACCACAAAGGCAGAATAGTCGGCACCAACGATGGGATGGGAGGAGATGGAAGAGTTGGAAAGAGAAAGAGAAAAGGTAAAGGGTAAAGGGTAAAAGGTAAGTAAAGGTGCAAAGTGTGATTACGCCCTGGGATAACCCAAATGGGTTTGTGACCAACTTGTGAGACTTGCGAAGTGAGAACTTAGAACAAACATTTGCCAACCTCAGCCAACTACTACGCCACTGACCTTCTTCCTCTCTATTCCAGCACTATTCTGCACCTCGACTCCTCTGAAGCTGCCTTCGCGGTAGCTCACACTATCGGAAATGACTTTGTGTCACTTCAGATATTACATTACACAGTCTGACTTCATGTTAGAACTCAGAACAAACATTTGCCAACCTCAGCCAACTACGCCACTGACCTTCCTCCTCTCTATTCCAGCACTATTCTGCACCTCGACTCCTCTGAAGCTGCCTTCGTGGTAGTTCACACTATTGGAAATGACTTCATGTCACTTCAGATATTACATTACACAGTCTGACTTCGTGTTAGCACTGTTTCTACTACTCAATCTGCCACCGTCCTCTGATGTCCAGCTTACCATCTCAATTTGCTTCGACACTCTCATAAGTCTCTTGGAGCTCCTGCCTTCGTGATAGCAGATGTCGTTTGGTGCTATTGTCGACGCTGTCTGGTAGCTAAGTCATAGTTTGCTTTTCATCTTCTTGCACTCAACTTATGTTCCAGTATTTCACAAACATTGATCGGTGTCTGTCGAAGGCGAAGGATCAGACATGGTCTACATACAGGTGTGTAGAACCATTCTTAATTGTCTAGCTTGCATCTAATCGTCAGCGCCCGTCATCACTCTTGAATTAGATGCAGTCTGCGATGCTCTTGCCCATTCCTCACAGGGTCATTGAATATCAGCCATATTAGGTGAGAGCATTATCATTTGTCGACCATGGTGTCTGATAATTGATATCAAGCAATCCAGCTGGGTACAAACCTGTCAGTGCACATCATCCCGTCTGGCATGTCGCTCCTCAGACTATTAAAATGTCATTGACAGGACATTGCCCATAATCTGGTCTAAGTATTGTTTCTGATAAATTCATTGCGACAATTATCAATTGAACTAGACTTTTCCATAATTGCTTTGGGTACTCTGCATGCTACTTCGGCCAGCAGACCAATCCAAACGGATGATGTGCCATCCATCCACGCTCAGGCTCTCTTTCCTCCTATCTTGGCGACACTCGTCATTGTGGTCCCTACTGACGATCCGGCCCTATCAGGTTAGTCCAGCCTGCAGTTTCTGTTAATCATTCTTCATTAATTAGTGTCTACCCACAGTGGTGTCCATCAATGGCCTTGCCCATTCCAAATGCGGTCTGTGTGTCATATCTGCCATCTGGGAAGCCACACCATTAGAGTATTGGAGTCTTCTGGCGAAGTTTGTTCGTCGTCCAGCCGACAATCTTATCCATATATTGCCTAGTACACCATAGGCGCCCTGTTCCTACCTTTAAAAACCAGGTATGCTCAAATGTCTCGCCATCAACTCTCTGTCACTCAAAGCCATTCTCACTACAGTATTTTCCTTCTCGTCTTGAGAATTTGCTTGAAAGTCAGGTAGGTTAGAAGTCTCCATCATGTTTGTATATTGTTCTAACTTACTCCTACATCAGTTTTTACTTGCATTCGCTGTTTGTGAGACTTCCTGTCTTCTTGGCCGCTGAAAAGGACTTCGTGTTCTTCAAGCACCTTGCTGTCGATATTTGAGGACTTCGTGTTCTTCAAGCTCCTTTCTGTCGATATTCGTTTCCATAGATCTCTTAACTCAAGAATTTGTCAAGCTCCCTCTGCCATGCCTCCCAAAAAAACTTCTTCCACCAAAAAGTGCGCTAACCTGCGGATGGAAACTCCAGTCGTCGACTTCATGATGCATACCCACAGTGGTGCGCCTATCAACCAACGCATGGTACGTTCATTTGAATTTGAATTTGATTTATCAAAGACATTGATATTTGTCATCTTGGATAGCTTCAAACTAAAACGGTAGGCATCCCTTCCATCCTTTTCGTCCATTTACTAATGTGATAATGACACCCCAGTCACTGCCACCCGCCAAAAAAATCAAACCTGCCCCCTTGCCGAGGGGGAACTCGTTCATGAACTTCGACGACTACAGCACCATCCTTGCCCGGCGCGCGAAATCCTCCGTTGCTACCACAGAGCCGCGCACTGACACTGAGTCTGATACCCAAGGTATGGGCAGCCACACTACAAACTGAGTAACCACCCACTGACATGACTTTTACAAAGACCACCCCAAGACTGATGACCCTGTCACAGACAATGAGGACAACAGTGAAGGACAAGCGGATGCTCACAAGGGCAATCCTGTAGATGATACCAAAATTCGTGGTATGTACCACCATCTCCCATCAATCCTTTTCACTCACAGTCCTTTTTTTGTCTCCCAGAATCCTTACCCCCCTCCGATACTCCAGAGGATGAAGGCTCTTCCTTGAATGGCACCCCTTCCTCGGAGAACAACTACCCGTACCGAAACCGACAAGCAAGGAGTCGGGCTGAATGCCATGCAATGCTTGCTCAGCGTGATCATTCCTCTTCGGAAGAGGAGTCTGACGAAGATGATGATGAATACAAAGAAGATCAAGAAGCCGATGAAGAAAAAGAAGAAGAAGAAGAAGATGACGATGACAACAACTTACCTGCACCTCCATCAAAGGCGAAGTTGCCCAAGAAGCGCGCGCCTCCAAAAGCTCTCTCCCCGAAATCCACAGTAACAGAGACTTCCTTGACCACCCAGGTACTCCAGGCTGCCACGCATGTGACGACAAAGTCGGTCGAGAAGAGTGCCGTCTCCAGTGCTCTGCCAAAAAGCTCCATGTCAATGGAGATTGATGATGACGACAATGACCTTCCCATCACTTCTAGACCTGGGCAGCTGTGCCAGGAAGGCATAGACGACGTGCAGGAGCTCGGGCGCAAGACACTTCATGCTGCCAAGATAATTGGGGACAAATATGGAAAATCTGCACATACAATCCTCATCGAGGCCAGGTTGTCTGTGAAACACTCCAGGGCCGAGACCCCATGGAACATGCACCAAGGATGGTACAAAGGACAATATCCTCGAGAAACGGATGAAGGTGAGTTTTTATTTCATGTTGTGGTGCCCATAATAACCAATATCCTCTGGTAGAACTTGTTAATTGGAGAAAGAGACAGCGCGACCACTACTACAGCCTTGAAGACAGCGACCCGCTGTGGGATGACATACAAATGTACTATGATTGTCACTTGGGCGGTGCTAGTAACAATCGATCGCGTGCCAGTATTATTATGTCTACAAGGGACGCACTCGCTAAGCGTGTAATTATTTTGACAGTACTTGTTTGTATTATGGCTTACTGTTGTAAAGTTTGCAGCTTATTCTCACCTAGAAGGCATTGAGGTCATTGGCTGTGTCTTTGATTCGACTCCTGATGAGGCGGCCCAACAGGCCTTGGGTTTTGTTGCAGGCTCATCCACGTTCATGGATCTCATCAATGAACGCCAAGTAGACGCCCAACTTGCGTTAGATTGGATTATTACTGCAGCGAAGTACATAGCTTGGAACTACTCTGAGTTTAATCTTACAATGTGTCCAGGGCAAAAAACTACCAGCTTGCAATGCTGCGGTTTGGAGGGGCATATGATATTTTGTTTTCGAAGCCTGGTGAAGCCCCATGGGACTGTTACCGACGTATCTGGCCGGTCATGGTGCTTGAGAAACTAGGTAAGCTCGACTTATTCCCGTCCATGACTCGATTTCAAGTTTATTCAACAGAACAATTCGGCTATAAAACGAAGTCCGTCCAGTGGCGGAAGCTACTCGACGTTGCATACCAGAACAAGTTTCAATTTGAACTCTGGCCTGATGAAGTTCCCCCGGTTGGCCTGGACTTCAACTACCACACCCTCAGCGCACAACACCTGAAGTTACTCGTTGTGCCTTACATCAAGCACAGGGCTTCGCAATATTATGACGCTGAACTGAAGACGGAAGCTGAGAACTTACTCGAACTTCGGCGCAAGCAAGGACACAGCGATAAAACTCTTGATGATATCATTGACGAGTTGGACGTCGCTGTGTCCGAGATTGATATTGTTCCTTGGCTGAAAGGTACTTATTGCCCTGTTCATTTTCATGTCTAATGTTGTTGCTGCAGATCACATTGAGCAATGTGAAAAAGACGACCCTAAAATGTTTGACATTCCTTTGGTCACCAGCGCTTCCCACATCGTTCTCCGGAAACTCACAGACTCCGAGAAATTCAAGCACTCCATCCCTAAAGGGTTGCTTCAAAAGTACAAGGAAGCAACATCAATACGTGGTTCGAATGTTGGCGCTCCTTCGGGAGGAAGGCAGCTTGGAGATACTACTCGGGATCGTCGGTCTCAACAACAGACCTCTGCTGCTCGTGAATATTCTATTGTTCATGAGGACCACTACACTGATGATGGTCTGCCCCGTCCAGAACACTACCCATCAGCATTTCAGCCGCAGAAGTCTCGCAAGCGATCACATGCAGAGGATTATGGCAAGTCCATGAATTACTTGCAGATTCTCTTCTAATCGAGTGTCCAGCAGATCAACAACTTGAATCTGAGGCTGATAGCTTGAATGCATCAGACTCTCGTATCAGGAAGAAGTCAAAGGTGAGCTGAAGACTAATATCTTCTATCATTAACTCATTCAAGTTAATTTTCAGGTCGTACGTCATTGTGATGGTGCACCGCATATTGAATTGCCACCTCCGCACTTTGTCCCTGCTCATCCTCGACCTTGACTTCAGCCCTGACCTCGCCCTCGTGCACCTACACCTGACTACGAACCACATCAACACTGGGATGATGAGGTACAGCAGGTGTCTCCACATCATCTTCATTCCTATGGGCATAATGTTGCCCATCATCATTGCCATGATTTTTCGGCTGCAGGCCCTTCGAGAGTGGTTGCAAGGGCACGTCAGAGATTCGATTATGGCAGGAACACTCCAGCTCCTGGGTATGGTTCATATGATCGTGATTTTGTTTACCGTGACTAATGTTTCATATCACTCGAACTATTTTGTATGTACATGTGTATGATAGCTTGAATGACTATGTGTTTTATGGTCCCAAACTGTGATGCACTCGAAAGATAATGTCAGCATCGAGGAGTTTTCATATATGTAAATTTAGGTTATCATGGCTATCCCACATAACAAATTAAGAATAATGAACTATCCCACTTATATATTGGGTTGCTGGGTCATCCCAAGGATCAATTGAGGGTAGGTGGGCTATCCCTGGTGGTATGTTAAAGATATATATATATGCAGTGGGTCGGCCCAGTGTCTATGTAATATGCAGTGGGCCAGCCCAGGGTTTGTATTGGGCTGACCCATACATATGAAAGTAGTGATGGGCTATCCCACTGTGTATAAGGGCTTGTATTGGGCTGACCCGTACATATGAAATTAGTGATGGGCTATCCCGCTGTGTATATTAGACTGTCCCTTGAATATTGAACAAGTAAGAAGCTAACCCATATTGCACCTATCAGGCAGCTGGATAAGAAGGGATAGTGGAGTACTAACATGAAAGTCCTGTACTTAGATATTGTGTGAGGTTAGGCCACAAACACAGGAGGGCTTGGTGATCTGGTCTGTGGAAGCCCTATACTGGTGGTTGTAGACTGAAGAGTATTTTCAGGTTGAGCAAGGGATCCATGAGGAGTGGTGATGGCTTGAAGCCTAATGGCAGTTACCATATTGGCAGTTGTGCGGTCAAGATAAAGAATTTAGAGTGCATAGAGAATGGTTATGATGACAATGGTGACGAGGACAAATAAGAACCACAAATTGATGAAATTATAGGTTAGGAAATTGAGAGATCGTTGGTGAGCCATGGAATGTGCTGCTGAACTAGTGTCAGATTTGCAAGAGCAAGTCACCACTAGGAATATTACAGAAAAAACTGGATTAGTTAAAGTAGAGAAGCTGAGGAGTAAGCACTGACCCAGATGTGCAACCCAGTGAAATATTAAAGAAAGGAGAGAGAACAATTGAAGGCCTAATACTGGATGAGGATGTTGCAAAATAGAATGTAGAAGAAAGAGAGAAGAGAAACTGTACAGAACTTTTATAGAATGTAGAAAAATAGTGACAAACAAGTAATAAAAATTGGACTGGGCTGTCCCAGTGACCATACAGACCAGCGGTGGGCTAGCCCATATCATGCATAGCAGAGTGCCGGGCCAGCCCAGTGGCCATATAAACTGGTGGTGGGCTAGCCCGCATCATACATAGGAGAGTGCCGGGCCAGCCCAGTCACCATATAGACTGACAGTGGGCTATCCCACATCATGTGTAGGAGATTGCCAGGCCAGCCCAGTCACCATATAAACCAGCAATGGGCTATCCTGCATCCTGTGTAGGAGATTGCCGGGCCAGCCCAGTCACCATATAAACCAGCGGTGGGCTATCCCGCATTGACCAGTCACTGTCTTTTTGTTTCTGCTTTCATGCTTGCATCCAAAGTAATATGTGATGACACTTACTCCAATAAAACCTGGAGTATTGTGGTGCAGGGCATGTTCCAATTGCACAAAATTAACCAGATGGAGTGCAAGATATGTCAGTATCTGGAGCGAGGGCACAGTCAAGAACCTTACCCAACTTACATTCTTCCCTCATCATCAAAGACAACCCCCCCTCCTACCATGAATTTCTTCCCTCCTCCTCCAGCCACTTTGGATTTCATAGGTCAAGGACCTTACCCGACTTACATTTTTCCCTCATCATCAAAGACAACCCTCCTCCTACTGCAAATTCCTTCCCGCCTCCTCCATTCGTAGGTCAAGGACTTTATGAAGACAAACATTATACTCTCAGTGTCTGAATGTGTGGGCAATTTTTTATAAGAAGTCACCCCTGACACCCCCTGTGTATTAATATAATAAAGGATTTAGGATACCCCAGATGGGTCATGGGACAGATTAAATACATTGGCCCAGCAGGCCCAGGCTTCTTGGGAAAAGTATTGGATTGGCCTGGGTTACCACCTGCATTGCATGGGAATACCGTCTAAGATCATGCCTCTTAGGTAAGATTGTAAGCCAGAATATATGTACCTAAGAGGTGCTTTGAGAGGGGTGACTGAAGTGTCACTAGCAAGTAGCTGCCAAACTGACAATTGTGACAGTGGCTTAGCAATGTATTATAATGCGATGTCTTCGCCGATTCTGATGGCGCCTGACATTTGCCTGACATCATTTTCATATACAATGATATATTCTACCACAAAGTAAAATACACATCATGAAACCTACATTTCTGCTGATGTTCCTGTCCCCTACTGAACTGTCTGATATCATACCTACAGGTAGTGCAGTCATGCAGCAATTGCTGAATTCAGTACCATGCCTGAAATCAGTGGTAAACAGCCCTACAGACACTCAGAGGTACTGTTTGTGTACAATTCAGGATGTCAGTTTCTAAGAGATGCAATACATCAGATATGTAGTTTAGTTTGTACAAAAGCCTCACAGCACATCACATAACATCAGGACATTATGATATTCAAAAACATCAAAAATACAAAAATCAGATTCAAAGTAACTACTACATTGGTATCTACACTACTGACTAAAAGAAAGACAGAGAGACTCACTAAAATAGACAAAGATGCGAAAATATCAAGGTCAAAAAGAGGTCAGAGAAAGAAGAGACTTACTGAAAAGACCAAAAATGCGAAAATATATAGCCTGGAAATGAGCAGGGAGTTAGTCTTCAGAGGAGAGGAGAGGATTAGATTGGAAACTTACCATTGCACCAATCCCAAAGCCCCATCCACACCAACACATCTCAACTTGAATATCCAGGAGCCTAACCTAAGGGCAAGGAGACTTGAATTGTTGGACGCATTTTTGATTATATAAGCTTTCCCACCTAACTTCAACCAACATCACATGACTGCTTATATCATCAAAAATGCGAAATTTCACTAAGTCCCTGCCACACTATGGTACTAGACATTAACATTAGTATAGTAGTGTAGTATACATTGTATATAATAAAATACCATAGAGTTGATTTTAATATATATCTCTAATGTAACTACTCAGGAATCAGTTAGTAGTACTGTATCCATTTGACCTTAGGTTCGTCACAGCATCACCGAGCCCCCAAACTGATGTAGGGACTGATTCCTGGCTAGGCTTGTAGAGACTGTTTTTACCTTAGTGTGATGTTGGCACTTTTGTAGCTTACATAATAAAGTTATCTTTTTACCAGTTATCAGTATGAGTCTGAGTCTTCAGCAGTAGTTTTTCATGACATTTCCTCTCCTCTGAGCCTTGAGCCTGGTCCAGAAACCCTTTAGGGTTGAATAGCAGCTAGGTTCTGCAAGACCCAACACATTGTACAGTATACACCATCTGAATTGTTGTACCCACACCGAACCTATTTCGTGTGACAGTCACACCAAATTGAGGGTAGTGAACCTAAATGTGTGACATTTTGTTCATGGGTGGTGGCATAAATTATAATTTTACTGTGTTTTTCTACTTACTTTCTACCTCTTTTACCTTGAATATTGAAACAGTTACCTCTTTGCATTACATTTCATTGCATGTGTGTGTATTATGTAGAAAAAACATGTAAATACGAACCTATTAATACTTCTGTCACACCACCCTCAGCCAGACGAACATGCAAACCTACCATTATGTCATGTCACACCAGGACCCCCACAAACCTAAGGTCGAATGGATACAGTAGATTGTTGTTGGATAATAGATAAACATCTGACATATTAAATGTTGAGCTCATTGTAGTGTGCAGTGAGCAGGCATTTCCTAATTAGGCAATAGGGCACTAGTGCAGATGTCTGCACTTGTGCCAGGTACAGAAAAATTGTACACACTGCAAAATTATATATCTGTACTTCTGATAATCTAGAGACTAGTAAAGCTGATATTGCTGAATGACTGCATAATTTTCGTTTAAAAGTCTGACATGCCTGAACACTCTGTGATTTTTTTGTCTGATAATCTGATGTTGCTGAATGACTGCATAACTGTTTTATGAAAGTCTGACATATCTGAACACTCTGTGATTTTGTTGGTCTAATAATCTGATGTATCTATACAACTGATATGTGCTGATTCTTACTGATTCTTACTGATATCAGACAACTGTCTGATATCAGTCATGCAGGTAAATCAGGACATTCAGCAGAATTGTAGGTTTCCTGATGCAAGCATGCAAGCGAGATGACAAATTGCAAAAGGCGTGCACTGCACTGACTAACTTGAACTTTTGCGTGCATATTCGTAGGCTCCAAGGAGATTTGGTTGCTAACCATAATATCAGCAAGAGTCATCTCAACATAGCACAAAATGAAACACCTTCTTGTATGTCAGAATTGCAAATGTCGTCCTCAGAGTCTGGTTGATTGATCAGGGGTGCACAGCGGATTGTGCATGCTATGACATAGAGCTTGCTTACCTTGAAGCAAAATGGCGATCCCTCCCGAAATCAAGGTCAGCACTCCAACCTCACAAAAGGAAAAGGAAAACCTCTTATCGGTCACTACTCACAGCGCAACACCAATCCCACTAGGCCTAACAGTACTTGGCACCCTCATCCTACTCCCGGGAGGACCTAAGGACGAGCGATACTCATCCACGTCTTCATCGTCTTCATTCTCTTTGCGAAGGATAGAATGGGATATGCTGTGTAAAAGGGGGTGTGGGGAGCGGGTGTGGGGAGCGGAAGGAGGAGTGAGATTGGGATGTGGATATGGAGGTGGCAGATGAACGCCAAGAGTGTGAAGGTAGGAAGAGAATTCAAATGTACGTACCTTATATATCGAATTGACATGTTTGATAAATCACAAATACATTCTCGTGAGGATATCTCATTCACATGCGCCTGTCATAAAACCTGCATTGGCGTCAATGGCAGACAGAAGAAAGAATACTCACGCGACTTCTTCACTCTCCCTCCCGACGTGTCCAACACTGGCTCTATAATCGCCTTCCAGACGGACTTCTACAGCTGTGAGACGAGCCAAGTTCGATGAGTGAGCGAATAGCAGCACATTCGCGCGCAAAGTTGCGTAGAAGCCTGAACTTGGATCAGAACTGAATGGACAGCACAAAAGGCAGAAGATACGAATGAAGGGAAGAATGGTAGAGACAGAAAACACACCCGAATATGCCAGCTTCACCCTCTAGCACCCTCCCATTGATCCATACCATGTTCATGCCCATCATCGCTTTCCCCCAGTTATCTTGTACTTCGTCTCATACTGTGTCCGGCACACGAACTTTGCGTGCAAGTGGAGCAGCATAGTGCGGAAAATTTGCAGACAGCGTGTACAAAATATGCAGTGGGGTGAGCGAATTTCCCAACGACCGAAGGCAGGTGTTACGGCATGGAGGATCTAGGTGGAAGTTAGAGTTGTTCCTGGGATATAGTAGTAGACAGACCTTGGTAGTAATATGATACTTGATGAGACACAGCACGATGCCTCTGAAGCCGAGGGACATTGTGAGTTGGGAAGTGAAGAGAAGGAAGTTGAGCGGATGATAAGATTGCCACTAGTAGAAAGAGTTAGGCGGGGTGATGAAGGACATACTAGATACCAGCGACACTCTCTGCCCAAGCATCTACGTCTGTTGTAATGTGCTGGTCGATGCCGTGGAAGAGAACACTATAGTACCGGAAATCCAGAGTACATAGCGGTGTTGTGAGGAACTATGAATGAAACGTAAAGAAAGAGAGAATATCAGGCTGTGATATAAAATACTATGTATCTGACATTCGGAAGATCTGAGTCGGCTGTGTAGATTGGACTATATATTGTTGACATTTGTATCGAGCACACCAACCTAATTACTATATGCGAATATTCACATGTTTTGCTGCATCATCTTCCTGACTTCATCGAAAAAACAACTTCAGCTATGTGCAAGCAAGAACCTGTGAGTAACTTACATGTGTCACAGCAATCTGTACTGATTCGTGTTAGATTTGTTGTCTGATTCCAAAGAAGGGGGAGACAAAGGAAATAGGATGTTGATCGATTAGAGTGAAGCAGGTAGTGGTGAAGGAACGTACATACCCCACATTCCACGTCAATTAGTACTGACGTTTGCAATCCAAGGGAGAGGAATTTGGACGGTGGGGAGACATTGGGTGATGATTCTAAGGGAAGGGTGAGAGGGTGAGGAAGGTATCGAATATGTCTGGTGGGAAGGCCAAGTATGCACCCATCATGGGGAACTTCAACATCGTTATCATCCAATTTGTTTGTCTCCAGTGAGATTATCGGACTCGATGACCTACTTAATTGCATCACAACATTTCATGTCGATTAAACGAATGCTCAATATTTCTTTTGAAAAATTCTACTCGATGCTACAACTTCTGTAACAGCATGTAGCATTAAATCAAGCCTCTAATATTAGCATGTCTCGCGCCAGTGAAGACTTGCAACATATCAGGCTGCGGGTATCGTTAAAAAAGAACATCGGTTAATTGACTTCAACTAACCTTGGAATTGATATGCTACAGTGGCTCAAAAAAGTGTCCCAATGTTTGTAGGTTTTCATGTAATTGGTTTATTGTGCGCCAGGGCGTGGAAATCTGACTAAGCTTAAGGGAGGTGTCGGAAAGCTCCGCCTCTCGGCGATAAGTCGGCTCCCTACATCGTGGGAATCTGACAATACTGTGCGAAGATATGGCTATTTTAATTAGGTGACTCATTGAGACACTTTTTTGAGTTGCTATTAAAATATGAAAATCAGATCATTTAGACATGACACCATTTAGAAATATATATTTAAATAGTTCCATATTGACAATATGGTCTTATTTTAATATCCTATACATATATAAACCCTTCCAATAACATTATGTCCCTTATAATCAGCATGAAGTCTATTTCCTCTTCTCAAAGAGATAATATCCTTTTTCTCTCTACCTCTGGTTTATCTATCAGGCAGATTGCCTCCAAAACTGGTCTTGGGAAGTCAACTATTGCCAGGGTCATCAATCACAATATTCCCAACAAAGAAAATGTCAAAATGGGACGTCCTTCTAAACTTACTCTGCATGACAAAAGAGCTCTTATTCATCATATCATATCTGGAAAGGCCTCTACTGCTGTTCAAGCCACAAAATACATCAATTCCATCATCCCTACCACTGTCTCCACTCAAACAGTCAGGAATACCCTCAAGGCAGCCAATATATTACTGTCCTATCATGGCCAGCACAGTCTCCAGACCTCAATCTCATTGAACATCTCTGGGAATTACTCAAGAGACTGCTTGCTGCCTATCAAGATCCACCTAATGGACTATTTCAGCTATGGGAGAGAGTTGTAGTAGAGTGGGGGAAGATTGCTGAGGAGGAATGTCAGAAATTGATAGAAAGTATGCCTAGGAGGGTAGCAGCAGTCATTAAAGCTAAGGGGGGAAACACTAAGTACTAGAATTGTAGAGATTGTGTATATCAGATTCAAACTCAAAAAAGTGTCCCAATGAGTCACCTAATTAAAATAGCCATATCTTCGCACAGTATTGTCAGATTTCCACAATGTAGGGAGCCGACTTATAGCCGAGAAGCGGAGCTTTCCGACACCTCCCTTAAGCTTAGTCAGATTTCCATGCCCTGGCGCACAATAAACCAATTACATGAAAACCTACAAACATTGGGACACTTTTTTGAGCCACTGTATAATCACTTTCTTTAACACATAATTTGTCTGATTGCTCTGATTGCATCTGCATCGTATGAAAGCATATTGGGGTTGTTGAAAAAAACTTACCTCAAGTCTACAGACATCAAATATAGCAGTGTTCGACTATACGAGCGAGGATTCAGACAGATCATACAATATATTGTAGCGGATCACTACATTTCATATAAAATAAGTGATAAAACAAGAGGAGAAATAACATGGAGCAAATCCAAACGTACAACCAATTGATGCACAACACCAATACAAATGTGAGAGTTATGGTAGACCTATGACTTCGACCAGGAAGGGAGAAAAGTTACAAACCGGCGGTACAATTACAACTGAGAGTGTTGCAGGATGTCAAGGTATTGGAAGGAGCGGACGAAGTCGAAAACCAATCATTAAACCAATCATTATGCAGATATGTTTCATACATTGTAGGCTTCCCTGAAGACGTGCCTATAATCATTACATTAGTGTGATAAAACTGATCAAATGCTGCATATGCACCATCATCAGTGAACTCCAACTCAGCATTAAGTGCAATAGCTTCAGAAAACATGTCTACCTCCACCTGTGCCTGCTGCTTCTTCAAATCCAAGATATGGAAAACAGACATAAGCTCATCCAATGTTTTGTCCTCCTTTCGCGTGAACACATTGCTGGTATTGGTGGGTAGGGGCTCGTCAGTTTCGGTGAAAGATGCATTGATGTATGTACCCAATTTGACGTTATCGACCCATCCATTTGTCAAACGAGGCAGAGAGAGAAGTTGATCGTCGTGCTGCATAGCCTATCAGAACACCGTGACCCTCGGAATATAACTACTCACCCTTAGGGGGTATTGATGACGATGATGAGACTCAGGGGGTGTTTGGCTGACGTTAGAACCTACTTCCATAGTGTCTTGAAAAGGCGATGTCATAATTAGCCATGCACGGCATTTGTCTTGGATTGCCTTTGTAGGCTGAAAGTGCATGCAATCAAGTGAACTAGGAGTTTGGTATGCTCCAGTGTAGGAAGTGTTCACTGGAGGCAGCAATTTTTGGGCAATTGCTGGGGATATACTTAGCAGCAGACATAAGAATTTCAATTTGGTATGGCTCACACGGCTGACCTCTAGTGTTCATCAATTCGCACAAGTTCGTGATAGCTGTACTAAATAATGACATTTCCGTTTGAGCACAATGCACCCTCTCCTCCATAAAACAATGCCCTCCTTGTGGAGGGAATACCGAGGGATTCGTCTCTGCTTGCTGGAGTTGGATCTGTTTCGCAACAACCCCGAGACTTACTTCAAGGAGAACCGTGAGATCATGATAGTCGACCAAACCAAACAGCACAGAAGCCATGACAAAGAGGGAATATGGAAGCTGGAGGTAGAGTTATGAGCGAACAACATGAAAAATATATGCGCACTAACAATTCCAAGACCGTGTGTCTGGAGCCAAGATTCTATGGCGTCCTCAGTGTCCTCAATTTTGAGGAAGAGCTCTTTCAAAGGTGTAGAAGGACAGGTCATCAACATGTCAAAAGTGGGGTGCTTGAAATATATTCCCATGATTTGACCCACAATATAAACAGGTTTTTTAAAGTTTGATCGCCATGGCCCATCATCCGCCATAGCTTAGTAATAGGTTCAAACCTGTGTCTGATCAATGGCGAAATACAATACCTCAGTTACATAAATAAAATAACTGCTAACATGTTTCAAACATCATGAAACACTTTAGTCAATTGATTAGTCGCTGAATTGCAAAACGGCCCAGGCAGGAACAACATGATATTGAAAATACAAGTGAGTGCGGGGAAGATATGCAAAGCAAATATACTTCTTATGTGTGGGCAACTCGTACAACATCATTCATGCTGCATGATAAATTCTTTTAGTTAGTATATAAAATTTTGACTCTCAAAATATCAAAACTAACGCGAGATCACACAATGAGGCCATGCAGGTCATAAACGTGGGGTGTCCTGGGTCTGAATCCAGTGGCAAGATTATGTTGAGTGTCTCAATGGCCTTGTCATAAATCATGCTTGCAGGTGGATAGAATGGTCGATCAAAGGTAGCACCGGGAATTTGGGCCACAATGCTCTCTAGCTTTCGAAAGAGGGACACGTAACACTAGTTTGACGAGACAGTTTTAGAAATAAAAAAACACGTGGATTAGATACAACTTACAAGAGACTGTATGAAAGCTAGAGTTTCCATAGGTAGGACAGAAGTATGCCTAAACACTTCAGGCTCAAGATCAGCCAAGATCATTGGTATGCCAGGGGTTATGGAAACGGTAGCAGCGGCCGATATGGTCACCCTAAACACATTGTGCCATAGGATAGACTTGATACACCTGGTGCGGAAGATCCAAACCAATCCGTTTTGCTGCATAGCACAATAAGAATTTGACAACAGAGAAGTTTAGAACACTGACATCCAATGGAAGACGTGCAGACTGTGGTCGCATGAAGTGGCCTAGCAAATGCTCAAGCCTAGCTCTGAGCAGGGTACCGAAAATATTGTGTAGCCCAAAGCCTGCTCAAGCATGATTGATTGTCTGAAGGGCCACATGCCTTGAATTGTGTATAAATGTGGATACCCATGGGCCTGCCTATTTGAGGTGAGATAAGTTATAAAAATGAGGAGGAAACATACCATCACGAGGATCTCATTCTCACTTAGAATCCTACCATCGCTAGCGGGAAACTATTGGAAAAAAAATGAGTACGCGCATTACATGAATAAATGAACTCCTGACCGTGTTCCAACTCCACAGCACTTATATTAGCATGAAGGAAACTCTCAGTGAAAAGGCGGCGTATCAAGGCAGCTTTTACCTCAATTGGAGCCGTGGTGATAAAATGAGGGTTCCCGGTTTCGCCTCTACAAATTGCCAATCTCATCAAAAGCCACAGATAGGACAAGACCAGCCTCCACTTTGAGTATTTTTGCATTACTCCCGTCAAGTGGTCAGCATCTGTGGATTGAGCAGTGGCGATGGGGATATCAGACACAGGCGCGGACTCAGACTTGTGGTGAGAATCAGAATGAGTGGAATAAGGTCCTCCATAATCGCCTTCCGATGTCACATGGGCATTGGACATCATCCAAGAACTGAAGATTGAAGCATTGTTTGCCGATGCAGATGAAAAGACATCAGACATGTCACAGTGACCAGAAAATTGGAAGACAGGCATGTTGTACCCTGACGGATAGTCGGCCCAATGAATGATGGTACGATAATTAGCTAAATCAACCTATGATGTTGTTAAGGGAGATAACACAAAAATTGCAAGGTGAACTTACCCAGCCATCATAAACGACATGTATTTTCCTGTCGTGGCCCTGCCTAGTCCACATGGCAGGCAAATCTAAGATTGCGGTGGGAAGACCATTCTACAAGATTGATCAGTGGGATGGCAAGACATAGCACAGATTCAACGTACCTCTAGAATGTAGACCGGAACCTCAGTGCCTTCTGCTTCAAGTGAAGCAGTGTGAACACGTCCAGTTTCCATATAGGCAGTGAGTTTGATACGATGATGTACCTATGGCACCAATCAATAGTGTATAATGCCCAAAAAAAAAACCACACGGCGTCGAGAGTTGATGGTGAACACTGCATGCTATAGTGAGATGCTGAAAAAATTCCAAAGAAATAGAAATACTCACATACAATCCATACACTATGGGCTCCAGCCCGATCGCAACGTACCCAACGAAGGACAAGGTGTCACTTGTGCCTGCAAGAGTTCCCTGAAAAAAAAACCGCATTAGCGACGTGTAGCTTACAAGGCAGAAACAAAGTACATTCAAGGGCAACACCAAAGGCATCATCTCATTGTACACATAGCATGTAATGCCTTGACAGGTTGTAGTGCTTGTGGTTGCATGATATCCTGAAGAGAAAGACATTGTTGTTAACTATTGGGACAAAAGGCCACGCGTTTAAAGGTGGCTACATACCTCCTTCAGACTTATGAAATACTATGCCATCGCACCGCCATCTAAGCTATTACATGCAGCAAGCTTAAATGTGTCATATGACATTCCGCCATTGCAGCGCCAAGGCAATGATTCAAGGTTGTTACGTGTATAATAGCGACCCAAAAAGTATTTTTACAAGGTAGCGAACAAGATTTAATTCTCATAATCTAATTCCAATTCGCTATCATACATCTCACCAAAGTGGTTTAACAACTCATTGCTGACACTGAAGCGCTGCTCGAGAGTGAGTCCACCCGTGGCAACATCATCTTCACGTTCTTCATTGTCATTGTCATCTTCATATTCTTCATATTCTTCTTCAGTTCCATTTTCTGCAGGGTGTTGAACGTCTGCACTGCCTTCTCGTGGTCCGACATGCATGGAGCGATAGTGAGAGTAAACATGTCCCACTCCAAGACCGAAGTGGAAGTGCATTAACATGTCACGATCGACAAACCTGACATTATGAGCTTGGTGGTAATTACTTATAATTATGCCTGAAACTCACTGATTGACATAATATTCACGCCAATCATCCTTATCCCCTGCACATCCCGACACCCCCAATCCGTCAGGGTGTTTCCTGCCCTTGGCGAAAGCAGGTATGATGTGGCAAGCCCTTAGTACATCCGCTGGATTTATGAAGCTGAATGAGGAGTTGTCATCCATAGGCAGAAATCTAAGTTGATCGAGGGTGGAGGTATCCCAGGAAGAGACTTGCTCCATGGGTGTTACGACAAACGGTCGTGTGCAACTAGGATGATCTAAACAGCGACAACCACGACAGTGGTACCGAGTGCTGAGAGTCGTCGGCCTTTACAGACAAGCAAAGGTTGCGTACTCGAACGTAGCTCGTGGTGGTTAACGAGGGGTTACGCTGAGATGATAGCAGGGTTTACAGACAGTGAGAGGCGTCACTGAAGGTACGAGTCGATGTCAAGCAGGTAGCTTTAGCGGGACAAGGAGTTCAAGGGTAAACCTAGTAAGATTAAAGTAAGGAACATCTACTTTAATCTTCGACCTTATATAAGGCTACTCTTTGTATCTAAGCTCAGCCTAAAGCTGGGTTCTAATCTGCTTATCTACATGAGTCAGAGATAGCGTCCATGAGGCGGGCTTCTATCGTAGATAGGGTCCATGCGGTACCCTTCTATCAGTACATGAGGCAGCACGAGGCTTGCCTTCTATCTTGATAACATAAATAGGTCTTCTAGACCTATGTCGTCATGTGTCGTCACGTGCGGTCCAGACCGCTTATCTAAGCCGGCAGTTGCCGCTTATCGTCTATCATCTTCTATCGTCATCTATCGTCATCTATCGTCATAGAGCTGGTGAGACTCCGGTATCGTCTATAGCTGTGCGGTGGCAGAGGGCTGTCTGCTGGCAGGGGACTCATGCCATGTTACTGTAACAATGGGCTTGTACCAACGAACCCATAGAAACTCTATTCGTAGTGGGGTGAAGTCGACTGTTACGACTGGGGTATGTCGAGCTGTCTAAGTCCGAGTGGACTGAGATTCGGCGAGACAGATGTGGTTCTTCTCTCGAACGAGAGGTCAAAGGTTTCTGGCTAAGGCAAGTATCGGCGACTTCCTTAGAATAGTGGTTCTTAGATAGCAAGGTTGGAGACCTTGCTAAAGGACTTGTTCCAGGTAAAACCCAGTAGATTAAAGTGAGGAAATACATGTGGTACGCTATGTAACTATATAGCGTGGGTTCAAGCGGAGATTGTAAGTGTGTATCAAGATAGAAGGCGGACAGCCCGCTTGGTAAGTGATAAGAGATAACAGATAGGAGATAGTAACCATGGTGCGGACAGCCCGCTTTGATAAGAGATAGTGATCTAAACATAGCGATGGTTGCTAGTACGGAAGGTTAGTTTGGCGATGATATGAGTAAGGTTCTGGAAGGTGATTGGTCGCTCGTTAAGAGCCGTGTGCATGTACCATTGTCCAGTATCGAAAGAGAAGCGAAGAGAATGAGTATACCGTAACATCGACCATACCAACTCCGATGTAGATTACATTCACATGATAAACACCGAGTACCTTACCGTAAATAAATTTATGACTGTCGTCATTGCCCATATCATTGTCACCACGGAGAGCCATCACATTGCAGTGTGAAGTTTGTGGGTTGATGACATCTTGAGCTCGGCGAACATCATACGTTGTATAATTGAACCTGGTGATGTTATGATGATACATATGATCGTCCTTAATAATAGTCGTATTGGTGTCGCACACTTCTCTCAAAGATGGCACATCAGTGGAGTTGCGAATTCGCTGCAATAGATGTTCCTTCAGCTTGGAATGGAAATTCTGTAGGCAAGTGTTAGTGCACGGTGTAGTGAAGGCTGATTGGGCTAACCTTGATCGCCGGATCACCTGAATGGCTGCTCAGGTACGTGCCTATGTGCACAGGGTACTTCTGTGTCATGCCAATGTGGTGGTGAACGACTGGGCTTATCGCTAATTCAGCGATTTCCACATGTGGACGGTGTACTATTTTGTCGCTGATATGATGGATATGGGCCTGACGATGTTCAATGTGCATCAGCTGCTTCACAAATGACTTGCGGTCCGTTCGATGATATCTAGCCTTGGGAGAATGGTGTTTGAGTTCACCCTGGATAGAGTCAGCAGGTGGAGTTTGGAGTCACACATCATAGGACCTACTGGTTCAGAGCTATATGAATAGGATGTGCCATACTGGCTGTATTGTAGAAACATAGTCGCCCAAAGCGTGAAACTTGTAGGTTTGGAAGTTGAATACCTTCTTGCAGTGCATGTCCTTGGGTGATCCAGCTGACTGTGCCGCCTGCTCCTTTAATAAGCTGCTTTGTTTACCCTCCTGCCCTCCCACCTGTTTTGCTGCTCGCTTTGCATGGCGTTGGGTACGAGCCTCAACTTCCTGACAAAGTTCTTGTGTGTTGTAAGCGGAACAAACTTGAGCCTTGAAATTGCGAAACTGGCCGCCGACTGCTGAAGTAACTTGATCCATGATGTTGATCGTCAAATCAGAGTGCATCCAAAGCTTAGCCAGTCCATGCCAATGCGCCATAGTAAACAGCAGCCGTAAAACAGTCGTATTGTGCAGTTCAGGGAGAAGACCATCGAAGACAGGGATAGAGCACTTAAGATTGCATCAGGGCCCATCCAACTTCAGTAGACAATTCATACCTGGAGAAGGTCTTTGAAGTTTCGGGCTGCCATGTGTGTCATGTCCGAAGCATTGGCCAAAAATTGTCGGATAGTTGCTGGGCCAAACATAGGTATTTGCCTGTATCTTGTAGTAGAGAGGTCAGCTTGATGGGTGACGTCAAATAATGTAATGTACCTTTGGTCCAATTTTTTAATCAGACTCTTGTCCTCCGCCGTAAGGATTCATAACAAATGAATGAAAAGCATTTTCCAAACCCCAAGTTCAAACTCATGCAAGAGGTCTACCACAAGCGCACGGAAAATATTAAAACCAAAAGTAGCAAGGTGATCGGAAAATGTGTTCTGTAGGTTGATTAGTTATAATTAGTAATAGAAGTCAAAGCCTCACTGAGGTAGGGACCCAGGAATGTGGCTTCAAGAGGTGTTCTACCACTGCACTCCCAACACCAAGGTCCTTTTCATAGATTAATTTCCGCGCAGAGCTTACCATAAGTCTTCATCTATTATCATTGTGTTCCAGTGTCTCGTGTTGTCACCTGTCCAGAGGTCTTCCCATATTATGTATGAGCTCCTTTGGTATAAGGCAACGTGGACACGGACAACCTCCAAGATTTCGAATGGTGGCAATAAGTACTCTAGTCAAGTCAGGACGAATTCTAGACGTGTAAGATATGAAATTCACGTACTTCTCAGGATAGTCTGCTGAGTAGGTAAAGATCCTGGGGTAGAATCTGCGTGTGATGCCATTGCAACAATGAATCACAATTCCATGCTCATATGCATCCAGGAATTCATCGTCCAATAGAATATTCCACTGCTCATGAAACAGTTCCCTGTGACAATGGGTTGTGCAGTCGCCACTCATGCCTCTGTCACACATAAAGTCCTTGAACGAGTCTGGAAGCTGGCAAAGAAGGTTTGGTATTCATTTGAGACAAATACTGCAGAAAGGCTTACCGTCTCGAAGTACGCGATGTGGTTGCTCAAGTTGCACGACGGTTTGCAGCGGCGGTACTTTGACTCATTACCAAAATAGATGTAGGTGGGCCAAAGCTTAGCATTGCCAAATGAAGACAATTGCATGGCGTCAGACCAGAACATCAGACCAGCCACTACTCGGGGGAGATCACAGCCAGGTTCCCTAGGCATTTCTTGTAGTTTGGTGTGTGCATCATGGAATACTGGGGATGTGAATAAGTCTCCGTATATACAAACTTCAGCGTCAAGGTGAGGAGGATTCCAAGACAGCTTGTACGGCTTGTAATGAAATAATTTATTATCTTGGCCGTTGGTTGGTTTTTCCCATATGACAGCAACAAGGGAGCAATGATACAGATCAGTGGCTCGAAAGACGCGAGGCCCTGGAATTTCAGATGTGCGGGAAAAGGGCACTTCGATGGAAACTGGCGTCCTTTTCCAACCAGCATCTTCATCTTCCCATTCTTCCCCGTCTCCCTCGTCGTACTCATTTGCACCCAGTTTGGAATTGATTTCCTTCCAATGTGTGGAGCTCACATCGGCAGCATTGAAGGTTTCGTCACCTATGATCTCCACCAGCTGTGTGTAGTCCCCTTGCGACTTCTGTACCCCTCGATTTCAGTACCAATCACCGAGTTGAAACAAAGAACGGTTGGGATAGGGGAAGTACTGAGAATCGTTAGCCACAGGGGTGGGCGAGTTGGGTTCTTCTTCATTGGCCATGCGGCTACCAGGAATAGAGGAGAGATCTGCCATGGTGACATACTCTTCTGGATCATGGGACAGAGGTGTAGATGAGAAATATTGGTGCACTAGCCTGAAGATGTTTGGGGGTGTGTGGAACGTAGCATGTGATGGTAAGGGTGGGGTTGCATGTGATGCCACTACTTGACCGACGGATGGGGGAGGTAGTTCGCAAACATCCAAGGGTACAGTGGGTGGAGGCTGAGGTAGGATGTCTCTGAATCACTTGGGCAGCTGACGATTCTGCCGTCTTGGTTGGCATTGTGCCAAGCTCATATCTTCTCCATCAATTTCCCCTATTTCACAGTCAGCCTCTGTGACAGGGGCTAACAGGGAGTTGAGTGGAGGAGCACCAGCAACCCTAGGCTGTTGAGACACCTCCCCTGAAGGCAGGTGGAGGGCGGGCGAATTTGACAATGTAATATCCGAGTCGATACCTCCCATGGGACCACCCTCATCGGAGTGAGGGCGCAACTTTTTCCTGCGGCTTGCAAACTCCTTGAAAGAAGATATAGCCGACGACAGATGCTTCTTAGTATGAGTACATGAGTGCTGGTGCTGACTGAAGTAGTTCTGCCCCGTGAAAGTGCGTTTGCATACACACGTGTAAATGGATGTCGACATGGAAAGCATGGCCAATGCAGAGTCTCAACAGAGATATTAATAGGTAAACGGTGGGATAGTGGCCGAAGAGCAGGGAATGGCGAGATTTGGCAATGGCGGAATTTGGCAATGGCGGAATGGCAGCCGAATGACGGAATATTGGGAATGGAAGCATGTAGTGGTAGGACCATGTAGCTATCTATTTAAACGCTGAAAATACAATTCAGTCATATTCTATCTGAATCCTGAAATGTCCGCACCATCTTCTCCATGTTCTGGATGCTCAACGCTATCCACGGAATTCGAATTCAAAGCCAATCCCAAGGTTGTGGAGATGCTAGTAAGCATCATAACTTGCCGCCATGGAATACTTCATTACCACAGCCAAACAGGAGAACTAACAATGTTTCAATGGTGAATCACTTGATTTATAAAAAGATATTCGTTACTCACATGTAGTACACATGCTACAGGCCAACTGACTGATATGGATATAAAATCCACCCTTGCTGATTTCAGGCTTATCGCGAGGCACATGCGTTTCGCTACCCGTGCTGTCTTTGTGCAACTTATGACAAATATGTCGAGACATCCATATTTCCATGCCATACAGGGATCTACGAAGGGGAGTATGTTGCTGAGTGCGTGACCAGCAGTTGCGGGTACATGCGTAAGTGATTTTATTTGCATAATAAGGACATATGTACTTACCTTTTCAATTAGTGAATATCGAGAAATTCATTGGGAAGGCCTATATACCTTCAGCATATTATCCTGTGAGATATTTTTAGAGATGTGTAAATCCCCATATGCTATCTGAGGAAGTGTCGGGATGGATTGTTGATAGTTGCATGATTCGTAATAGAATAAACCTTATTGTTAGTTGAGCCTGTAGCAATTAATCATAGTCAGATATTGACTTGTACATGCAGCGTAAGTTATCTCACCGACAACCTGGCCTGGCGCGCTTCGCGTAATTCTATTAGTGCAGGGCACATGGTTCCATTTCATAATTTCACACAATCTGAACTGGAAATAGACACTCATGAATCCATTTCTGATGTGAACTTGAGTAACCTACATGATGAATGCAACCGAACGACTGCGATTTCATTGAAGTTTAAGTCGGGAGCGCGCTGCACCCGACACTATACCCAACGCCAACACAGCTCAATGCTATGAATTTATTATCATAGCTGTATTTTACAAGGCTACATTATGGTATAGTACTTCGCACATATATGATTCAGTGTTCAGGAAAACAACAAATGAAGAGTGAGAGACCCTGTGAATTATATAGTGACTGACTGTAGGATTAAAACCCAGCCGGCAACACGCGAAACAGCCACAGTGATACAATACTGTCACAATACAATACGGGTGTTGCCGGCTGGGTCTGAATATGTAGTCATTCAGTATATCAACTGTGTCCCTCACACGTTTGGCCTTCTGTTTGACTCTTCTGTAAGGCGAAGTTGCACTGTATGTTTATACTTAGCCATGTGATTATGGAGAGTACTGTTACTTTATATTTAGTGATGATGTAGTAATGTGAGTCAGTAGAGTAGTAATTCAGATTCGTGTGCCGACTCTTCAGCCTCTGCAGAGAGTCTTGGAGAATGGACTTCACTATCTACATGTTTTCACCACGGTGCGCCTTGTATTGCTGTGTACTTTTACTTGGGCAGGACTTAACAATATCGGCAGAAAAATGTTTCCTTATGCAATCCTTGTTGTGCCGTCGGTCCATCCAGGACAATGCTGCTGTGTCGCGGGTTCTACAACAATCCACAAATCACCGTTGTACGTATTAGCTAATCCAAAGTAGTGATTCACTATAAATACTGATCTTACACATTAGCAGGTCTTCTTTCTCCTCCAACTACCTTCATCACTTACTATACAATAGATAGCACATAGACTTATCGGATTTTATTGTAGTACGTGAAAGCTTGAGTTTGTCGTCACTCTAAATGATTGATCACATGATGCAGAATCATGTCCAAATGTGCCGGATCCAGTGGTGGTGAACCAATGCCAAAGCGTCACAAAGGTAAGGCATAATTGAATATTGTCAACATTGTCATTGACGAGCACGATACAGGAAACCAAGCAATACCATCAGCACTATATGATAATGGTGCATGGAAAATTCTGGAGCAATTCCTCACTATGTCCATGCCATTATCTGAGATGGACAACACGCTTGTAGCATATCTTGGTGATCGATACTCTGCAGATGACTGGGTGGAGCCCCGACGTCTGTTATTCTCCGGTGATGCAGACAACAACAAATCTCTAAGGAACCTCTCAGCACTATGGAAAAGATACATACCGGATCCTCCAGAAAAATCTTCTGTGCGCATGTCTGCATCGAGGAAGCATGCCCACTTGCCAAGTTCACATATTAGAAAATCTCACAAGCCATCCGATGTAAGTGAATTTTTTATTTTTTAACTTCATAGCTAAACAATGAATATAGGCTGTAAGAATGTTTATCTCACATGAGGCCGAGGTTGGGGAGGAGGAGGAGGAGGAGGAGGAGGAGGAGGAGGGGTATGGGGATGGAACGTCTGTGCAGTCACCAAAGGTTACGTGCTTACCAGGACCATCGGCAAAACAGAGGCTGGCTGTAACCTTTGATGAAATGGCCACTCATTTTGAACAGAATCCAGCCAGTTCATCAGAAAGTCTCCAGGCTCCCAGCCACAGAGCAATCGAAAGCAGGATGTATCTCCTTCACGTTCAAAGTAGGTTTTTACTGAGTTCACATAGTAAATCACTCAACGCATTGCAGGAGCTGTTACTGAATACATCGCTGAATACCTTCAGAGGAAACAATTTTCTGTTACTGTGTCAGCTTGGCTTGCAGGCCAGCTTTACGTTGTGGCAGACAGCCCTAAATCCATCACAGATACACTGCCTTCCTCACTTTATCATGCTGTCAAACAGTATCTTCGCATCATGGAAGAGGAACGTGAAGCTGTCAAGCGCTCGCAAGTCGTGCTTCCTACCCAGCGTGGGTGAAGATTAAGCACAGGCAAACACAAGGGCTACATTGGCAGAATCTTCAAGTCTGGAAAGGATTTTGTCGAAGTCTTATGTCCTCCATGTGATTTTCCTTATCCAATGCCTCGAGGGTGTCGAGCGCTTGTCGAACGATCTCGTCTTCTGAAGAACAACTCAGTGTCCGACATTATTTTTAATGATAAAGTAGTAGGATGGACATACAAAGGTGAAAGCTACTACAAGGGGCTCTTACTGAAAAAATTCTGCCATGATCATCTGGAATTTCTGGCCTCCCCTCACACTGATGCCATCCAACTACATCTGGAATCGGGATGGGACACAGCCTTTTGAAGAAAACTATTATTGAGTTTTCGATGCAATTTTTACGTGCGGGTGACTGGGCCAGGGTTACCAATGGAGCTCTTCGTGGAGAGCTCGGTAGGGTCATTTTGACTGACCATGCTTGTGGTTCCATGGGCTTGGAAATCACTTTCGACAGGCATCCAGATGAAATAGAACTTTGTCTCCAGGACATAGAACATGTCTTTCGGGTTGGCGACACCATTAGAGTCGTAGCCGGTTCATACTTAGGCTTAGAAGGATACGTCCTCAAAATGTGTGGTGAAGCGTTTCACGTGTGTCAAGACGTCTCTAAAGAAGTGGTAAATCTATGGTGTCATTAAAATCATTGGAGGACTAACACTTTGCACAGGTGGAAGTCTCAAAGTATTACTTGGATCAGCATCCTTTGAGGCACATGATTAACTCACAGCTGCCAGTGCAGCAACATCTGGCGCCTCCCCCCGAATATGACACTATCGAAATCGGGGATTTCATACAAGTCCTGGGTGGGGAGCACATAGGAAAATGCGGCATCATTGACTGGATCTCCAAGGGAGAAAGTAATCTCTGGTTCCGAGATATCATTACCCCTGATGACACGGAGTCTGGACTTTCGAGTATCTCAGTTCCTACATCATTGGTTCAGCGGATGGACCTCGCCCAGACAATCCAATACACTCGAGAAAGAGGTTATGATGTTAGACCTGGCGACACTGTGACTGTCGCCTGCGGGCCTGAGTATGGTGCAACCACATAATACAGTGACATATCACCTTACTTACTGGCCAGCCCACCTTGACATTTGCTCCATGTGACATGGGCCCACTTTATGAGTGTAGGTCGGTGTACCTGGGTGGGCCCGGCGGTGCTGTGTACCATATTGTTATGGGCAGGCCCACTGCCCATGTTCTTCGAAACATTGCAGTGGGCTGACAGGGGTCTGGATGAAGTAGACTGTGTTTACAGGTGGGCTTGCATTAATGAGGAACAGGGATGATTTGACAATTCCGAGTGGGCCCATGAGTTTCCGAGATGGCTGGAATACTGGTGCCGATGAATTGCCAGTGGCGAAAAAAATCAGGCATTCCAGCGAATGTAAAAGTAAACCAGTGAGTAGAAATACCACCACCAGCGAATGTAGCGGTAATCAAACGATGGCAGATCATAAAGTCAATGACTGCCGGTGTATGTAGCAGACTACTGGACGTGCGAAAGTAATAAACTGCCGGCGGAGATCACTCAGTGCACCGGTGATGTAGCCCAGTGGGTCCTACCAATATGCTATTGATGCAGCAGGTGGGCCCATGTGACAGGCAGAATACAGCAATGGGCTCATTCTTGGTGGGATGAATGGAGTGGTGGGCCCAAACAGATACTCCTTTATATGTTGCTGAGCTGGGGCCGCAGCGATAAGGCACCCGAGGGAGCCCATATCATGTCTGCTGAATTGAGTAGGTCTGGGCTCCGTATGTTTGGCGGACAGGTGGGCCTGGAGCACCACTTTCATGAACACCGCTGGGCCCAGCTCCCTATGTCAGAGCTCATGGGCTGACCGCACAATATTAACCAAACCCCAAGGGCCCATAAGCAGTATGTTAGGCAGATGCACGGGCCCGGAGGCCTCTGGCTTGTATACAGTCGGGCCTATGCCTCGTATACCGGCGGCCAGGTGGGCCCAATGTCGCCAGATCAATGCAATGGGCCCAAGGGATACATCTTAAATCAGGGGTGGGCCCATATCACATCTCACGAGCAGAATGGGCCCAGTCTTGGCTAACGGGATTAACTGGCAGGCCCAGTGAGCTACACAACATCCACTGATAAGCTTGAACCAGCGATATGGCGCCAAATGGCACCGACCATCGCCGATACATCTATGGTCAGTCAGACTGATTCAGAAGTTCGCTGATGCATGTATGGTCCAGAGGGATCAATCACTTTGGGGACATCCCCAAATGTACTATATATACCCCAACTCTATGTGAATTCCATCGCATTGGTAACTACAGATTTGTACCTTGAATGATCACCTCGGGGTACATCTACAAATTCATGAATATCATCCCTCATGTACCACACCCAGCCAACTCTATCGCCGTTCACCCGGTTCACCCCATGCCTAACAATTCTTCCCGAGGTGCCAGCCATGACACCTGGATTATAGGCAATTTCAATCCCAATATTTGGCATCTTCATTCGCGCCAATGTGTGACTGCCGACGCTGGTCATTATGTCAAACCATTGAGCACGGGATAGAGCATCTCGGTGCAAGGGAGTGTACCAGTTGCACATAACGGCGACGACAGTAAAGACAGATGCCCATTCTCTGAGGCAATTTCCCATGGTCTGTGTTTGTTGAGTATCTGCCCATACCCCAAGCCCCAGTTGTGTTGTCAACGATGACCAATAAAGACCAAAGTGCATGACCCTCAGTGCAGCGGTAACAAGGGCCGCCGGTCTGCACATCGCCTGACAGTAAGCCGCACCATTGTCACTTTTAAGGGTCGCCGATACTTCGGGCTGAAACTGTGGAGCCTATGAAGAAATCAGGCAAGAATATTATGTCCCAAAATGTCAACGCACCGGATGAGCTTGCAGGAACCACCCTGGCAAAAGATTTATGCACCCCGAGGTAAGGCCATGTTCACTGATTTGAAAATTAGATTCATGGGTGCACCATTTCTCGTTCGGCGATGTACCATGGGTGATACTCTTGCCCAGCAGACCTGACATCATCATTGTCGCTGACAGCATGTCATTCTGGAACGGTGAGCAGAGATCGTCGGCGAGTTGTGCAGGCCTACCTGAATGGCAGCATCAATTGCTCCGGGGAGGTACCATAGCACGATAAGACCAAATTTGTCCAGGACAACTGCAGGACGCTCCAGGATAATCTCACGATCCGGTGGGTATCGGGTAAGGAGAAATTCTTTACGTCCGGGGTTAACACCTCTCTCCTGCTTTTGCAGTACTTCGGAATACCTCGTCATATCGAAGTTGATAGTGACTAAAGCCAATTCAAATCAACAAGAGCGCCAGATGCATAGAAAGGTCATTACCAGGATTGAGATATGCATTGGCGAGGGTCCTTGCGAGGTGGGAGCAACCTAGCATCAACACAACATCAAGCTCCAGCGGCAGAAGGACCTTCGGAGTCACTCCAACAATGGCACAGAACTGGCGGCAAACATAGTCACTGGCAAGATGAGTGGCGGCCAAAGCCCAGTCAGCAGGCACAAAACTCATGGAGGCGGGGACAGACACAACCATATCACTGACTGGTCGACACCTTTATAATTACCACTTATCGGGAATCAATGATAGGACGTAACATAATGACATAAAAGAATCTTAGGCCCACAGTTAAGAAAGCCACGTGCCCGAGCCTTGCCGATGACTGGATAACACAAATGTAATGATGCAGACTTGGCAGTATAGTGTACATCCTAGATAAAGAAAACGGACTGGAACTTCGGGGTTGGTCACCGGAAAGTAAGGCCATGACCGGCATTGCAGCAGCACATCATAACGGCGCGTCTCTTGGGGTGATCAACAGTGAAAGAATAACAACAACATTATTGCGCAGTTCCGAATTATCTACCACTACATGGCGACGGTAAGAATACATTTAGGTGGTGGGACCCTTCCCAGATGCTGATTCACTAGAGGGCTGGTTGATCTGGGAGCCTGAAGGTCCGGCGCGTGTGGCGGCGATACTTGGAATGGAGGCACCGGCGATGGTGGACGGACCTGGGGTGAAATTGAAATAAAGCCGTTCCATTGCCTGTGCCTGCCCGGCGCTCATGCCTTGACTGTATGGGACTGTATGACCGGTGGGAGGAAAGAACACAGCATTATTAAAATGAGGAACGGGTGGGCTGGGGACAACACGTTGCCGGATAGATTCATAGGCATTCATCAGGACGGCAGTACGATTTCCTTGTGCAGTCAACATTGACTCAGTGCTCCGGATCTGACCCTCACGAGTCTGAGGTTTGGCATGCAAGGCCTTCACCTCCTCTTGCAATATGGCGATCTCGGCACACATTTTTTCCATGGCTCGGATGTCAGTATCCTGAGCAGCAAGGCGGGCATTCATGGTTTCAACCAACTCAGCCATCTTGGCGTTCCGAGTTTGGATGTCGGCCATTTAAGTCTGAAGGTCATTGATGGTGTCCTGAACTGCCATGAGGGGCGACACTGAATCAAGTTTCACCTCTAGTGTCATGGCCTGCAAGTCCCTTGCAACCGTGTCACCGGACACGTCAATGACCATGTCTTTGGCGAATGATGGAGGCGATTGAGTAGGACGAGGAGGTGGCATGTGTGGAATTGCAGCAATTGGAGTGTTCTTTATGGAATGAGAAGGAGCAAGACTCGGATTTTGGGAGCTTACAGCATTGACATCAGCCTGCATCACCGTGCTCATGGTGCCGACAGGCTCAGGGGCGACCATTGCCTTTTGTTCCACAAATGTAGCTTCACCTTTTTGCTGGTCGCGTGTGGCGGTCCTAGTGCTCACCCGTTTCTGGAGAATACAGTAATTAGACAAATACAAAGATAGAATGACAAAGCTCCCTACCTGAATCTCATACCATGGTTTCCGTTGATCACCAGTGTTTTGCATCTGCGGTGGATGGTTAGATCCTTTTTTTGGCAGCCCGCCAGAACTAACATCTCTCGACTTCTTCCGCCCACGGTCCTGCTGGTCAGTCTCCACCAGTAACGTAACTTCCTTTCCCTTCCCTTTCCTATCCGTTGGGACCTCAGACCCAGACGAGACTACTATCTCCACCTGCTTGCTTTTCGGCTTTGGCCTTGGTCTAGTCAGCATTGTATTCGTATTTCCCGGCGCGACATCCTCAGCTTTGTCTACAATCGCCGGCGCGATGACCTTGTCTTCATGGCAAACAGTGACCTCTTCGGATGCACCAGTGGACCTCCGCTTCTGCTTGTGGAGAGCATCGCCTTGGGTGATATCCCCAACAATTTCCACTTTGTCACTGTCCATACACAAGGCTATTGGCATCTTCCTTGTGACAGACCTTCCGGGCAGCTTTGACTTTGCTACCACTGAAGGGACCGCCAGTGTATTTGTGGCTGCATTTACTGGTGGTGTATCTGCAGGTCGCGACATCGGTGCTGGGGCCGATGCAGTCATTGCCTTGTGAGCCTTGCCATATAACTGATGGCGCTCGATGCGAGGGTCATCAGACTTGATGTTGTTCCACACCGGAACACTAAGAAACGACGTCTGGCCAACACGATCTACATGCTCCATCAATTCCATGGCCACCGAGAGCAAGATCGGTGGTATTTCAGTTGCCGACCGTGCATGACTTTGAAATGCCAGAGTCTGTGCTTAATTAGGTAACAGTGCATGACTAATGAGGACATGCTGACCATTATGTTTGCCATCTCTGTGGCCATGTTCAGGTGGCCGGCGGGACCTTCGGTCAACTGCAAGGCTCTTGCCAAAATTTGGAGCATGCCGGCGGTTACCTCATTGAAGGCCTTGTTCAAAACTTCTGAGGATGGCATGATGAGCAGGGAATGTGAGTGTAGATAAAAACAATGGGGACAATTTGCTTGTCATTATATGGCAGATGGAATGAATTAAAATTTCATGTCATAATACAAACTTGGCTCGGTCACCTGTGCCATGCGGCGGCATGCGGATTCAGAAGCACTGATCTCTGACCACGTGTCCACTTTTTTACGCAGACAATCTATTGTCCTGGCTAAGTGTTTAAACCCGCAGATGCGGCCACAACACAAATCGGCACATATTTAATGCTCACATCTTCGAAGGTTCATCCAATCACTCATCTGAAACTTCATCACTGTTTCCTACAACATGACTAATGCTAACAACTGTCACGTCCATTTCGAGCTCCCCGCGAATGGGGATACACCCTCCAACTCGCTGATTTCCAACACCGGCAACCGACCTCCAAGTACGTGTTTCTGTGGCATGTAGTGTGATTTTTAATTTATTTCCAATTAGGGTTCAACTTCGGGTTTGGAAGTTCGCACAGCCCTCTTACAGCAGACTTGGTGCCTGCGAGGCGTACCATACCCCAAACCTTCAATTTTGGGTTTCTGGTGCGAAAGCAAGTCATGGCAGAGGCCCTTGTGCCGGACCTGGCACATCAAACAGCTGTCACGCCACTACAACCTCAACAATTCAACTTTGGGTTTACGGTGAACGAGCAAAGCCCAGCGGCAACGGACTTGAATCCACCGTCACCCTCCCCAGCTCCAACAAGATTCAACTTTGGCTGGACTCACTCCCATTCCACAGACAAGCCAGCGGTTCTGGCAGGCCAACCGCTCAGCACGCTAGGCCCAGCGGCAGTCGACTCGGAGCCCACACCATCTTCCCCAGCTCCTACAACATTTAATTTTGGCTGGACTCAGTCCTTTGCCACAGAGAAGCCGGCAGGTTCAGGCAGCTCAACCATTCAACTTTGGAATGGATGTGGAGAGTCACATTCAACCTGCACTACCCTCGCTGCAGGATGTCCGGCGCACCCGCCGTAGTGGTTCCAATACTCCCAACAATGGAGTGCCAGCTTCGGTGATCCCTCTCAAGAGACCGCTATCTCTGCCACCACCCTCCACTCCTCCTCAGGCACCGGCGCCCGAACATACAGCCAAGTTCAACTTCGGCTGGAAGCAGCCGCCTTCAGCAACAGCGGGTGTTGCTACCCATGTTGGGTTTGACCATCATAATAAACGTAAGTTGCACATGTATATCCATAAGTTATCCAAAGATTAACCACCAATCTAGCATTCCAGTTCGGTTGTAAGGTCCCTCCAGCAAAGGTAGGGGAATGGACACCAGCGCCTATTATGGCCGCTGTGCCACAAGCAGCACCAGTGCCGATCACAATCACCTTGCCCCAAGTAGTACCGTCGCCTATCATAGCCACCGTGCCAGAAGCGGCACCAGCTCCTGAGTCAGACCCCTACACGCCAAAGGCCTTGCCAAACTGGGAGGGTGCTTTCCCCACTGCCAAACGATGGAAACTCGATTCCGCCAGTCAAGCGACCCACCAAGACACCATCGGATGCCTTATCGGTGACGCTGAGAAGGCTGCCATTGACATTGTGAAACAGCTCAATGGAGATGAATGTAAGTCCCGCAACTGACATTACTCTTCCAACTTTACTCACTTCTTTACAGTTGATCGACTCGCCCAAACAATGCTGGGCAGCCTCATTAGGCCCGGCGATGATGTCCGAGATCCCATGCCGGAAGAGGTCTTGGATAGTAACTGCGCTGTATTGTCAGCGTTCTGTGAGTCCAGAGATTGGTTGACTAGGATCTTCAAAGATCTTATCACTATTCATCATGCATCCGAGCACCACATACACCAGCTTTCATTCATGGACTCTCTTACCAATGAGGTTGAGATAGCAGAGAGGACTGCCGGTAGTTAGTAGTACATACAGTATATCTTTCAATTAGTCGTGGCTGTGTTTCTTTAGTACCACCAATGTTATGTTAATGGCGAGACATTCACATTGCCGATGAGTTATGCCGATGTACACCGGCAGACAGTCTGCTTTTCATTCCATGCCGGCATATCCTAAAGATGCAATATGACATAATGATTACTTCCTGCCACACTTAGCCCTTGAAGCTTCTGGCACAGTGGTTTTACTCCTGGTTCGCTTTGCTGGCGTGTCACTCACAGTGTTGGTGCCATGGCATTTCAAGTTCTTGGGAGGCTCATTTGATGTATATGCGACCTCCTTGCTTTTAGTTCCAGTCGCTGGAGATGCGGCTGGTGCCTTCAATGTCATTCCCTGTGACTTGAGAGGCTGTCCGGAGGGAATAGAACCTTTCATCAGAGGATTCAGCACCCTGCCGACCTTGGTGACAGCTTGTCTGATATCCCGCCATGAACTTGCAGGCCGTGACTTGATCTTCTTCCTGGTCGGCAAGGCGACCTTTGGGGGCGGCGAAATCTCGGGCTCTACACCAGTGGATGGTGCTCCCTCATCTTTACTGGATGACCTAGAACCATCCTCTCCCAGATCACTGTCCAACTCGTCCTCCGAATTGCTATCATCCGGCACACGGCGGCGGTTAGCTTTAGGGTTGGCTTTGCCCTTACCCTTGCCTTTGCTCTGCTTTGTGGCATTGCCACAGTGAGCACTGGGTGGACACAAGTCTGCCTCTTGCATCTCGCCATTGGAATCTTTCCAGGCCTTGAATGAGAAGGCCGGTTGCATGTCATCTTTCTGGCGGGCAAACCAGAAATCTAGTACAGTGGTGGCATCTGCTTTATCCATCTTGGATGGCTCCTTGAGCTGCACACTGGTCGGCCAATGGGCGCCGTCAAAAAATGCCCATGGGTCATGGATTACATCTCCCCATGGCACCGCCGCTTTCAGGTTTTCTTTGCCGGAGCACATTCCTGTTCAGAATCAGAACGATGTACAATCTGAAAGAGCAAAACAAGTACTATAGAGCTTCGTCAAGAAAGACCGAATCATGTGCTGTTGTTCGGCTCGTTTCCATCCCGTTGTGTCGGGCAGAATCGGCCACCCATCGGCATCTTCGTCAAGTTCAACTAATTTCTTGGCGACTTGTTTCTTTGATTTGACCATCTGGGGCTCCCCATCATCCTCGCCGTCTAAACATTCACTTGCTTCAGTATGCTTGCCGGTAAGACATTTACATGGCCTCACCAAATTGCTCCCCCACATATTCCACTCATTCAGGCATGATGATGCTGTCCCAATCCCTTGTCTTGATAAAGCTCTCGCCATTGCTGGACTGTTCATTGAAGTCGTGGCTGCAGTCACTGTTGAATAAATCACCGATCGATTGGAGATGACACTCACCCTCCCAACATGAGCTTGCCTTGGCTGTCCTTCCAAGCTGATAGGATGCAGACTCGCATTCCGGCTTTCTTGAACATTTCAGTCGCAAAATGCTCAATCATGTCGGCGCCCTTACTCTCAGTGATCTTGGCCTGAATATCCGGCGGTGCTGCTTTGTTGTTCCACCTCTCTGCCATGGCCTCCGCTCCCTCTCTCTCCTCCGCCGACAAACAATTAATGACTGTCTTTGCTGCCTTTGGCCACTTGGTAATCATCCCCTTGGTTCCAGCCATCTCTCCGGTCTTCTGTCAAATCGAGGCTTTGTGTGTGTGAATCAAGACTTGCCTTGCCGTCCAATGACGGCCATACTTGATAAGGGGCTTTGCAGCTCCTCTCCGGCGAGACTGGTTCTGCAACCACTGCTTGTAAATCTTTGACAGACATGTTATCATGCTCCGGGATCTCCGATATGTTATAAACTGTTAAATACCTTTCGCCGAGCTTTCAACAGGGCCTTTTCCTTGGTGGGAGCTTGGAGGGATGCTTCCTTGTAGATGGCAAGCAGCACCCTTGATCTTTCTTTACCTTTCACAGACTTCCAGTCTTCTAGATGGGCTCTGAGGACCAAGACTTCAGCCTTCTGCAAGCAAACCTTTTTTTGTGGAACCACGATAGGAGATTCACTTCTTGGCATGTTGTGTTATGAAGGATGGTGATGGTGAATCTTTCCAGACTCAACAACAGTTGGTTGACTGTCGTTGGTGTTCCATGGTTTTGTTCTGTTCTGCTCGGTTCATTCCCCCTATATTACAGTTCATATCATGGATATATATCAGATATGATTGCTGTGTTCTGCTCAGTTGAGCTTATATTACAATTCTTATTATGTACTTGTAACCAATGGTGATTGATTGATATGACCATATTGCATCAGTCAATTGAAACTTGTCATTCTTACAGATTCTTGTACAGTACTGGGCTCAACAAATGGGAGGTTCTAGACTACAAGAGTGGACTCCGAAACATAAGTATGCAGTGGTGGAGTGGCAGAGAACATATAGGACTAGAAAGGTGGTTGGCAAATGGGTGGAGAGACCTATCATTAGTAGATCAGTTCCAGCAACCCCTACTAAGTCTTCCTCAAAGCAGGAATCTTATGGTATGCTTTACCATGGGGGAGATGACTTTTCGGGCGACCTTGGTGATCACAGGGTGACTCCACTGCACCTGCTGAAGTCCCTGGTGAGCCATCTGCCGATATCACCTCTATTTTACTACTGATCTATATTCAGAGTCAAAATGATTATATATGTCAATGGGTCCCAAAGACCAAAGCATATCTTGACATACTCCTTGAAAGAGAGGTTCCATCAGATAGGTCATGTATCATCTGTGGGACAGATGGTGTCTATAAATGCCATGGATGCTTCAGTGAGCCTCTCTTTTGCACAAGTTGTTGCAGAACCCAGCACCAGAGGCTTCCCTTCCATCGGGTAAGCCAATGGACAGGCTTGTTTTTTGAGGAAAGTTGCTTGGTCAAGAGTGGGATGGTGATCTGGCTGGGGCATGGAGGAAATGCTTGCCCATGGGACGATGATGTAGGGGAGTCAGCTCTGTTCACTACAGGGGAAGGAAGTTCTGATGTTTCGGATGCCAAAAGCACATCAGATGAACCAAATGCCGAGCCGAGTGCAAAGGAGGCTCATGACCTACCAACTGGCATGCCGTTCATTAAGAACAACAAGGCCATGACAACAATAGTCGACAAGTCTGGAGTACATACCCACATCATCAAGTATTGCACATGCCCAGAGGCTGCCGCCACCGATATACAGTTGTTTCACATGGGTTTGTTTCCGGCATCATTCATAGAACCAAAGACAGCATTTACCTTCGATGTCTTGAATGACTTCTTACTCGACAACCTGGAGTGCGGGACCTTGGCGATGAATTATTACAGCAAGTTAAGGAGGATGACCACGAGCATCTTTCCTCACTTGGTGCTGGTGAGCTTTGTGGTGCCCCACCTGCTATTTCATTAATTGTCATAAAGGACCATTACCGGGAGCTCATGAGGGTGGCAAGACAATGGCGGAAGTTGAAGCTCCTGAAGTGGAATGGCTTCGGCCATGAGGAAAAGGAAATCAGACCCGGCAATCTAGCCCTCTTCTGTCCAGCCTGTCCCCAGCCAGGAATAAACGTCACAATCACTGCCAGAGGCACTGCCGAGGACATCGATGCTAACAATGGATCTGATCAAGAGACTCCAAGTTGGTTATACACAAGATCACTTGTCATGGACAGAAACTTCAAAGCTGAGCATCTCCATGCCACAAATCCTGCCGATGAAGTGTCTCTCATGGACAGCCGTGGATTCATGGTTGGCAATGCCATGTACAAGGAGCATTTGGCCATTGCCAAGGATGCCGTGCAACGATCGGAGTGCAACAACCACCATGCCGTCAATTTGGCAAATGCATCTCGTCAGAGATTGGAGGCGACCGGCATCAGCGGATGTGCATGTGTGAGGCATGGTTGTTTTGTCCCGCACGCCATGGTAGATTTTTAGAAGGGAGAAAGGTATGTACAATGACTTGGACAGTACACATTATCGCCAACCGCCAACAGACAGATGAACATGGATTATGCTCTGTGCGAGGCATTGAAGCTCAACGCCGAGGGCATCCACCGCGTATTGACCTTCTATGATGTGAACTGTCAGTACCATAAGCACCTACAGGACTGCATCGCTGACAGTCCATTGCTGAAGATGCATCCGGAGCTGGAAATCACCCCCGGCATCGGACTATGGCATGTCCATGGCCATCCAGACAGCTGCTATGTCAGATATGCCTCCAATTTCATACAAGGCGCAGCCAGAATTGACGGCGAGATCATGGAGACATTATGGGTGCCGTTAAATATAATCTCACCGGCGGCCCATGGCATGGGAACTCCTCACCGAAAAGAATGCCTGGATTACCAAATGAATGATTGCAACTTCATGAAAATGATCAGAATGAGTGGGTGTCTCATTTATCCTTTACATGAATTTGAAAGCGGAGACCGTACAGGCAAATCACTTTGCCACAAATACAAGGAAGCTATGAAAGGGGTCGCCGACAGCAACATGGCATTTGAGCGGCTTGATGAGACCACCGATGCCAATAAAGTCAAAGATTGGGAGGCCGAGGAGAGGTTGGCACATGAACAGTGGCGCCATGATCCAACAGCAATGGACATTTATGAAGTTCAACTACGCAAAGGTATGTTGACTTGTCGCATGGACAGTCATTTCTAATTCTTGCACAGCGCCGACAAGAAAACAGCAAGAGTTACAGTTGTTAACGGCGCAAGGCCGGCGGCCTGGCGAGGCGCGCCGGAGAGGTGCGGCAACATGGCTGGCAGAGGGCCTTGGTATCGAGGAAGCCCAGGTCACGCTGCAGATGGATGTTAGAAAGCTTGGACATTGGTCAACAGATACTCAGTGATTGGTGATTGGTCGCTGACGTGATACCATGCAACGGGATATTGATCGCTGGACGGCGGCCAGAGCAATAATTCTTGGTGAGGAATTAGGCGACAATGACATACAGATCATGCAACCAGATCTGCTAATACTTCAAGAAGAGGCTGAAGAAGATATGGATGTTGAGCTTAGAGCATTTGAGCTGGAGAGAGGGGTAATTCCTTTGCCTTCCAATTTGGGGCTAGAGAAATGTGCAACCCTCGGCATTGCTGATATCGCCGATCAGGAACTCACGCTCCGGCAAGGTCAGGCAAATGATGCCCTGCACCACATCAGGGTGCATTTGGCTGACAAGGCAGTCATTTTCCGGAAGACTGTCAGAGTAGCAAAGTCCTAAGCGTTGTCTACCAGAGCTTGGGCTCAAGTTCATTCAGTGGACAGGGCGGTCAGCATCAATGCAAGTATCTATTCCAAATGCCGATCGCAATTGTCCAGACTCGGCGCAGACGATGCACTGCTCAAGAGATACCAACCGTTGACAAGGGAGCATCTCAAGGTCAGTACTGCCGTCGCCAATCCAAATTCAAGAGGGCAGAGGAACAATGTGCTAGCTTGGTTTTGGTCATTGGATGTGGAAGGGGACTCCAACAGCAGTGACTGGCTGAATGAGTGTGAGCAGGTCACCGATACTCCATGTAACCGGCGCTTATACTGCCGATGGTGCAGTTTACTGGCTTCGTGCCAAGGCTATGAGAGACCGATGGGCAGAAGAGTTGTTGCTTGTTCAGCATGAAATGGATTGGACATGCAACTTTTTGCTCCAGAAGGCTGATGAATGGATCTGTCTCGGTGCCATCTCGAAGCTCGCCCAGAAGCATGGACATGTGGCATACTCGGAGAGGCAGTGCAAAATCTATCAATGTCTCTTCGGAGAGGCAAGTGATTCATTCAACCAGGCGATGGCTGCATGTCCACCGGTGTAACACACTAGCATGTTGAATGCTAAAGGCTGCTTCAATATATGCTGAATTAGTTTACCATCACCGAAGCACACACGATGGCACCCATCGGCATGGTTGGAGGTCGTCAGCAATGGCAGCCAATCTACAAATGTCCACAAACACGATGGTCCAGCGTGTGTGAGTGTCCGCCGGAGTGATATCAATAGTCCACATATTACAGTGACCTATCTCCATATAATACGAGGGAATGGATGTGCATAATATCCCATATGATACGGGCCAGCGGACCATGGGCCCATGATAAAAATATCCTCGACTGTGATGGATGGGCCAGGAGGCAAATTATTCCCGATGGAGGTGGGTGGGCCCATGCAGGGAATATATAGAGTAGATGAGTGGGCCGATGTACATGAATATTGGGTAGACGGGTGGGCCGAGGCAGTTGGATATTATGCAGATGGGTGTATTAAGGTAGATGTGTATGAGATAGATGGGTAGGTACTTGTTATCACATTCACGGGTGGGCCCAGACACATATTAAATTAGACGGGTGGGCCAAGGGTATTATAAAATATTGTATTAGACGGGTGGGCCCAGACACATATTAATTAGATGGGTGGGCCGAGGGTGTTGTATGGGATGTTGTATTAGACGGGTGGGCTGAGGGTGGTATAAAATATAGATGGGTGGGCCCATGTGTATCATAATTGTAGACATGATGGAGCTGAGGTAGTTGTACATCAACCAAATCAGAGGAGGTAATAGATCAAAGTTACCAAGTTCCCGGAGCAGCAGGTGATCTCCTGACATGGCCTTTGATGGTGCACAGGTTGTCTTGCAGAATGTGGAATCCGGGGTGCAAAGCTTGTGTTGCCCTACGAGAAGCCAAGTTCCGACCACCAGAATTTGAGTCAACTGTACCGAGTTCCAAGTTCCGGGACCCGGAACTCAACACATAATTTAGTTAATACTTTCCGTGTTAAATGGCCAACCGAAGTTGAGATGTTTCTGAAGAGAGCAGCAGGTGCTCTCTTGACATGGCCTTTGATGGTGCATAGGTTGTCTTGCAGAATGTGGAATCCGGGGTGTGAAGCTTGTGTTGCCCTATGAGAAGCCAAGTTCCGACCACCAAAATGTGAGTCAACCATACTCAGAGGAGGTAATAAATCAAAGTTACCGAGTTCCCGGAGCAGCAGGTGATCTCCTGACATGGCGGTGCGAAGCTTGTGTTGCCCTATGAGACGCCAAGTTCCGACCACCCAAATTTGGGTCAACCGTACCGACTTCCGAGTTCCAGGACCCGGGAGTCGACAAATGAATATCTGATGACCAGTACACTTCCAATCAGGTAGTATTTCATTGAGCAATGGATAATAATACATCTTTGACAGCCAAAATTATCCCAGGCTCCCTTATCTGATCCTCTCTATCTCCACCCCCTTTAACACCAAAGTCCAGACATCCAGCATTCAGCGTCTGATTTCCCAAGATTAACATCCAGCATGAACAGTTCTTCCCCTTCCACTCCTGATAGCATAAACATCTGGCGCACTTGGGCCCTGACTGTGACTTATGAAGCAGGGGAATATACCGAACAGAAATTCAAGGCAGAGAAGACTGGAGGAGGCCCAGTCATACCTTCCCCCAACCTAGACACTGATCTGGTGATGGCGTGCAATCGCTTGGCTGATGTACTCATAAAGGCATATAAAAATCACAGTGGGTCTTCTTGCAGATTCGGAAAATTCATTTTATCATTCAAATTCCTGCATGACAGTTCAGATGCAGATGGATATTGCAAGATATAGCAAATTGATCTCCCCGAAGGACACCAGGCATAATGAACAAAGAGAGGCGAGGTTGCTTGAGAGGTGTCCTCCTGGCCATGAAGGCAAAAGGTTGGTCGACAAACCTGCCACAATTCTCGATGCATCCAGTGCCATCATCGCATGGTACCTCCCAGACGCCCTGACCGACACCACCCAGGTGTGTAATATACATTGTTACTCAATGGATATTGAATATCAAATGGAACCTACAGAAGGAAATCAGGGAGGCCACCGATTTGCTCGCTCCAAGCCTCGAAAAAAGTGTAAGGGCTGATGGCATTTGGCGAACTAATCAAAAGTGGTTCAAACGGGGCTCGGATGATGTTGGCGCAACTCCCAGATGTATCGATTTATCTCCGGCATGGTTTCAACAGGGACACGAGGTAGGATCCCATGAGATGGTGATTCCGGCAGTCATACTCACCAATCCCAAAGACTATGTCCGATCCGGAGGTATCTGCATCATTGAAGGGACCTTCCTGCGAGAATATACTGAAAGCCATTGCAAGGCCAGCAGCCATCGCGTCCGCGGCACTCAGGGTCATGCATCCTGAGCAGTACTGGGCAGGGTTGCGAACCTTGTCCAACCTCGGACATATAGCAGTAAGCAAGGATCTGCCACAGATGCTGGAGGCCCTGCAGTACTGGGCATCCGTGTTTAACACCCTCTCTATCATTTCCAATCAGGAAACCCCCAATCATCGAGACCATTTGTCTATTGCTGAATGCTTCAACATTCTCACCACTGTGGGGAACTATTCTGATGCTCAGATGACAATGCCAAGCCTTCAGCTGGAGTTCAAGTACAATTCCGGCTGTATGATTGCGTTTTCCGGAAGGATTGTGAGACATGGAGTTTATGATGTGGAAGGGGATCGGATTGCTTGGGCATGGTATATGAGGGATTCTGTTCACATTTACGCTGGTGTTCCATCATGTGGATGGGCTAGTGTGGATGGTCCATACAGCGTGTGAAAGATCAAACAAAGAGCAAGCATTGTGACCTATATACATTCCAACAAATGAATACCATGTACCAATAGTTTTCCGGACCTCAATACTCAATTTTGAGCATTTGCGAAGTGATATATGGGACTGAATAATTTGGATGCCAGCCTTGGTATTTGATAATTGGAACTCGGGACTTGACATATGGGAGTCCCGAGTGCCGGGGTACTGAGTCCCAAAACCCGGAACTCCTCACTTGATATTTGAGACTGGGAGAAGATGTATAAATATGCTCGAATTAACATTTGTAATTGCCATACACATTTGACAGAACCCTGAACCACGACATTGTGGACTTGGGACTTGACACTGTTCTGAATACCGAGTCCTGGAAGCCCAGGTCCTGAGTCCCAAATTTCGGAGTTCGGGGTTCAGCGACCTGGAGCTCGGCAACTGTGTTGGGTGTCAGGGTATCAGGAGCATTGGAGATCGCATGTGTCAGTATTTTGAGTTTCATGGTTCATGTTTGGTGATTATGGAATCGGGCATCAGGGACTCAGTATTCAGAACAGTGTCGAGTCCCCAGTCACGAGCTCCGAGTCCCGCACGGTGGGTTTCGGGACTCGGGACTCGGAGCTCGTGACCTGGGACTCCACACTGTTCTGAATACCGAGTCCCTGACGCCCGATTCCATAATCACCAAACATGAACCATGAAACTCAAAATACTGACACATGCGATCTCCAATGCTCCCGATACCCTGACACCCAACACAGTTGCCGAGCTCCGGGTTGCCGAACCCCGAACTCTGAAATTCAGGACTTGGGACCCGGGTTTCGGGACTCGGGACTCGGAGCTCGTGACCTGGGACTCCACACTGTTCTGAATACCGAGTCCCTGACGCCCGATTCCATAATCACCAAACATGAACCATGAAACACAAAATACTTACAAATGCGATTTCCAATGCTCCCGATACCCTGACACCCAACACAGTTGCCGAGCTCCGGGTTTCTGAACCCTGAACTCCAAAATTCGGGACTCGGGACTCGGAGCTCGTGACCTGGGACTCCACACTGTTCTGAATACCGAGTCCCTGACGCCCGATTCCATAATCACCAAACATGAACCATGAAACGCAAAATACTGACACATGCGATCTCCAATGCTCCCGATACCCTGACACCCAACACAGTTGCCGAGCTCTGGGTCGCCGAACCCCGAACTCCAAAATTTGGGACTCAGGACCCGGGCTTCCGGGACTCGGATGCGAGATTTTTGAATGCATAGAATATTTTACATCTTGTATACAATGAAGACTGAATGGGACTACACTCCTTTGCCTTTCCTCAATTTCTCTAACATGTCAGTGTACATCTTCACCTCTGCCATCTTGGCTTTGATGCCATGATCTTGCTCCTCCATCAATGCTTCCATGCATTCTTTAATCCACCTCAGTCCCATAAGTGGTGGAGTCAAAGTGTTTTTCAACTTCTCTGGAAGAACCAAAGCATCATCCTCAACATTAAGCTAGAACAGATAAGTCATCAATCAAGGCAATTCAGCTAACATCTTACCGCCCAATACTGGTAGTGAGAGACGCAGGAAGCCATTATTTCATCCCACTGCCATGGTTGATCCGGGATTGTGGTGTTTCCAATCCACCATGGACATGTATATTTGAACACAATCTGGGACAGATGTCCTGCAATTGCCTCATCATCAAATGCAAGGAGGTGGAATGAAAAGACGTCGTCCGGAACCGTGTTCCAGGTTAGCATGGGATACAACTTAAGGATATAAGCGACAGGGACCAGAAGAACCAACACAATATTCTGTGAAGCGGAGTACTGCAGGAGTGGTGTGACAAAAGTCTGCTCAAATTCTTAGCATTGACCAACAAAG